AAAGAGCATTGTAAAACCAATAGCTCCCTAGTTACGCTCGGAATCTAAAATCGCCACTAATGAATTAAATTATGATCAAATGGTATAGATCATAATGTATTCGCCAAGACGTACAGTTGCTTTCAATGGTAATTGTATGACAGAATGAATTATATATTATTATTGAGATAGATAAATAAATAAATTAGTTTTTTTTTTTTTGTATTACTATTATTAGCCTTATATAAGTACACGTTATAAAATACGACATAATTTCCAAATCAAATATCTTTCTCCTTGGCAAAATTATAAATGAGCTTGTGCAGTATAGTACCTGTATATACAGGGTGATCGATCTAACGTAAGCCATTCATTATCTCGGAAAGTAATAACTATTCTTTGGAATTTGTTTTACAGAATATTTAAAAAACAAACAACTTTAAAATTTTACATTTTTTGTTATTTTTTTTCATCTTTATATTTAGGTAATGATGGTTTGTGTCAAAAAAAGTTTATACTTTCCGAGATAACGAGTGTCTTACCGATATGTATTGATCACTCTGTATACATATAATAATTTATTAAGCAATAACGACTTAATGCTGTGAATGCGGAGGAAGTAGCTGTATATAATATTATTATGTATACCTATTATACATTTACACACGCAATTCGTTCGCCATTTGCCATTATTATTTTGCATACGTGATCGTTGACATGTGCGCGAAATTGTTGCAATTTTTTTCTACCCGTTTGCCATCACCACGTACTTGTAATATAAACCAGCGGCCAACCGCCGTCGGCGGACCGTGTCCTGACGTCACGAATTCGCAGATTCACGCGCGTGCGTGTATAGATATCGTACCGTCACAGACACATCGGTAGTCATCATAACAATAACTATAGGCGACTTTGAATCAAATACCGCGTCCGTATACAGGGTGTCCCGCGGAGACCTGATAAATGCCAATAAATTTGGCCGTGTAATGTGTTCAATATTTTTAGGCGGTCTTGTCGGTGGTATTATTACTGAAGTCTCAAGTCTACTAAACATTTTTACTTACAAAATCCGAGATAGCCATTTTATAAATATCCATTTTGTGCCAAAATCCAGTGTTACATATTATTATTATATTTGCTTATGACGAATCGCTAAGTATTTATAATTTTTTGAAGTGTATAAAAAAAACATTAACAAATTCTAAAAACTAGTGAATCAATTGATGTCTTTTGATGGTGGCAATGAAAACAATTTAAATCAAACCGTAAATTTTAAAAAATATAAAATATAAGAATCATAGCGTTGTGCATTAGTAATTGTTCCAAAAAATAAAAACTTGTAAATTCTGAACGGAATAAAAAAATAATTGCTTTTGTCAGATTTCCTCGGGACACTCTGTATGCCCTTAAACAGTTATTGCCGACAGTGCCAGATTGGGTATTTTGGCCAATGGTGCTTAACATCACACCGGCCAACTAATGGCTTATTTATAGGGGGTAGTAAAGTTACCACCATCCCTCACATGACATTTTTGAAACGTATGATGATCTTAAGTTTTTACTCTCTAAAACCTATCGTCTAAAATTTGCAAGTTCTAAATCTCCCGCAAAAATTGAAGTCTAAGTGCGCTATTGAGGAATAATTCATAATTACCCAAACACCCGTCATGAGAAAACCACGGAATCCGAAAGTAATTGTTGAACTACTGATGAGGTTGAAACAACCAAGAGTCTGATGGCCAATGTAAAATATAATATTTCTACTATTTTCCACTTGTTTCATTTTTTTTTTTTTTAAATATTTGTTCGATATCGAAAAATATGACATTATATTGTTATCGTAGCCAGTACCGGCGCAATTCAATAACTTACTAAGCTAACCAGAGGTGGATCCAGGACAATATAACGGGAGGTGGGGGGCAATTTTGAAAATGTATATTAGTCACGCATTTATGACGAGTTCAATGATGAATTAATCTAACAGTATAATGCAGCTATAATAGTATATCGGAGAGTGAACAGGGTTGGGGGAAGCGATCGCCTCTATCGCCCCTCCCCTGGATCCACCACTGAAGCTAACGGCCCTTCGTGCTAGATCTTCGGCCAAATTCGGGCCGGATTGTCGGTTAAATGGTTTTTTTTTTACGATTTCACGCGTCATCAAAATACGTTTCTCACATAAAATATTATTTTCTTTTCGGACCACACCAAGGTTGTATATTTTAATACTGCGATTTCCTGCGACCTGCGACACACGATTTCTTTATATTTCATTGTCACTATAAATATATAGGTACGTCAGCATGCAAACTATTCATGATGAATAATAATCACAACAACAAAAATCATTGCTGACGAAATACGATTCCGAGCGAGCTAAATGTGTACTTTGACATACCGTGATTTCTACGAATATTATACAAATTCGAACTTTAAAAGCCTTTACCAAGAGAAACTACAATAATACGCTTAATTTTGTTAAAAATGTTTTAATTATGACATATTTTACTTAATATACTTACAAATGATTTATTTTAAACCTTGTGTTATACATTGGAGCATATGTTTTTTGCCAGGTAAAAAAATGTCTATGAACAAATGATAACATAATAATATTGATTACATTCAAATAATCTTACACTGATTTTTATAAACGCGAAAGTTTGTTCGGACGGTTTGTAACCACTTCTCACTCAAAATACTGAACGGCTTGAGCTGAAACTTTGCACGGATGTAATTCTGGACCGGGAATAATATTATATAGACTACTTTTCCTCCCCGAAGATCTTAAGAGAGACGGTGACTCCAATGAGGTGAATGGCAATTATTTTTATTGATTTATAGGTTATCCTAGTGATACGGACGAAAACAAACAAAGTCGATTAGTCAAACCTAACGAAAACAAAAATATAAATATTATTATTATTATCGGTATTTATGGGCTACCTTGGTGATAAGGATGATCATTTTCGATTATTTCTTTTGGCACGGCCACGCGTGATATGCTATTAGGTATTACGCGTCGTTTTATTTCTTCTGCGCACACCGATTTTGTTGAAACTAATACAATTATATAGTTTTGTTGTTATTATTATTATTAGGCACTGTTATTATTTATATTGAAAATTATAGTTAATTACAATAATGAATAACGTGTTGAAACACATGTGTACATCTGTTAGTTGAAAAAAAAAATACGCATTCACAAGCATGCCATAGAATACGTTATTTTATTTTAAACAGACACCTGTATGTAGTTTGATATATGCTTACTTATATTATGATTTTTAAAATTCGACGTTACACAAACTTTTTTTTCATTATTATTATACAATTTAATACAAATTTTTATATACATAGATACGAGTATCCTCTGCGAATTTCTTGATACCTATTATACGCGGATTGACGGTGTACGATTTAATGTGTATAGTTCGTGATTATTTTCAAGTGCTTAAGGTTAAGTGTTTAAAAATAAACTCATTACGAACAAATCGTATAGGTATGGGAAATGTTGCATTATATAGTTATAATGCAATATTTCCCATTGATTTTTTTTGTTAAATTTTTTTGTTTATCGACCACCTTGATGTGAACTTCATCGGTATAAATTATAAAATTTTATTTTATTTCTACGACTTGATGCGTGTTTCTCGTATATTGTATTAATACACGTCGTAGGTAGCAATACTGTGGCCCGCAGAACTTTCAAAACTTACATATACATTCTACTTTTAGTGTTGGTAAATGTTCGGTAATTGTGCAGTTTTTTCCTATGGTGTATTTTATATTCAATGAGCACGTGCTTATTGTTTTCTTTATCTATAATTTATTCGGTTTTTTCTTTTAGAAAAAAAAAAAACATTTTCTTTTGCTGCCTGCATTATTTCTAGTTAATTTTACTATGGCGTGTAATACTTATCCATACTGTCGTTTTTTTTGTTTTTTTTTTTTTTTACGCGTATTTAATTTTTTTTCGTTTCGATTGATTTCGGATCGTTTGCACTTCCAACGCCATAGGTACGCCGAAAATTGTCCGATTTCGAACAATTATCGAACAATAATATATAGGTGCCTATACAGTATACGTAATAATAATAATAATATATCGTAATTGTAGTATTCGATCGACGGGGCCGTGTTGTAAAAATAATATATCAAATGGCATCGGGAAATTACAGACTATTGTATAATATTAAAATAATTTGTGTATGTTGTATTATTATGACACATGACCGTTTGGACATTCGATACTAATAAATAACAATTTGTGGACGATCACCACAACATGTCGTGACTCTCGTGACGGCGGTGACGGCGGCGTCTGTCGCGCGCGAACTCGACGACTACGGTGGCTCTATCTGTAGGCCGCACGCGCGCACCGGGTCACATGGTCTGACCGACAAATTGAATACCGTCTGGTGGTCCCCGTGATTCGTGATTCCTCGCGTTCGCCACTCTCTCGGCCAGTCGCCAACCGCACGTCGCGCCGTTTATTAGAGGGGAAAAAAAGTGATCCGATACACTGCGAGACGACGCGAAGAAAACGGACGACCGTTTCTCGAAAGCAAAAACACGACTAGCGTGACCTTTCCTTGGCAGCACGTTTTTTCGCACGTTCGACCTCTAAAAGTATCGAAAATTCGCGGGTGTAATAGTTCGCGCACGCGAGTGAATCGTTTATTCGTTTGGTATTTTTTTTTTTTTTTTTTTTTTTTCGAATACAAATTTTTTATTTATTAATTAAAAAAAATTAAAAAAATTAAAATCAAAAATTAAAAAATTAACGCAGCGGTAAAATATTGTTCAGTCGGTGGTGGCCCGGCACGATGTCGACGATATCGCGTGTTTCATCCCCGTCGGCGTAACGACGTTGCGTCCTCGTCTTTCGTCGCCGAGCTATATAACTCCCCTCCTTCGGAGGTATGTGGTCGCCGAGCGAGGCGGGCACCGGCGTCCGGCGCGACGGACCTTGATCCGGCGGTACCCTGCCCGGTACCACCCGGAAATGGCATAAAGTCATGGTGAAACGGTCGCGCGTGTACTGCAGAAGCGGCAGTAGCGGCAGCGGCAGCGGCAGCGGCGTTGGCGGCGGCGGTGGTTGGAACCGGTGTAGTAGTTTTGTGGTGACTATCGGCGTGTTGGTGTTGTATATTTTCTTGTGCAGTGGTTCGGTTTTGGGCGCGTCGCTAGGGGACGACCGGTCCACGCAGTACGCCGCCGCGGTAGTGCAAGTGGCCGAACGGACGGCCGGCGTCTCGTTCGCCGCGACGAGGTACACCGACGACGCCGCCGCAGCGGTCGCCGGGACTCCGGCCCGGAGCGGCAGATCGGCGGCAAATCTGTCGCACATCACCGGCACGGCGAGAAAAATCAAAATGTTCATCAAGAACAGATACCTGCAGGTGTTTCCGGACGGCACGGTGAACAGCACGGCCGAGGATACGAGCGATTATGGTGAGTGAATAATAATAATAATAATATAGGTGCCTGTCCATTATAATACGAGCCTACCGACCCGTTTAAATGATACCTAATTAATATATATATACATATATAAATATTACGAAGGATACGCGAGTTAGTTGTGATCGGAGCCGCGAGCGAAAATCGGGTGTGTGGTCATCGTTTTTTTTTTCTACCACGGAAACATTATAATATTATAAATTACACCGTATAGGTAATAAAATGCGCGCGATTTAAATTTCAACCGGCGACGCGCTATGTGTCGGAAACCCTAATTTTCGTAAAGCCCACGCGTACCCGTTAATACATATTATATAAATGTATACTTACACCAAAATACGAGTATTGGCTACGCGTAAGTATAACATAGTATGCACTCGGGTTACACGCCGACCGAACCGGCGATCGGGCGAGTTATTATATTATATGGGTAATATATTATAATGGTTGGGTATCGGAAACATCACCAGCAGAGGTGCAAACGTTGCGCCATAATATATCGGCGGCACGACGTTTTCGGATATTAATTTATTAATAATCGCGGACCGCCATGACGGGCCTATAATAATAATAACACACTTCTCTTAGGCCTTAGTACCTCCGCGGACGATACTCAGAGCGCATAATAATAATAATAATAATAATAATATTATACGAGTAGACAGTGCAGCGATGGAATAATAATATTCTTGTTTTCGGGTGTAAACCGACGCCCGGAGGTTCTGCGATCGGTATCGCTTTCGATTTGACAAGCAATGGCGTATTTACGGGAGAGTGGGGCGCGGGGGGGGAGAGGGTAGAGAGAGATTAGGGAGATAAATTTCCCCGTTCGATCTTTATATCGGTCTAGTATTGTATCGTTTATACGGCCGGTGCCAAATTTTTAAATTCAAATTTTCAAAATCGAATAAAAACCCGAACGTATACCTATGTAACCTACATAACCTATCTGAACCACTAGCTATTAATACGAACGGGTTCCAATTATCGTACGTAATTAGTAAATAAACTAATAAAAATTATTTCTAATAGGAGTGGTGGAATCGGGAGGAGAAAAAACAATCGAACTCCTGTATAGTAATTTCGAAATAGAGAATAGGGCCTCTCCTCAATTTCCCCTTACCCACGTCCCTGAATTTACTGATGTTCACGAGATGTACGCGGTTTTATAATATTATAACTCCACTCGGCGAATGTTTGTCTGTCTGTTTGTTAGGGTCGTCGTCAAATATGCTTGTTATGCAGTATTCGAAGTCTGTTTAGACTGAAATTTAAAAAGAAAAAAAAAACGGTCCGTATTAATTGTTCATTTCGTCAAATAATAAAAATAAATAAAAACAACAAAACAAAATAGAAGTGCCTAATCGTGAAAAATCGAAAGTAAATATAATTACGATCCCGGGCATATTATGTGATCTCGTCGCAACGACGAGTAGAATTTAATTAATTTCAATTATTACCAATCATTTATTTTAACATTTTTTTTTACGTACACGGACACAATTACGTTTTAATATTTCTAAATCGAACAAAATCAATATCATTTACGATGCAGCATATGCATTAAGAATACAAAATAAATAATTTCGTGATAATATTTGTACGGAATATATCGATAGGTAATCGAAATGTAACGAAATATGTTGTGATTTATACATTTAATTACTAGATAATATTTATTGGAGTAAAGACACGAAAATGGATTTCTTGTTTCGGAATTAATTTTTTCGGTATAGTAAACGTCTTTAAAACAAAATTAGATAATTTTTGCTACACCTTTTCAAGTAAAATCGAAAAGCTGATTTAAAACACAAAGAAATGTTTGTCGCTTAAATTCAATTTTTTGCTCATTTGATAGAACGTGACGAATTTTTTTTAAACTTATTCTAGGAAAATTTAGACAAATAATTCTCAACATTAATTACGTAATATTATATTGATTACACTAATGTTGAAACACAACATAGCTTGGTAAATCGAAGTGTTTTATTTAAAAAAAATTCTTAATAACCCTGGTGTGAGTGTAGATAATTTGTTCAGTGTATCAATCCATACTATTTTTGGAATATTATCTTTTGAAAATAACATAAATATATAAAAATAATCATACAAACGTCAATATATCGTAAATAGGAGGTTATGTACTAGTTTTAAATTAAAGAAAACTTACTATAAGGCAATTTCAATTCAAATTCTCATTGAAACGAAGTCGTAAGGATTTTATTTTGTATTTCGGTATTAGGTATGTTATTTTAGAAACCTCGATTTTTTTTCAAATATTTTATTCTTCATATAAATTACCTACGCAAATACGCGATATAATAATGTTGTAAACTTAAACTTGAAAACATATTATGTATATTTTTTTATGACAATGTTATCTAATAAAACTTAAAATTTGTACTTTTACTTTGTATACGTTTTTAGTTTTTCAAAGCTTTTCGCGCAAAAATAATAATAATTGTAATGAAAAAAGGCTGATATTGTCACTATTTTAGTGGGAAGTTGTAAGGGATGATAGATTGAGTAATTTTATTAGTATCAGCATGCAATGATAAACAATGCCTAAAGAAATACGATTGTGAGCCGATAATATTACTAGATAACATATTTATTCCCTTGTTGAAATCAATAAAAATTCTACAAACAAATTGAGAGTTTTTCTAATTTATTATGAAAACTACAAAGAAAATAAAAAAAATGACCTAATTAATGCACAAACTAGATCAAAATTGTACAAAAAAGTTCCAGTAAAGTTTTTTAATGGAGCATGATTTCTGGTAAACATAGGTTATTTACAATCCTCCCCCACACACACTGAAAAAAAAAAAACAAAAATAAATTATAGTATAAAACTAATCTAAAATTATTTTAAAATTTTAGAAGGAAAACGTATCTCAATATTTTAGGTAAAAACGTTTTTATTTTTTTTGTTCAACTACATTAAAACACCGAAAGCTTCTGGTCCGTGATCCGTTAAAATCAAATTTTGCCAAAATTTTGTCATTTGTAAGTTTTGTGATCAAAAGTTTGAAATTTGTATGTTCAGTCATTTTATCTAATACATTTAAATTATTTAATGTAGCTATTAATGTTTAACCTACGTGGGGTAACTTTGATATCCACATTTTTTCATTATATTATAATATGTTATATGGAGGTAAAACTATCAAAGTTGTCAAAAAAAGACATTTTTTTTTTTTTCTTAGTTTTTGAGATATTTCAATTTTACATGAGTTATGGGCATATAGGTATGTTAGTGGAAAACTTCATTAACACATTTCATGACTGCAGTTAAAAAAAGCCATTTCATCTTTGTCACTAAAAACAGTAGGTCGGTTTGCATATTTTCCTTGTGTCGGTTATGTAATGTACCATAAGAAATTTTGTACAATTTGCTAATAACTAAAATTGATATTTCGCCATCAACTATTTATGTTAAAATTTCATCTAGTTTATTATTAGGATTCAGGACTTTATGCACTTAAAATTCATAAAAAAGTGATAAAAAAATGTCAAAAAAGGCTTGAAAATTACAAAAAAACAAAAGAGCTGATACTGGGAAAGGTAGGATACATATGGTTGTTTATATCTGTAAGCAACGACAAACCATTGCTTGACGAAAGACGATTATGAGTGCAGTTCAGAATACAACATTTTTGCGTCTTTCGTTTAAATTTGATTTCGAAACGCTTATAAAAAAAAAAAAAAAGGTTTCCGATAATTTTAGAAATTTTACTACGTCTGTGTATTATTACCAAGTTTCAAATCTCTACGTATACCCGAATTACAGTAAGACTCCCAAAAATTTAAAAAATTTTAAAAGCTCAAAAGCTTTGGCGATGATACCGTAAGAAAGTAAATCAAAAAAGGCAATAAAAAATGTATCTTATAATTTTTCGACTAAATCACTTTTTTCTGGTAGAAAACGTCGTCCGTGTTTAATATAAAATAATGAAATCGTGAAATTGTACGTTTTCCTAAATTTTTTCGCACTTAAGTGCTTTTATTTAAAAAATGGCGTCAAAAATCTTAAAAAGACTTGTTTAAAGTACCATCTAGACAATTTGAGCTATCAGAAAAGTTTCTACAGGTAAAAATCGGAGCACGTTTCCTTGGAAAAAGCGTGTCCACAGATTAGAACAAAGTAAAAGAAGAAGAAGAAGAAGAGGAAAATAATAATAATAAAGAGCATTGTAAAACCAATAGCTTCCTCGCTACGCTCTGAATCTAAAGTGGTATTATGTTTTTAAAAGCACACTACACAAATTATTAACACAAGTTTTTAAATGAAATTTTAAGTATTATGAAAAAAAGAAAATTACATGTGTTATATAATTTGATTTAATAGTTAGTTTGTTGGTGGTGAATATTTTAAACCCACCTGGGCCCTGTGTTATTTTTGATTTTACTTTTTTTTTAGATTTTAAATGCATAACGTCCTGGCCTTACTTTTTATTATTATAATATTTTTATGGCCTACTGTCAGGTTTCTTTCTTTTGGAGTGCGAACCACTAATAAAAAGTAGAAAAAATATGTATCAAAGTTACCTTATGATGGTTATTGAAGTTACCATACATTAAAAAAAAGTATGTTACTCATAAGTTTAAAAATAAAATTTAATTCATAACAACGTATTTCAATGTCCGTAATAACACTACACAAATGTAATAACACTACACATGTACGTAAAGCCGTTGTACTTAAAAGTGTACCTACTTTACGTAGAGATTATTTTTTTAAATAAAAAAAATTAACTTTATTATGTGAGTTTAATAACAGTTGATTATGAACAAATATTGATAAGAACGGTTTATCAAAATTTAATTTTGATACTTGGCCTTTTGCACTACGCGACGAAATATGCAAAACGCCAATTCGTATACGATATTAAATGTTTATAACAATGTTTTAATAAAATAATATCTATTATCAAAGTCACCTCATTTCACGGTATCCACTAAAATTTATTTCATGGCTAACTTTCACGAAACTTGGCTGTTTTGCAATTTCTTAACTTTTGACCAGGCCAAAATGTTTTATATTATTTGTAATTATGTTTGTAGACGCAAATTCACAGTTTGTAAGTTATTCCTTCTTGAGTTATTCCTGAAAATTAAGTTAGCCGTGGTTTGTAAAACTTTTCGATATTTGTCCAGGTCAAAATTTTTTGCATTTTTTATAAGTATTTGAAAGCGAAAATCTATAATTTATTAGTCATCTCTTCTTGAGTTATCTCTGAAAAGTAGTAGTGGTCAATATAGTGTTTGGTGTTCCACTATAATATTCCAGTCAAATTAGACAAAAAACGACTGAATTCGAAACTAATTCCCTGAAACTGAATTTTGGTATACAAGTAGTTTATAAATCACTAATAAATATACTAAAAGTCTTGATACCTATCCCTTGTTCGTAGCCTCCCACCTCTCTTGGTGGGAGAAACGCGTTTCTTTCACAGGTGTCAACTGTTAAAGTAACAATACAAATACCTATGACCAAAAGTATAGATCATACGATTTACCTAACTTTTAATATTTGTATATTGCGGTCAGGTTAGGTATCAATACAGGTAGATTATCACCAAACAATTACAACTTAGTGCTTAATATAAAAAAAAAAAACAGATGTTATATACGGAAGAGAATCGTATAAATATAGGAATAAAAAAAAAATAAATATAGAATTGGCTATTTTCAGTACCTGAATGACAAATTATATTTATACTATTGTACTCTAGATATTAGTAATGAATAATTTATTTTAGTAATATTTACTTTATATTTATTCATAGATTATTTGTCATGTATGTTTGTCATATTTTATAACTAAATTGTTCATATAATGTTATTTTAACTCTCTACCACCAAAACAAGTATGTGCTTTAAGGTGGTAGATATTCTGTGTTTTATTTTTATTTAAACTTTAACTATCATGTAAAAACAAATATAATTTCTCTATAAATAAAAAAAAAAAAAATAGAATAAAAAAAAAAAATTGGGCTAATATTTAAAAAGTGAAAATAAAGGAAATTGGAGAAAAATTGTATTTTAGTTTTCATTTGTCAATGAATATTAATAGTATAATATCTAAAACAATGATATATTAATGAATTCAAATTAATTTAACATCCATTACAGTAACCTATCATCCGACACTATTTATTATTTATGTTTATTATTGAAGTATAAATTACTTGTGTACCAAAATTCAGCTTTTGGGGAATTAGTTTCGAACTTTGTCGTCTTTTTGTTTAATTTGACGACTATTATAGTGGAACACCAAACATTATATTGACAACTACTACTTTTCAGAGATAACTCAAGAAAGGACAACTTACAAATTGTAAATTTGCGCTTAAAACTACGTACAAATAATACAAAGTATTTTGGCCGGATTAAAAGTTTAGAAATGGTAAAACTGCCAAGTTTTGTGGAAGTTAGTTGCGAAATAAATTTTAGTGGATAATTAAAAACGGCTGGACTTACAAATTTTTAATTTTTGCTTACAAACACTTATAAATGACTTACACAATTTAGTTCGAAGAAATTAAATTTGTGCGGCTACTTCATGGATCTGAAAACATCTAAAACATTAGTTTTTTTACTGCAATTTCTACGTTTGACTTTTCTTTTTTAACGGTATTCTTTTGAGTCTCAAGATACTCTTACAATTATGGCAACGTACACGAATTACTGTCTTCGAAGATAATGTCTTGCTTTTCAATAACTGTTTTCTAAAATAATACAATAAATAATATTTTAGAGTTTTTTTTTTTTTCAAATAAATTATTGGCTTAACGATAGTTATTATTTGTACTAACTTTGAAGTTGCGTCTATTTGTTTAATCGCTCGTGGTTTTTTAATTTCCGTATCAGGAGAGTTCGGTTTAGCAGAGTTATTGTTTATTTTGGCAGTGCTATTGAGCACAATAAGTGTTTTTTTGTTTTCAGACGGAGCGTTCTTTTTAGTCAGAGTTGTGCTCACACTTTTCAATTTTGTAGGAATTTTAACCGCAGCATCTCTTAAATTTTGCAACGGTTTGGGTAAATTTTTCGACTTTGTGCTCGTAATTTTTTGCTGATTCATTTTGACCGACTTTACTTTGGATAAATCGTTTTTGTTATTTTGATTTTCGGTTTTCGAGTTTTTGTCGTTCTTGAGATTAAATGTTAAATTTTTTTTTTTATCGGATGCGCCGGATGTAGTCTTTGTCTGATTCATGTCGTCTTCTTTTTGTAATTCATTTAATAGCCCCTGGACCTTTTGGATCATATTTTTGCTTTTCTTTTTTTCGGTTTCTTTCCTGACCAATTCGACTATCTTAGAAATTACTACCTCGAGAGTGTTAATATCGGTAGATTTATCTTTTGTCATATTTCTGAACGACGGAATCTGACCACTTTTCAAATTTTCAATCCTAATGTAGTCCGATTAAATTGAATTAAACTGTAGTAGTGTATAAATAATTTTAATTGAATTTTGACAAGGAGGTGAAATGTTTTTTTTGTTTCTAAATGGGTACTTGTTTACTATATTACTTATTTATGTCATACACAATTTTCACTACGCTACATAATTGGTGAAAAAAAAAACAATATAAATTATTTGGCTACAATTGTTTTTTTTTTTATGATTTAATATACAACAGTATATTTTGATAAGAAATAATTGAATTAACACGAGTGATAAAATATTTTTTAAAAGTATGATGATGTCACAAAACATATATATAATTATTATAAAAACACGAAACACAATATTAAAATATTATTGTTCGTTTATAAAGTGTTAACGATAAAATCTATTAGCGAATTTTATGTACACCTACATACCATATACCGATATACTCAAGGCTGGACATTAACGAGTAAATAAGTTAATGTAAAATTTAAGATAAATTAAACTTTTTTCTCAGATAATTTGTACTCAATTGATTTCTTATTTTTTTAATTTAAATAACTAATTAACAAGTTAATTTTGAATTATTCTATGTAATGCTAATCTTAAGTTTTTTAATTTCGTCACAATATTAAATTTACAAGTTATTCTTACACTAATTGAATAGGTAAGGTCGTATAAAAATTATTATTTCTTTTACTTAATAATATGTGTGAATTTCCTAGTTTAAAATAAGTACAATTTGATTTAACTTATGACAAATTCCCTGCCAATATATCAAACAATTGATGATTCTTATTTTCAGAAAAGTGAAAACTCTTGGTATAATTATTTATACAAAAAACATTAACTTAACTTTAGTTAATAAGTTATCTGATACAATTTTCAAATTTAATTTTAACTTAAATCAGCTGTTAATTAATATAATAATATTAATTTGTCACGTGTTGATTCGTTAACTTTTTTCAATCAATTTAACTTACCTGAGTTAATATTATCCGTTATTTGCTCGGCCTTGCATATACCTGTAGATTTTTTTTAAAACGATTTAAATTTTTTTACTTTTTATACAACTATATATTGTGCTGTAGTTTAAAAATACAATAATACAATATTTGTATACCAAGGTTAACCAATACGAATATGCGGATCATTTTTCCCAACGTGTTCCTAATGCGTGGATATTATATAGTTGAATTTTGTGAAAATGTAAAGTAAAACCGGCTTCTGTTCATTGTCTTCCGAAATTCTTTAGATTCAGATGACGACAAAAAGATAATTTGTTAATAAACGAATCTTGAATGAACTGATGCTATACTATCGGCAATAAATCAATTGGACCCAAATTGTAGGTATACGTATATAGTAATCCACCGTGGTATAAAATCGTATGGAAACCTCGTTGGCTAGATAAATATATACAAAACATTGAATTTTTTTTGAAATTTGTTATCAGAAGAATCTTTAAAAAAAAACTATATTGATTTTTTTCTTCTGTTCATTCTGTTATGTATAGAAATTAATTAATTTATTATATAGATCATTTAGATCGTTAAATAATTAATGCTAGCTTATAAATATTTTCAATGGTTTCTATCTGTTTATTAAGTATACCGTGTTTGAATTGATTTTGTCGTAATAACTTGACATAACTATTTACGAATTATCGACGATTTCATTATTTTTATAATAATTTATTGTTTAGTTATAATCAAAAAAAAAGAAAAGAAAAAAATACATGTGTCACGGAATTCATTTTTCAATATTCATATATAAGTGCGACAGCGCACTGTCTGTACCGCAATATCCAATATATAGATCAAACAAAGGTTTATTATTTTAGATTTTGAGTTCCATAATTGAAAGGATGGGTTATTGTTTGCGGTCCTCATTAGACAGTTTAGGGGGGAGTTTTGGAGGAAACTAGTAGAAAAATGGGAAATATGTATGAAATGGAGCATGGAAACGGATGCGACGAGGTGGAACTTTAAAATTGATGAGGGAGAGGAGAACGGGAGAATCTATTTTGCCAATGAGGAGATTTGATAGGAATGCAATTTATGTATCTATCTATGGTCTGCTAGGGTTGAGAGGCCCAGCTTGCATAGGACAGTAGAGTAGTCGTGGGGTATGAGACAGGGAATATTACCAAAGAAACGGCACATAAAGCAACACTATCAGAATCGTTTTTCCGTTAGCAATGGTTAATCGTTGCGTACATATATATATATTCAATTTCCCCTTTAATAGCTTCCCAACTTCTCACCTACAACAGTTACCCACCCACGTGCGAAGTTTGTCAGTTTTTTTTTTTAACTGTATTTATGTCTTCAAATAATTTAATAACAGCGTTTATATTATTGAGTAATGTCCAGGAGCATAATATTCAAGACGTTTTAGACGTGTGGTCGTGTGGGCACGATTATTTATGAGTCGATGTTTAAACATTTTTATTTTTTATTAAAATATGAGCTGGTCTAAACCTAGAGGCCGTTGCTAAATTAGTTCGATAGAGTATCCACACTGCATACGTGTATGCTGCAAAAATCCCATCAACAGTGTAAACGATATATTAATCGCATTATGTTTACACGTCTAAATTGATACATTTAACATTTTATAATAAAATATTCTCCGTCACATTTTAATATTTTTTTTTTTATAAACAAAAAGTGAAAGTTTATTGAGTTTTTTTTATATTCAAACATTATTCAATACGACCGACCGGTGCATTTAATCATATTTTTTTGTATAAAGAGTATAAATATGACTTATATTATTATGTATATAATATATGCGTTTAGAAATATAATCAATTATATGAGTTATTATTTATAATGTTATTATTGTCATTTAAAATACACAATTCTATATAGATTAACGGTTTGATTAACCTAGGCTACATACAAAATATGCAGTGTTACTATAATATATTATTATACCCGGTGATACGAATAATGATCACTTATGTATATTATAAACTCACAAATCACGATCGATTTGTATTATATCACAGTCTTTAATATTAATTTATGGGACGATTAATAACAGTTTAAAATAATTGAAAAAAAAAAAAATCATCCAAGATTAAATTATTATTAAGTATTAATACTTTTATTATTATTTAACACTTAAGGCGGTTTCGAAAGTTATTCTATTAAAAACAATTTTCCATCACACTCGTATATTATATTCTTGTCTATGTACAGTTATATAAAAGTCATAAGTACCTTCAAAATGACATGATAACCGCATAAAAACAAATAAGTATCGTTGGTTTTAATATTAGAGTATTAATATTGACCGGCAGCCTAACCTAACCTAATCTAATGTTCAGTGACGTGCCCTAGGGAGGGCTAAGAGGGCTTCAATCCCCTTTAATCATTGTCCATGTTAAATACAAAAACATTAATAATACAAACTATTCAGTACTGGACAATTATTACTAATATAATAATAATCATTACGTATTTGAACTAATTATTCAATTAAGTACAAATAATTGTACCTACTACATGTGTTTTCCGAAACGGTTTTTTCCCCGTTGGAAAACCCTGGGTACACCACTGAGAAAACTGAGCAATTTCATCGTTGGTTTTGTGTCATTATTTTAATTTTCAATCGAGAGATAACTTTTTTTGAGTTCTAATATTTCGCTTAAAAATTATAAATTACCGACAAAACACCCACGTAGTTGAACGGATGCAATGTTCTTATTTAAAGTTATTTAGTTGTTAAATGATAGATGAATTCACTCTATCGTAAAACTAGAGGCACACAACGTTGTCCGCTAAGTGTTGAACGCAAATTTATGTCGTACGCATGCTCGTAAATAAGGGGGACTTAGCCTTATATAAACCATCTCAAGCACTACCTATAATATTTGAAGTAATTTAGTCTTTAATATTTGGTTTAAAACCTATTGGGTTCAAGTTCTATGTATTTTCAGTTTATATTTATGCCAATGGTCATATATATGTCGATTTTATATACAACTATAACTTAAATTTTCTCAAAAATAAAAATATTAAAAAATATTTACATGGGTTATTATTTATGTAGGTAAAATGTTCTCTAAATTGTATAAATTTGTGTTTAGAGAAAATCTTCAATGAGTAGCGTACAGAATCGAGATCGGATTTTGTATTACTATAATATTATTTAGGAAAAATGGTTATCAAGTAATAATAATATTTAAAATCGTTTTATTAAAGTGTTTTTTTTTTTTTTTTTTACCGAACCCAGACTTCTAAACTGCGATATGTTTTGAACGTTTATGTCTCCGAACATTTATTTCGAATAAGAAATTTGTTCGTCCGAGTTGGTAGATTAACGATAAATTCGGTTGGAAAAATATAAAAAATAAACGCTTACTGGATAACTTTACTATGAATAATAATAATACTATTTATATAATATGAACGAATTATATATAAAATAGAAAAAATATCGGTAATAGTGTAATAACGTCGGCGCCTAATGTCGATTACAATAATTATCATAATAGGCATTCTTGTATTTTATAGATAAGTGAAATATAGTATATGTTATTCGACTGTTTTATAGATTAGTAAAAATATAACACACCACGTATATTCAGTATGGTTTTTTTCTTAAAATAAATCTATATTTTTTTTTTTCCATATTTCGTTTTTATTGAATAATTTGTAAAAATTTGAAAATGTGTTAAGTAAACGTGGTGTGTAAATCAGAATATATACACAACACCATTAAGCTTTATTAAACGTATAATAATGATATTGTACCAGCTAATATTTTAAAAACGGACAAAGTAGTAGAGTCGTATAATATAAGAAGCTGCTTATTCCGTTTTAACTTATGTAGACCAGTAATTGTAGTAATCAAAATAACGCTATATAACCAGTTCATACGAGAGTATAATACAGCAGACTCGGCAGAAAAACATTTTCTCGCATCATTGACGGTAACACACAGCTCAACTACATGTTTATTTCCGATAATGATTAGCAATAACAACACCGAGTCGTGCTAGAAAAAAAATAAATAACAAACATTATTCTGTCCTAAGATTATGTTAGGTTATATTTCGATAATTTACAAATAAATAATTATACACGCCAATTTCCTAAAAAAAATAATAAATCGTCATTGATAGGTTTTAATGCAGATTTCCACTATACTGTAGACGTGTCAATGCAGTTTTTGGGTGTGTTGCAAAAGCTAGTATTATTATTACTATTCCATACAGAAAGGTTCCGAATTAGAATTAAAGTTTGAACGGTTGCCTGAAATCGTTATTTCTGTTTTTTTATACAACCGTGTGTCGAAATTGTCTACATAGAAAAATGTGTAACCGAGAAATAAAAATAAAAAATTACTGTAAATTGTCAGTGTTCGATTAGACTTAAGTTTCTGTAGATGAAGGTTATTTTTATTTTAGTATTTTTAAAATTTGTCTCCAATAAAACAATTATATTAATCATGAATACACAAATTTGTATAATGCAAGTAAAATATAGGTATAGTTGAAATATATTATGCAACCTAGGTAGGTATCTGCTATGTTTGAAGAATGAAACTTTTTTAAGACGCCTAATAACAGTCGAATTCATTATATTATAATCATTATAATCTTTATCTCGTACATTAACATAAACAGTTTTTTAAATGTGAACAATATGAAAAAGAGTGATTACTTATCATATTTTTAGCGTTAATCCTCTTTAGCTTTATTTTCATATGGATACAACTTTATAATGTGACCCTAACTGAACTGTCTCGTTATTATATATGCTAGTTTCTCGTTCATATTTCACGTTTAAATTTTTCATAATATATTTATAGTTCCATTACGCTAATAATGTATTCCACGTGTATTATGACCTCTTGTAATCACGAGATTTACTTACTTTATAACTTATATATACAAGATATTATAACATACAACGCGTGTTTAGTTTATATACTACTGTGTTGTAGTAAAATTTATTTAAGGATATCATATTATATATTATTATCCTTACACCTAATATTTATATAGATTACTCTTGGTAATATTTGGAAAACCAACACAGAAAAAATATAAACAATTAGATAGATAGAATTATTGTTATTTCATAATAATTATAATTTAATAAAAATAAATGTTAAATCGTTGGTTTTAATCAAAATCTATTAAAAAAATCATACATATTATAATATTATATTCAAACGTATTAAACAAGTAGGTACTTAATTTATTTAATGAATCAATTGAATAAGTAGATATAACGGTTTAAAAATATATATCTAATAAAGAAGATGCGTATCATAGTGTTTTACCAGGAAAAAAAAATGTTAATGCTAAACTTTGAAGTATTTTATATAGGTTAACGACATTATGAAATACTAATAATGTAAACAATTATTCATACGGTATTTTTTTGAACACATACAATTTTTAACATTGAAATTGAAATTTTGGCGTATCTGCTCAGTTTTATACAATATACTTTTATATATAAAAGTAAATAAATTATTAATTTTTAATTTTAACATTTAATAATTTCGTTAATTTATTTTAATAACAACAAATTAACTAAAAAGCACTCTTTAAAATCATGCTAATTCACTTTTTTTTCTATGTAATATATTATATAATATAACCTATGTAAAATCATAAATTATCAGTGTAATAAAATGAAATACAATCAACAATATTATTTAACGGTAATTGAATTCAATAATATCATGTTAAAATCGACATTAATATAAAATAATAATAATATAATAAATACTTGAATCTAAAAAAAAAACTTGTGGTAAAATATATGCTGACAACTTTTATATTATACAAATATAATTTCAGATATTACGTGATATATTATAATATTTAAAAAAATCAAAACGATATTTTTGTTTACCATCTTCTGTCTTTTTTTTTTCTCGGAAAACGCTCGGGTTAATAAGAAGACTACAAATTATTTTCATCGTACCTTAAAAGATGCACATTTTTTATATGAAAATATAGTTCATATTAAATATGTATTTGAAAAATAAAATTTGTAAGTTTTCAACAGTTTTTCTAAACCTTTTCGATAACTTACCACAAATGTCGATACATCGGCTTTATTCTCGTTGAATTCCGGGTTACGAATTTTTGGTTACGGGGACAAAAAACACGACTAATAGGTACTTTACTCTCTCTTAGATTAGGTTTTTCGTTTGCAATGTTTGCAATCGTTGCGTACAGCACATAAACTAAATTACTCTGTATATTATTTTACTTTCTCAACTATCCACCTACCACAGTGTAGGCCTACCCGTGAACAGTGTTAACTAAAAACAATACAACTATAAGCATTGTCGCTACACACGGAGTCTAAAATCAACACGATATTTTAGATTACCGTCTTCGTTAATGCACGAAATTTATGACTGGTAGAGACGATACACGTTCTTATACGTTTTTATTATGAGGTTTATTTTATATTTGTCACCTTATTCTTTTCTTAATTTGTGATTTTTTAACCGAAAACCATTCAAAAATACCTACAAATTATCAAGTATTTAATAAAGCCGTGGACGATTTTTAAACATATACGTTATAAGTTAAATTGAATAATCAATATATTATTATATGTATTATAGGTACATCAGGTTTTTTCATGATCCGTTATTTCCTGTTTACGATTTGATAATCCTTATTTAAATGATCTTTTGTTAAAAATTCAATCTCTAATAACAATATTAACAGTAACATTGACGTTACATTAATCTTATACTTATAATAATATACGGGTGCTTTCACATTGACGTGACATTGCTACAGGGGACGTCGAATATCCACCGACGTCAAATCACACGTACGTTTTCACGAAGAGATGAAAACGGCGAGATAAGTTTACTTAGACCATCTGCAGCTAGTGTAGATGCAAACGATAACCGTTAAAATAATAATGCGTCTTAATCGGTTACAGAACGACTAAAATAGTCGATTTTTAAAATCTTAAATTTCTCTATATATTATATATTTATAACATAGTTTAATAACTTACACATAAAATTATCGCTAATCTGATTTATTGACTCCCCAACCATACGTATTTATTAGAAATGTTAATATTATGAATTACAATATCAATATTACTTGAATATATACAGGATGATGTATCACTGTGTGTATCTCACAGAAAATAAAACCAGGAATATCGTACAGAAAAGTTAGATTTACCAGGACGTACACGTTTAGACACCTTGTATAATATAATCTACTATAACAAACCAAATAAAATGTAATAAATAATATTGGAATTTAAATTATTTCGTTTATATTAGGTATTAAATGAGTATCATAGGTACCATATTAACCGATATTTAACTCGGTCCAATGAAAGTTATAAATTTATAATAATTCATAGTGTAGGGACTTATATTATTACATTGAAAACATCTCTAGTTTTTTTATTAATGTAATAAAACACATATGTTCATATTTACATAACGTGATCTAAGAAACGGAATATCACGAAAATCGTTTTAGATGTAATTTAGTGTGTATTAAGCATCATTGCCCCCAAGGGGCGTTTCAAGTGTGGGATCACTTGTTTAATATATGTAGTTAGGCAGATAGGTTAGTCGTGGTTTTTTTTTTTTTATTATGCTAAATAGCCTAGAAGAAGACGTGTTGTTATATATTATTATTGTTGGGTTATTATCTCATGACCCCTAGCCCGCCGCGAAAACGTATTTTCAAAATTGTTTATTAAAATTATTAAAACGTGTAAATTGAATAATATTCTGAATATTCCATTAACTGTATACCAAATCTTAAATTTGTGAATGAGTTATTGAAAGTCGGAACATTTTGTTTAGATTTTCACAAAACCAGTTTCTTTTTTTTTATATATAATATATATACTTAAGTAGTCTTCTCACTAAAATCACTATCGCGTAGGCATTATTTCCTTGTTCATCTGGCACCTACATTTATAGATTTTAATACATTTAAGTAAATTGTTTATATATACGTCTTTGCTAAAATAATAAAAATGTTTTAATCTATGGGTACTTTACACAAGATTATTTTAGATTCTGGGTATATATTAGACAAACTAACTTATAGCTTAACTATAAGATGTGTTTTTTTTGTTTTTATCTTGGAAAGCTCTTTTTCGGTTAATAAAATTGCTTCAATTTTTAAATGTTATACCTTAAAAAATGCGGAATTTCTCCCTACATTACTTTACCAGAAATATTTTTCTAGACTAATAATAGTGTTTAAAAATAAAAAAAATGGATTATATCGGCTAAAAGGGGAAACAACGTCTAATATTATTTACCTTACAGGGGATCGTTTAACCGATCGGCAAATCGGGAACTTAGAATGATATTTTTTTTTTGTGTAATGATTCATTTTTGCATTTAGTATCTATATAAACTAAAATATCTACTTAGATTAACAGTGTCCTAATACTGCCGATGCATGTGACGGTATTTTTTTATTTGTATAATATTGCGAATTTTACAATCAATAGTTAAATTTTACGATTGGTTGGGCAGTATTGAAAAAAAAAACAACAATATTTTAATCGCTATAGAACGCATAACTTATCATTATAATATTACGGATAATAAGTAACTTTAAATAATTTCAAACTCACGATACGTCCCGGAGAGAGTTGTTACAATACATTAAACAAAAAGACATCATGCCAAAATAGTTGTTGTGTACCTGTATACTTACTGCTACTGCATTAGTGTTGCAGCTTAAAATATTACGCGTCCAAATACGTATTGGAATACTTATACAGTTATTATCTAGATATTATTATACATGGTGGTATTGCATTTTTCGTTTTTAGATTCCTATTTTAATATATATACTATACAATGGATATCGCATATCGTTTTATCGATTTGGATTTAGAAATTGTCGATTTGTTTCGTGATACATATTATACATTTTATGATTGACATGCATGCACTCGTACTATTTTTATTTTTGGCATATGATTATGCGTATTACTAATAGAAACAATAAGTCCAATGTCCTTATTATATATATATATATATTTGGTGCAGCTAACGAAATACACTATTTAATATGAAAAAGATTATGCTCTTTTTTCATCTCTATAAAACATTAAGATTATAATATTTACTACCTATTTTTTTTTTTTTATGATTTCTCGCGCTTTGATATATTATAATCCTTCACAACGATATTAAATCGGCAATATTATTATAATTTACGCTTAAATGATTTAAAATTCTAAATTCTTATAATAATACGTAATGATTTTAAAACCGACGGCGGCATGAAAGTGATAAATATAGTGTGTATTGGCATACTTTCAAAGAACTAGGTATGTAATTGGTATCTAAAATTATCTCGATATACCTTTGTCATGCATATATATAGAGGGAGATTATTTAAGTAGGTACGTAAAATTGCAAAACATATTTTTTTTCCAGAGTATTTCAAGTTTGATTTAATTTCTATGACTTGTATCATAAGTACCTATTTATTTCGAACATAATATTTTTGTTGAATTTTATTTTTTTACGAACATATAACATTTTCGATTTTATTAATTTCAGTGTTACTAAATATTAAAAAAAAAAAAAAAAAAAAAAACAACAATATTATAATCAAAAATGGTCCAAGAAAAAAATAGATAAGTTTTCAATACAAGCAAATTACATTTTGAGTATAAATAGGTTCACTGCCTGTAGGTCCATAAACTAATACACTAATACACACATACATTTACTATTGTTTTTAAAAATACATTCACTTATGTAATTTAGACAATTTAGACAAAATACATAAAGGGGTAAAATTTAATAAGACCAAATTCTATAAAAAATTGACTTAAACATCTTGGGACCATTGATATAGTTTTATACTATTGTTTTTGTATATAAATTCTAGTCATGATAATATTATTATTGCACTTACTGTTATTACATAATAACAGCAACAAAAATAAAATAAACCGTATCTTCACAAGTGTATATATACGATAACAATGTAATTTTAAATAAATTCTCATATTTAGACTTTAATAATTAACGGACGATAGGAAATATTTAAACACTTGTTTATGTATATGTAGGTAATATTGTAACACATTAAATTGTATTTTTATCTCGATATACTTGCAGGGTAAAATGAAAGACATCTTATCGACGAATCTCGTCGTTTTACTGTAGCATAATTTGATAAACAATAATAACTGTATGCATGACGCATTAAAAAATATTCACACGCGTATTGTAATCATGTTAAACGCCAATTACGATGTACGTGTATTTCGATACACGGAATTCGATTGTTGTTCGGTAGGTAGTTATTTCCACGATTATATTATGTTTCGTAGAATACAATTCTCAAATTGTCGTTTCGGTGCATAATATTCGAATTATTTCGAAAATCGGGGAGGACAGCGCCACCGGGATGTTTATCGTGCTGGTAGTTCGTTTTACCTATACCGGTCCGACACACACACACACACACACACACACACACACACAATAGAGACCAACCGTCGAAAAGCGTTTGTAAATAACTTCGGAAGCGTATTAACTCACAAAAGTAGTCCGGAACCACACACATAATATTATTATACTTGCAGGTATGTGGGTATTTTTTTACAAAAAAAAAAAAAATAAATAAAAAAAATATTATAGTCATGTATGTTCGGAATTTCATTTGCCTCCCTGCCGATCTCTCACGCGGATCGCGGTGAAGTGTTGTGTGTATTTTTTCGTATAAAACTCGATCAACAGGTACTTACTTCGCCGCTTGTGCCGTGAGAACACGCAGTGCGCCTACTCCGGATAAGTACTAAATTTTAAATGCTTCCATCGCAACAGCTGCATACAACTATATAGACGAAAAGTAGAAATCTCGCCGTTACTTTATAACGCTACCGACAAGATATAGGTTTAATATATACTATATTATATGCCTTACGTTTGTCTAATTTATGTATTATATAACATGTCTGTTTACCGCATACTTTTCTGTTACAGTATATTATAAAGAATCACAATTTTTTATATCGCGCTGAATATTTAGAAATACCATAAATACATAATAATTATAATACCGTAACATGATATTTTAAACGAATTCTTATAAACACACGCCTATAGGCACCGATTTACTAAATTGTGAGCTTCTGCAATTACCAGCTATACTATGTACAATTCGAAACTCTTTCATTTTGCCGTGCCGACTTTTTCTATTACTTGGCTATTTCTTAATTCTTGATCCGTTCTAAATTTGTTCTCCGTGTTTGTTTTCGTGATTTTCCTTGGTGACATTTTCTCGTCTAGATGGCTTTTTGAGTGTTGAAGGAAATATTTTCTTTAACGTATTCATCCAAAGGAAGTTGATACATATGTAGCAAGGGCAGACGAAACACAGAGTTGGTAATTTGTTTTTATTATTTGAATTTGAAATATACATGCGAATACTTGGACATTATGCCGATACTGTAGATCACTACCTTAAATTATATACATTTTATATGCGTAATTATTACTTTGATCAATCTATACAATTCAAATGAAAGTTATAACGATACGATAGTGGTATAGATATACGCAATTGTTAGTAATGCGTATGACGCTCGTATAACTGCAATGTGTAACTTGCACTGGCTTTACGTGGGACTATAGGCGAGAAAATTCCTAATGGCCGGTGGAGCGGGCACGCGTCTCCCAAATTTGGTAATAACCGGTCGAGTTTGGTAAACGAGTCGAAATAAACGGTTGGATCTCAAGGGAATCGATCAAACTACAAATCTCATAGTTTCTAGTCGTCAGTTTACCGATTGGATCAAATTATATATATATATATATAATAAATAAATATAAAAATGCAATGATATATATTATCGTTCGATATACTCGATAAAATGCAGTAGAATCAAATTTGTACTTGTTTTAAGTCAAGAATTTGTATTGTTACACTATGACTATGACAATACTACCTATATGCGATTTATATAAACCGTCGAACCGTCGGTTGTTGATCTTGAAATTTCGATTTGTAATTGAAAATCGGGTACACAAATTTAATTTATCATGCACAAAATGACGCGGGGAATTTAAAATGAAATATTATTTCATCACCTGTATCACACAAACTGTAGTTTTCGATTATGAAAATAGTCAGATAAAATCCAATAGATAATTCGTCAAGTTCGTGCTCGTCGTATACTGATAAATATTTTTCATAAAATGTAATAATTCATAAATGAAACGAAACAATTGATCGGAATTTATAATATGTAGTATATGTAGTATGTAGTATTGAAATATCTCGAATTCGAGACGAGAATAATCAAATACTTAAAAATCGATTTATCAAAAACTGTCCATTTGATCTGACCGAAATTCTACTAGAAACACGACGATCGACGTTTGGCCCCCCCTCGACGAACGTTCTGATAAATTAATTGATATGTCCGTATAATATAAGTTAACCTGCTACAGGTTATCACGACATATTATATAATATTATGTAAATATAACTGCCGGATTGTCAATTTAGTGTTACCAAATCGGCCGATAGGATTTTAACATTTGTATTATTCTATGTGTGTATAATGTGTGTGTGTATAGTGTGTGGTATTGATTCGTAATCGACGACATTTCCAGCACAAATCTGACTTGACTGCTATACAAAATATCAAAAATTTATATGGGACGCAGCGTAGTTTATATAATATAATTAATAGTACGACCTCAATATTTACAAAGATTTGGAAGAAGTGAAAACATTTCCTATTTAGAATACGATTAAAATAAAACATATATAACATAATGGTCGGGGAATATTAATTTATAAGTTCCGTTTTGGATACACACCTACTGATAATATTATACACAAATAGTTGTTTTTAATTAATTATTAGTGAACACTTTCTGGAGTTTGACGATTCAATCGATAGGCTATTATGTTATAATATTTTAATGAGACATACCTTGTTTAATCCGAATACCTTGTTAGGTTATGGTTACTGGTTAGATTATGATAATATATTTTAACCGTAAAGTGACCCTAAGTATATATACACAGAACAGTTATTTGATTTGATTGTTGTATATAATATAATGTGATATAATAGTTTATAATATGATAGTGTTGTTTGTTTTTTTTTTTTGAAAATTCTGTAGCCGATTTCGTCTGTTATTTGTATATTGTGTATAGCGTTGTTTCGGTGGCGGATGACGTGATTACTAGTGCGGTGGCGGTCGTTTTTTTCTTTAAATTTAAAATGTCACGACTTCCGACATTGCCAAAACGTCGACGCCGCCGGTAGGCTGCTGCAGCAGCGCCAGAGCAACAGCAGCCACACCTGCGGATTTCGTGTAACATTCTTGTCGTAACATGTATGTATATATGTATATTATATCCGTCAGCTATTTATCAATAATAATAACACGATGATTTATGCGAAACTAAGAAGTTCTCAAAAGATATCGAAGAAGATGACCGGGTTATTGTATGCTACACACATATTATTATTATAGGAGTTAAACAGGTTCGAGGTGCCAACGTTAATATTCAGAAATCTACGGGCCGTAATCTGTAATATACGTATAGACGAAATAAAAAAACAAATTATTGAACGAAACATCGCCGTCGTCGTCGTTGTCGTAGATAGTAGTCGAATTTCAAATTTTAACAGTAGCTCGACGATACAACCAGTTTTGCACGGACTACAAAACAATCTAATTAAGACCGACCGTTTGGTTTTTTTTTTTATACATATATAAAGGGAACTATAAAATGGTCAAATTGTTTATTTGTTTGTTTTTTTTTTTTTGAAGTCTTATTGTCTGAGTTTACCGACAGCAGGGCAATACTGGAATCGGGTAAATAATTCCGTGGATTTTACGTCAAAACGTTGTCAAAACAATGACATAAAAATAATTTTTTTAATAGACTCCGCATTTATGGGGCGTAATAATATTATAGCTTATTCCGAAAGCAATAAATAAAATCGTAAAAAACACAATAATTGTTTTCTTTATTTATTTTTTTATATTTTTCCTTTACAAGTTAACTTTTCATCTCTAAAAAAATGTCAAATATTATGATATAACCATAAATATGAAGATACTATATTATTTTAGGTACTTATTGCACTTTATTTAATATTACGAAAAAAACCTTGACATACTGTTTATTATATTTTATATTAAAAACATTTTTTTGTTTTTGGATGTTTTAAAAATTATAAAATCCAACGTGATGGTAATAACATTGGTGTAAAATGTTAATTCATTGCAAATACTATTTTTATAACTAATTTAAGATATACTATATTTAGGTACCCTACCCAGCTTGCTGTTAATGATGTATGTTTTTCTTCGATTATCGAACTTTATCGACATTTGAACATAATATACGTGTTTCTTATTGTACTTTCTTCTCTCGTAGGGACACAGAAAATCAAAAAAATCAATTCGAAACAGGAAATACGAGTACACGAATCGAATTTCACTCGGAATATTGTTTTTCGAACGTGATAATGTTACCACACATTCGTAATTATTTTAATTTTATTCTACATATTATATTGGCTGGCGCCCTTGTAGCTCACTTAAAATAATCGTAACGGTTGAAACGTCATATTAGACCAAAATAAAATAATATTATTCGATGTTGACCATTTCATATTAATATAATTTAACTTAGAAATTAAATCAATTACCCGAAGTTATTTTTATGTATATATATCTCTATATAGAGAGGAAGAGATATATATAGAGAGAGGAACGTGATTGATTACTTACTGAATTTAGATTTTGAGTGGAACGAAGAATGTATTGGTTTTACAATGATGATTATTTTTTTTTAATGTAAACACTTTTTCTACCAGAAAGCTTACTCCGATTATCAAGTATAGCACCTTTTCTGAAAAGAAATTTTTCTGGGTTGTACTTTATGGAGGTCATTTTTTAAAATTTTCAAGATTATGAGGAAAACCTCGGTCATCAGGTTAAAAAATATTTAAAGATTAAAAATAAGATTGTCATTGGCAACGGTTTTTATTTATTTTTTGTTATTATTAAGTTTTTATTATTTTAATATTTTTTAAATAATCATTGTTGTTATGAAAACCACATTGGTGTAATCATTTTACCATAATATGATATATACCATTTATTGTATTGCTGACAAAGCAACACTATCTACTGAACTCCGCTCAGAACCGTTTTTTAGTTAGCAATGGTTTATCATTGCTTATAGATATACATTAATGAATCCTACCTTCCCAACTTTTTACCTACAACAGTGGCTGCACCCATGTGCGAAGTTTGTCCGTCCTTTTTTTCAGATTCTATTTACTACGATAATAATATTGTTCAATAAAAATTGTAAAAAAAAAAAAATCTTTCGATGACAATCAGTAAGTCATCTGAATTAACGTTAAAACATTTTTGAACATTATATTATTGTAATTGTTTTAAATCAATAATTAATTTTTTTTCGGTTATTGGATATAGGCACCTACAATATCATTAAATAATTTAATTGAGATTAGTGCTTTGATTTTATTAATAGCAATATTCAATTATAGAAACAAAAACTAAATAAAAATAGAATTGTATACGGATGAATTTTCTAGCAAAATTGCACATACTGAAAACGAATGTGACTTGTAATATGCTGCCTTCGTCTTACAAACGAATAACATATCAAATCTGAGTTCAGCAGTAACACATTTTTGCAATCAGTTTTAATATAAGAGTGAATTGATTTATTATAAAAATTTAATATAACATTATCTGTGTAACGTTGGTGCAATTTGTTTGATATTTTAATTTTTAAAGAAATATGAACGTATGAAGTATCACAATTTAATAATGCTTATAACTTACTTGAAAATTAAAATATCGAAAAAAAAGAACCTACGTTGCACAGATAATATTTTTATATTTAATTTTGATAATAGGTCAATTCACTCTAATATCAAAACTAACAGTACAATGTTGTGCCGCTACAAAGTTCAACAGAATTCAGCTGAATTTGTTATAGCAAATTTGGTATATCGTACGTTTGTAAAACGGAGACAACATAATATACGAGTATTACACCCTTCTAATAAATATAATAGATATATTATCTATTTATTGTTACTGGAATATTATACATATAGGCTTATTTGAAAATGTTATATTTATAATATTACATAAAAAAAACACCAATACTTAGGGCACGAGCCATATTATAATAATCATAATCTTCCTCCTCTCTCGTGTACCATATATAAACGATTTTTTATAACATTATCAACATACCGTCTGCATACCTAATACCTGCTATAGTAATAATTATTATGCGATTATATGCAGATTTTAGATGTATTTCATAACGACAAAGTAGCATAATTATTATTATTATGCATCGCGTGTATTTTATAAATTATTATATGATTTATTGACAAATCTCATTTTTGCACAAACGATCAATATAATAATACAGTTTTCGACGTAGATCAATAATTTATATTATAGTACAGTAGTAGTTACAGGTGTGTTTTCGACAAAACCGTGTTATTGTCTCGCTGTTGTAAAAACGGTTTTTTGTGTGCTTAATACATACATAATAATAAATACTCATACTCATAATAACGTGTAGTGTTCATTTTATCCCCCGAATCGGGTTAAAAGAAACCGCGAGTCTTGGTGATGGTGATTATCATTGGATAACAATAAAAATATTAGGTACCTCCACTCGTTATTCGTTTGTCGGGCGGTGCCTTTGTGTCTGCAAAACGTCATATATCACATTTCGTCAGGTCTCGTCAGCTGTCTGTAAAACTGCGTAAAAACTTTTCGGTCGTTTACAAACCTGTTGCTGGTAATAAATCTATATGTTGTTCACGAAATACGACACTATACATTGTGATATACATCTAGTCGATCGAACGCCGCCTCATTGATAGATTTGGCAGTCATCTAAAAATGACAATAACCTCATGATACTACTGCACCATCGTTGTAGTGCGACGTGCGGAGATGCCAATAAAAATCCCATTAATATAATAGACGCCACGATTTCGGCGATATCGTTGTAATGGTTTTTGCTAATTATCGAACAGAGTAAAATGTCGCGTATGCGCATAATATTCATAACATAATGTGCTCGCGTATAAATAGTTAAAACTTTATAAATCGATAACACTATAATATTATGATATTCTTTGTTGTATTACGCAAGCGTTGTACTATCTGAATTTATAGAGATTGCAAAATATTTGTTTTTATCTGAACATAGCTATAAGCTATAGAGTACGTGTAGCGCAGGTATAATATTTTGAAGGTATATCTGAACAATAATTTCAAAAGTGAATCTTTTACTTTTCTGTTTTTTTTTTTTTTATTTTTAGTATTTCATAGTTAAAAGGGCATTTTTAGAATATTTCTTGATTATGATTTTTTTATTTTCACAATTTTCCAATTACAAGTGGCTTTAGTGATTTTACAGGCTAAAATTCAATGTAATTTGTATTGTTTTCCAAAGTCTGTTATGCGATGTTCGTTTTGTTACAAATCCGTTTTTCATGTATGTTTGAATGATAACCAGACATTTTGTTTTGTATTTTTTTTAAAGTTTTTGAGACAATTTTTTAATTCATTTTTTATTAGAGCATTTTAGGATTTGTGAGGTTTTTGGATCTAAAACTGATAGAGCTTTATTTTGAGACTTTTATACACTAGCAATACTTTTATTATTATATAACAATCATTATTAGTAAGTGCATTAAGATAATGATCTTATCATCGAGCAACAGTAATTTCAAAATCTAGATAATGAATTTCACATTTTTTTTTTATTTATTTATTTATTTTTATTTTATTGAAGTTTAAAAGCGTAAAAGCATTATTTTTACTAAAATTATTTGGTTTTTATGTGACAATACATTCTCAGTTTGGTATAGCTTTACTGATAATATATTATTGTTGTGAGAAATGGACGGATGAAATCATGTCGTTGGACGAACTTAGGCGTCAATAAAACCCGCGGTATACCTAAGGTTAAAACAATATTATCATTCTATATCTATATATATATTATACAGATGTGCCGTATTCCTTATTGTTGTTGTCTGGCCCGTGTTATAATATTTTTTCGTATATAGCTGACGTTTCACACCGCGTCTGGTGGTTAACTGTATAAAATTGATAATGTTATCTGTTTGCCAAAAAATTTCAAAGAGTTCAATGTTCTTTTAAAAACGTGCTCTTTGGGTTTTATAATACAAGAGCACACTATACGTATATTGCCTAATTAAAATAGATTGTTTTATAATAGTTAAGTTTTTTAATATGCGTTTTAATATTGCGTAGGTACTTATAACATCAAACATTGTATTTAATATCATTATAATATGAACATTATTATTATTATTATATACGATTACGATAATATTATATATATATACATATAATTATTTTCACGGTCTTCCTAGAAAATATGTTTTATGGACTTTTATTTAAAATAATTTTTTTTTAAACTGTAATAATATTCGTTATTTAGATAAAATTTAGTTAATTTTGTATATACGAAAAATTTCGGTTCGTCGTTTTAACAAACTATACGTGTGTATATAAACGTACCTATCTATACGTTACGTTTGCGCGAATACATCATTTTATAATTTATGACGTCTAATTGTAAAATGTTGTATTTGTTTTTGTTATCTGTTCTAATCAATTTTATTATATTTTTTTCCTGAAAACGTATACAATTGAATTAAATAGGGTGTTGTTATTTTCGTATATTAGATTTATCACGAATTTACATATTAGTATTAATAGAGAAATATTATCGAGAAACAGTATTTTTCGTTTAATAGAAATTTATTTGATTTTGAAAACAGTAGATTATTATTTTTTAATCGGCTTAACCTGTATAGAAGTGTCAAATGATAATAACAATAATAAACAAAATTAAATTAAAATGATGCCTATAAAAAAACACGAGCTATTGGTTACGAAAAAAAAACCAGTTAATTAATTCTAACGAAATTATTTAATAGTTTGGTTTGATATAGTTAAAAAAAAAAAAAAAACAAAGTTTCCAAGTATTAAAAAGATACTTTATATTCATTATGAAAACACGTATAAACATTTTTCTTAAAATATTTATTATTATTAATAATAATCTCTTTGGACGAAACTACGTGTCCAAATTAATTATTAATTTTATTGTTTACCTAATTTGCGTTTAATTATAATTGCGTTTTAATAATTTTTGATAAAGTCATTTCGGTATAAAACAAAGCTATAATTTAAAGGTGCATTATATTTGATTTGATTTGATTATACAAATTATGTTTTGTTCACGATAGTTCACAAATTTAATCTAAGTTGTTACATCAAGACTAGTCGAAACTCATAAATCTTTGAGTGCATCACATACACGAGCTGCTGTGTTATTCAACATTGAACCATTTCAAAAAAACAAAAAAAAACAAAAAAAAAACCAGTAGATTCTACTATAATATCCTAAATGATTTTTAAGCGCTCAGACCAATAAACAAGTTTTTTTTTTAGCATTTTGAAAGCAAGAGTAAATCAACTCGGTAACATAATGTATATATATGTATACTCATATAAATGGGGAACGTTTTTTATTTGTTTATTTATACATTTTTAATTTTTTTTTTTTTTACAAGTGTTTATTAGTCGGATACCGATGCTGGCCTGTGACTGCGTCTAAACTCCAATTGTGTTGTGAGTGTGGCTCTAGGAAAAAAAAAAAACTCGACTCGTTTGTACATATTTATTGCCTACATAGAACGCCGAGTTAAAATGCCAAGTCTGTATATTAAGTATATAGCGAATCGAATCGATAAACCTACTAACAAATTTTTACTTTTCAACATTGAAACCGTTCTCTAAACACTTAGGTATAATTCGATTTATTTATTTATTTATTTTTTTAAACAAAATTCAAGATTAGGTATAGAATATTAACTATCAACAATGATTTTCATATACAGTTCATTAAATTGCATTTTTAACTTTTACTCATTCGAAATTATACATACGCATATGTATATATTATATTGTGTTCCACGCGTCGTATTCGCAGCGAATAAATAAATTATATATTATAATACAATTTTAATATATAGAGGATAATTACGGTGTAAATACTTATATAAGTTATCGATATTATTTATGTTACACCCCTGTAATTATAGTATAAGTACCTACGTGCATGTCGTGCTGTTCAATAAAGATAATACTCTATAGATTATGGTACTTTGTTCGGTTCGGTCGATACACTCGTTTTAATAATGATAATGCGGTATAAAACTTCGAGTAAAATATTAACATTCTAAGAAATTACATTTTTTCCAAACGGAAGTGATAATTATCATATTTTCTTTCTACGACTATTATGAGATTTCGTCCGTTATTTACTCGAACGAATCCGCGTAATATAATTATACACACGTTTAATGCATATTTATGCACAAACATTAATATTTGAATAGTACGCACGTACGCATACGTATTGTCTGTAAAGGGCCGATTGAAAATATTACATTTTAATCGATAGCTATATATTTTAGATTCTGGGCGAAGCGAAAGTAACAATTTAATAATACTCTGCTCAGAATCGTTTTCGTTAGCATTGGTTTATCGTTGCGTACGGATATAAATTCAATTATTCTTTTATGTTCTTCTTTTAAATTTCCTAGCCAAAACGGTAGCCCACCGCCCATCAGCTGCAGTATCAGTCTTTTATTATTATTAAAAGGAATATTGCTGGTACCTCATACACATTTTTCTTTTACCCACTGTCGCTATATATTTTCGACGAGAATTTGTCTGTTAAAATTAATTCGTTTATTGCAACGACGTAGGTATAACGTTTTTTTTGTTGAGAGGCTACAAGGTGGCCTGATCATAATATGTATACCGGTATTCAGAATAGAAAAAAAAACCGTAGTTCTCTTCTACAGGTACCTACTGTTGTACTGACAACGTGGAGTAGAATTTTACTCGAGGGCTATTATTTTTATCAATTAACAAAGTAAAATATAAATACCGCCGCGTTTATACGTCTTGTGTTTTTTTTTTATCTCGGTGTAAATATTGTAAACCACGAACTTTCTCTCGCTGTTCACCTACAACAGCGTGTGATTCGATTTAAATACTACAATCTAAGATTAAAAGTAATATAATATTAATTTTTTTTTTTTTTCATTCACACACATTCTATAACTATTACTAATACTATACTGATATTATAATCTAAATACTTTAGATATAGATAGAATATAACAATGTGCTAAGTATAGGGGGCTTTTGTTTGTGAACGAAAATGTAATTAATTCGCATTTATAAAAAAAATGTATATATTACTACGTTTATTATGCAGTCGCTAATACGTAGTAAATAACCTTAATTAGTTTGTATTTCAATACAGGTTTATACATGTGTATATATTAAACATTTATAATACATCATTTTATACACGTGTTCCATCGTGTTCAACGGATTTATAAATCATTGTTAATATTTATTTAATTTTTTCAATCAGATTTTGTGTCACGTAATTATATAGAGACAATTAAATTTATATTTCCGCCATCTAATCACTAGGAAAAATAAACAAATTATTTGTTGACTTTTAAAAATTGTATTGTTTTAAAAACCGTACTGTACCATATATTTATATCTGATAGTTTTTTTTAGTCATTAATACGTTTAATAGCCGTTTTAATTTCTAATATTTTAAGTTCCTAATACAATAAATACAATAGGTATAGAGTAAAATAAATATCTGCTATTTTAAACAAAATTATCGGTTGAATATTTTATTATGATTGCGATTCCCTATCGCGAATGTGGTAGTTTATTGAATATGATTTTATTACACCTCTTCTCTAGAAACAACCATTACTAAGGAACTATTCATACATAATATGATTCAAATTTGTAGAATAATGTCTATTAAAAATCGGTTATCTTGAAAATATTGAAAGGTAAACAAATAAAAAAAATAATTATTTTTTAGCGATTAAAGGGTGATAGTTCAAATTTAATTTTTACGTTAAATATGTATTCAGCTGAGAAAAAATCCGATTGAAAAAAAATAAATTCAATACCAATAACGACATAAAAGTCCGTTGAACACTGTGGGGCCCTAAACATGTATTCAGTTCCTGTCAATAATATTAAGCCAATTATCGTTTACATGCATTTTTTAATACGAGTGTTTAAGTTAATTCGATACGATAAATCGAATAAAGTTTTTACAACAGATTAATCCTTAACTACACGCGTTGATGTATTTTGTACACCAAACTTTCCATTTATCTTGTTCTATTTTGATTCATAATTGTTTTCGGTTATTCTCCTAATCTAACCTTTCCTTATCGTACATATTATAACAGTTAACATTGATTTCTGCGTAAACTTAATTGAAAAACAAATAACGCGTGTTGTTAAGTATTAAGGTAATATACGTGTGAGAGTTTAACTAAATACGGATTAGATTGATGCGCACTAGCGACTCCGTGTAAACGTGATTTATAATCTATAATATATGCATCGCTACATTGTAGTTTGACACATATACAGGTACGCACGCATTTGTTACACAGAGGTGATACTTCATAAATTGTATGCGCACATTAGATGATACTTCAGAATTAATGACTATAATAATATTATACTAAACTAAATACTGTACCAAATTAACGGTTTTTTTTTAAAAATATTATAATAAATAACGTTTTGATAAACTAGTTTAAATCGTTTACAGGTAAGAATAATTTTTTTAAATGAGTTCTGAACACCACTATACCTATGTACAGTTTGTCCAATTTTTAATGTAATTTGCATAATGAGAGCCACTTTTTTTTTTTAAAATACGTGCGATCTTCCGATTTGTGCAGTAAACTGGTCTCCTTGATTTATGCATTAATTTCGATTTATAGCCCACACAATTTAATTATTACGATATTACGTCTAATCATTAACAAAATGTATAAATTTGCGAGATAAAAACAATTTATTAACTTTTAATATATTGTTATTTGTTATACGGCGTCTACCTACAATTTTCTCTAACCTACACGTTTTTGCTATTAAAAATATGTGTACCTAATGAATGAATGATACTGATTTTTTTTTTTTTTTAATTTTTCTCGCGTTTTAATCGTTTTTTATGTTATTATAGAATTGCTATTGTCTATATTATATAATAGAGAGTTATGTATAATTTTGTTCAATATCACTTTTTAGACTTTTTTTTTAACGAACATTAAGTATAACCTATACAAATTTGGCTTAAAAATCATCACGAATTTCTGTATATAAAATAATATATTAATATTTATTTTTTAAAAAAAACCACGAATAATTGTAAAATATGTAAATTGTATGTGCATAATATTTTCGGCTGTTGTTGATTTAACGATAAATTGCACGCGCGATCGCCATAAAAGTATAATATAATAATATCAATATGCAAGTACCTATCACTTTTTCGACGTTTTAAAGAATATAATACGGCAGATGTATTGAATACGATATTTTGGGCCAGCGATTGTCACGAATAATATCATATTGTCGTGCGTGTAAAATAATAATGTATTAATCTAAAAGTGCAGATGATTGTAAAATATTATGACGCGCTCGTCACAATATTTCGGCCGTTGTTGATTTAACGATATAAATAATTGCACGCGCGCGGTCGTTGTAAAAGTGCCTGTACTTATATTATCATTATTAATAATAATATAATAATATAATAATATGCAATATTATATCTTGCACAAACGCATCGCAATAACGTTTGAGATTGCGACGCTATTTTTATTACAGCCGTTGTAATAGTGTAAGCATAATGATTATTGTCAAAATGTCGGACGTTTGCACGTCATCTATACAGGGCCATTAAAATTTCGCGATACAGTCAAATATGGAAATGGAAAATTTCACTCGTATCACGAAACTTAAATGACCGTGTTTACATGATATTAGCACGAATCGAGATAAAAAACAGGATACGGAACTACAGCACGATATCATAGCTTATCATTATTAAAGACGAATCATGTCCCGCGCCTCATATCAGTTTGAAACTTCACTACTATGGCACGTTTTCGGCATTCGACCGTCAGTGTTTGAATTGTGTCAATAAGAAATTATATTATTATTTAACAATGCATACCTAATAATAATTTGTGAAGTTCAATTATTATTTTATTTGCATCATTAGTAACCGATGTCGTAAATAAATACTTTCATTTAATATGTTATATATTAATGAAACACAAAATAAATTATCCATACAAATAATTAAATTATTATAATTAGTCGTTGTTGTATACTGGTTTTAACACAACACGCAAAGTCACAACAGCAAAACAAAATAACAATAATAATAATAATTTATGTATTTAATAATTTCATAATATGTGTTTCGTGCATTATGAATATCATATAATTTTATACTTTTGCAGCGGTACAACATAGACCACCGTCACGATAAAGCATTAGGAGTTTATAATAAAATTATTTTACCAAACAGGCTATATAAAAAGTTTTTGTATTTCTGAATTCGTGATATTATATTGGGTAGGTTCTATCTCGTTTGCTTGATGTTATCGAAAATTGTATCTAAAATTGTGTTTCGTCGTCGTCATATTTGGTTGTCGGCAAAGAAAAAACAAATTTCGGAATTTTGGAAAAAAATGTTTCACATAAAAGTAGTACTTTCCGACTGAAAATCCGCGTCACAATAACATTGTTGTCCCTGTCTATCTAACCGGCAATATAACAGAAACGTGTTTTCGTTTTACCAATAACACTCAGGCAGGATCTTATAGATCTATAACCAAAAGTTGTTGTATTTTTAAGCTAATGGGGGATATAACACTACCAAAGCCTCCCCCACCTCCCCTCTCACGCCATACTGCGATTACGTAACGATTCGAAACATTAATCGTAGTAGCGTTTTCCGCGTGTAAAAATAAAAAGACGATTTTAATAGTATGTACCCGTTGGAAAAATATAGTTTTCTTAAACTAGTGTAAACAAACACGAATATCAAGGGTTCTCGCGTATATAATTCAAACCGAGTGGACATTTATTTATTTATTTCGTCTCTCGGTCAGTTTTTTCGGTAGTTCGGCTTCTGTATATTATAAATAACGAAACCATCCATAGAGTCATGTACTGTGATTTGGGGCAGCAGCATATCATATTATAATACCGTAAAGAAAAACTCGTTTATATTTATGGGTTTCATTTGTTAAACGCGGTTACACTTACGCGTTATAATAATCACGTATATAATATATATATGTGATTATTAAGTGGCCACTTTCTTGTGGCTTGTGACGATGACAATAACTTAGAACGGATTTTTTTTTTATTTCACTATATTATTATTTACTTTCTGTCCTCTCTGCCACCTTTTTAACCTCGTCAGCCCGCACTCGTGTATATAAACATTATTATTATATTATTATAATGATATCCATGTAATAATAATAATAATATATACAACAGACTTACACGTGTACTCGCCGTAGGATTACACTAGGCTTTATTATTATTTTATTACAAACACTCCTGCTGCAGTGTCGGTAGTACGGCCGACTAGATAATATGATAATAATTTTTAATATACGGTGTGGCCGGTAAAGAGGGTAACCGTTTTGGACACGAGGCTCGAATTATATCATCTCGTACGCGCTTATAAGAAAAACAACTGCACAAACGGCTCGCGGACACATCATACGGTGAACTCGCGGGCGGGTCAAAGGGATCCGATGTAATGCGAGTACGATACACGACGATTATAATTAAGGAACAGTCCGACCCCGACGATGAGGATATAGTCTCCTTAGCGAACCTATTAAAAAAAATAAAAAAAAAAAATACGGGTCGGTGTAAAGTATAATAATTTGTTCGTTAAGATTAATGTCTTTTCGGATATAATATTATGTGTGTATCTCGTTATGACTTCATTTAAATGCGTCCCATAAATCAGGACGCGCGTATAGGTATAGGTACATACGTACGTACGGTGTATATACAAGAAAAACTTACTAACCTCTACGGAGTACTATAATAATATAAAATACAAACAGCGTTTTACTTGTACTTGAATAAATCACATCTATATAAATGAAAAGAAAAAAAAAACATAAAATCGTTTTCAGATTATAATATACTTCTATTCTGGTATCTATAGACATATAGACGTTGTTGTCGTGTTCACAATAGTCGTATACAGAGTTCTATATTATTACTGCAGTGTATAGTGTTATTTATAACATACACGCGCTACATATTTTACACCCTCGGAAGGGTTTTAGATTCGATTTTAATACTATTGCAGAATATCGAACATTTTACTCTAGTTCGGTGGTTATTTTAATGATAATGCATAACTATATGTGAATCGCTAAATGCAGGTACGATACATGTTCAAATTTTTACATTTTTTGTGAAATACAAAAAACTCTTTAAGCACCTAGAGTTTTATAATATTTCATAAATCGAATGTAGAAACGTATAATAATAATAATATTTAAAACAACATTAGTTATGTGCATGAAATTTGTTTTTCAATTTTTTTAAATATACGTATGTTAAGTATATTTTGCATTTTTTTTAAAATGTTTAAAATTTGAATATGTGCCTATTCTGAATTTAATGATTTACCTGATTCATGTATAATATTGAAATAGATAAATTTGTTTTAACTGTTCTGCTTTCTGAAATTGTATAGTTTTTTTTCCAGTACACCAGATTAAAATTGAAGGGCCGCGGGGAAAAACGATCATAGTTAATCGATTGTCAAAATAAAGAGAATTACATCATCTAGTGGTTTGTTAAACGAATTGATGCACCAATCAAGTTCGTACTACAATAGAGTTTTAAAATACGAGCGAATATGGGAAAAAGAGATCCGTGTGAAAATATTGAGAACATTGACTATGATCGTTTTCTCCCGTAGTCTTTCAGTTGTTATAATTCCTTAATATCTATGACAATTTAATAGATATATGTAATTTTATCTAAAAAAAATATTTTTATAGAGATATAATATCACTTTTTAATATATTTAAAATATAAATTTATAAGTTCACGTAGTTGACAGAGTAATTATAGTAATATACGGTGGATAGAAATTGTAAAATAGTTTATTTAGGTTTTAAATTAGTTTTTGCTTCTTTTTGCTTCTCGTTTGTTTTTTCACCTTTTCAGATATGTTCACATTTTCCTGTGAAGGTGCCAAAGATATGGAGCAAATATATCTACACAATTAACCTAGCGTTTCGGTTTAAATTTGTTATACATTTGCCATTTTATATTTACCATGTAATGAAAATAAAATGTTATTTTAATGAGTTGTATTACAATACGCGTATTGTATTGTTCAATATGCGCGTTTATAAAATAACCACTATATTATTTAAGATTAATGAAAAATAATAAACACGCTTGATAATATGTTATTAGGCAGGTAACTATTTACCGTAACCATCACGACTTTATTGACGGGCTTCATAAAAACGGATATATCTATCAAGAACCTATTGAATTTGAATCCGGCGGCGGCGGTGGCGGTGATGTCATTGAATAATAATGACGGCCATATGGTATTATACATTCACGTGTTTATTTTTTTTTCTTTGAACAATTAAACTATATACACCTAATAATACGATAAAAGATTCTTTTACGACTGCCCGTACGTTTTCGTGCTGGCCGGCCTCTAGAACGCGCAGCAATACGGAGATTTCGAGTGTAACGACATCAAAGGAAATTATAATAATAATACAGGGGTTGAAAATATATACGTGACAGTATGATATTTATTGTCGAATTCGTGCGGTGGTTATATAGACCGGCGCATTTCAAAATGGACATTCTCGTAGCGCAGCAGCTGTAAAACACCCGCCCGCGATATTATTATATAGATACATTCTGAAAAGGCATTCGCGCTATTGCGTATATAATATTATTATTAATTTAACGCGTCGAATCGTATATTTTTCTCGGACATTGCTTGATTTTTGTGTAACATCGGATCCGAAATTCGCGCGTATAGAGGGCGCGATTCACGTGCACCCGGCGATTATTTTCGATTTCGAGTAAATTTGAAAAAAAAAATTATGAAAATGTCACCCTTATTGGTTATTCTGCAGTGTGCTTGCCATTCGGCGTATTGACCATATCGTACATTGTTTACAATTTAGAGAATTGGGGAAAGGTTATTTAAACATAGAATGTGATAACTTTATCACCTTTTCCTACGCACTAATCCGTTTTACATTTTTAACTGTTATCTCTTCTTCTTCACTGACATCTATAACTCTCTTAGAATCTTCCCCGCGCCATTACTATATTATGTCTAACTTGAACTATTATTGTCTTACATGTGTTTTACATTTCTACGGTTTTAAAATCCATTTTTTCTCTAATAGGGAATAGGGTGTATGTATAGCCTTATGTTACGTTTGTTGTTTGTACGTAAGAGTAGGTCTATAATAATTATTGCTACAGTGGAAACGGGTTTAAAGCGGGGAAACACACTATATTATCCCCTTTATCGTTTAATCTATAGCGCTGGAAATGCGAGAATAATGCAAACTGTATGGATATTAGAGAAACATAATTATGAATATCGCATTGAACACAGTAGAACAATTCGTACACAGTTGATAATATAATTTTTTGTACCACTAATGTTACGGCGTTTCATTTGTATAAAACATGAGGGATAGCGGTTAACTAACATCGAGTACAAATTGTAGGTTTTACACTTTTATAAAAGCTATCATAAATTACTTACCCAATGTTATACTGTATAGTCGTGTGTATATATAATTTTCGAAAACTAAATTTTCAATTGTGAGTTTCTAAATCAACAGTTTATATGACTATAAGGTTCAAATTTTCTAATTATTGTAAATAAGATAATTATTCGAACAATACAATGAAGTTAGGTTATGATTGGAAAACAAAAAGAAAAAAAATCAAATTAAATTTATACTATTTGAACTGTACATAGAACTATCTAGTATGTATTATGGTGTAATTTATTTCAGGGGGGGATTGGAGAGGTGGGGGTCTGTATACGTGCCTGTTCTGTGATAGGTACTGCAATGTACATTACAAAACCAGGAAATCTGGAAATATAATATGTATATTATTATTATAATGAAAATCGCCCGCGCAGACTTCAAGGTTTTTTCGGTGTTCATAATATTATGCTACCGGGTCCCCGTATACCTAAATTATATTATACATACGCGTATTATCATAATGGTGGTCTGATTCGGGCGACCGTATAGGTACGCCGCGCGTATATCATTCCGATGTGACAAATTATCCGTATAATAACACCGCGGGAATCGCGCGTGTCCGAATATTATTTTATTGTACTTGGCCAGGCAGGTATATACCGTATGGGAATAATAACAATAACGACGCAATCAGAGTTTATTACGGGGCCGAGTCGTTTAAATGTTTAACAATAACTCCATAGACGTGTCGCGCCTCGTGTATACGATCACAAGCACATTATGTATGTTTCCGTTTCCCTTTATGTATACCATCATATTATATTGTTATAATTTTTTTTTCTTTTATAACATTTTCGAAAACGGCTCTCAATGGACGGCCTCATCTGTGCGGCGGCTGCTGTTGGCAGTGCCGCTAGACTTTTACTGGCCGACCCCGTACAGATATAATTTATGGTCAACCCCCGTGAGCTATATAAACCGGTGGAAAATCTGACAATCCGCATCATTTACACGTCTTATATATTATTGAGATGTACCTAATAATACTGGTATACAATAATGCGTTTTGTTCGGAAGCTGTGACCCGTGGACGGGGATAAATAGCTATCCGAGACCCTCGTATTATTATTATTATTATATTATACACATTATTGAGGACACCAGACCATATTTTTTTTTTTAAATTTATAATACTACACATTTTGATTGTATATTGAGATAATAGATTCTAGAAAATACCCCCTGTTGCGTCCCCTGTACTTACGCTATACTATTTAAATATTATAATATCATAATAATTATTTTTCTATGCGTACTTTAAAAAATCATTTATACATACTATTATAAATCCAAAACATTCAATGAAGGTTCTATGATATCAAAATAAATTAAAAATCATTAAATATTTCCATTATTGATTTGGAACTGCTTCCAAGAAATTGAAGTTTTCAAAAAAAAAAAAAAAAAACTAAAATTAGATTGTGCATGTCAATAATAAGGACAGTGCTTTTATATAGACATGAGATATAGATAACTAACAACTGAACTTAACGCAAATTATCAGAAATTTTGTGGCTAAAAAATTTGACAATAGTTTTTTAAATTGAGATTTCGAAGGTTAGTAAGGAAAATTCAATAAGGAATCAATTATAAGCTTCATAAAGGATTAAAGGTTAGGTTAAGATAAGATCGGGCACGTAAAATCTGAAATAATAAAAAGAAGTTACCAATTGGAAACCAGGAGGCCCAAGAAAATGCATTAGAAAAATATTTGGAACATGTGGTTGGAGAAATACCGTCCAGTATCAGGAGAAATGGTGTTCATGAAAATTGAGTTCGAAGAATCTTGGGATCTCGCATTTCGTTTTAGATTTCAATAAAAATCTTATCATACATCGGGAAAATTCCTTCGAACCTTATTTTTTACGTGGCTGTTAGGTTAGGTTAGATTAGGTTAGGTTTACACACTTAAACGATAAACCGTCCTAAAGAAGTTTTAATATCGGTAGTACTTATTATAGTATTTTTTGTTGTCGCGTCATTCACGCAAATGCATTCGCATCGCTAACTAGTTCATCAGTGACTAGTTGTTATATAATTGCTGATAAACGATTTTGATTAATGAGTTTGATAACTATATTATAACTATATAACTAATTTTGTCGGTTAATAAAGAAATAAAAAAAAAGATCATGTCGTATACGTAATACACCGTAAAATTATGTTATGCATAAATTTGTTTATAACCGTACGACAAAAAAAAAAAAAAATGATAATTATAATAAAATAAATGAAAAAAGATTATTTTGTTTGATATAGTAAAGTTGCAGTTGTACGTACCGAATTTTGAATAATTCGTATATGCAATCGTAAAGACATCGAAATCGTTGTCAGAAATCGTAAATAATGAATCATTACAAAATAATTAATGAAAATAACCGACGGACAAATTGTAAATTGCGTGCATCATCTCCTAATTTAAATATAATAATATGCAAGTACTATATACATATATATATAATAATATATAGTAATGTATAATTACATTTTATTTGCAATCATTTGCATTATTATAAACATAATAATGTGGAGAAAAAAAAAAAACTTTTCGCTAATATATATTATTATACCTTGCGAAAGCCGTCAACTGTGAATAATTTTTACAAAAATGTATGTGCGAACGCTGTTATTCTTTCGGAGTGAATAAAATTGAAAAATAATAATTTTTTTTTAGCGTAATACATCAAGGAGGTAGTCGTATTATAAATCGTGGTGTCATCAAAAATATTTATTTTTGTTTGTTTATTTTTTTCGCGGTATGTAGTGTACAGGTACTTTTACATTTCATATCGATCGTATTACTCGGCGTGATTAACCCGACAGTAATTCAAAATATTTCATTCGAATTACGATAACCGGCCGTATTGGTGTAGTTACAGGAGCGGGTTGACGGCAACACTTTGGTCCCGGGAAATATGAATCAAACCGGTCCAAAAATCACCACCCGCGCAATACTACTCTCTAGGATCTCTTTTTATTTTATAAATCCTATAACTACTCGTATTGCAGTAAACACGAAGACAGGCCTATCGGCGGGAAAATTCTCAAATTCCCGATTGGCCAGTTCACCCCTGGGTGGTTAGGTAACAATTGTGTTAGTGTGCCTCTGGTAGTGTAAAACTATATTATAATACTTTTTCACTCGCGTCACTAAATAACGCAATGACGTGAATGTTCCTATGTAACATCTGTGATAAGTTATAGTGCGTTATATAATAATACTGTTGGTACGTTATTAAAATTTTGGCAAACGTTATCGCATTTTTATAATATTAAATTATACATAAATTAACGCGTACAATTTGAAATCATTATAATTTTTTTTTTTTTTTGCCACTACATTTATAGAGCGAGATACAGCATAGTAGAGTATATATATTTTTTGTTTTTTAAACGACGAAAATCCGAATAGGTTTTCGGATCGTTGAATGGCGAACAAGAAAAGGAAAAAAAAAATCTTTTTGCGATATGATACCCGTACACAGTTGTACGAAATAATATGCCCATGCAGTTTTTGAAAAAAAAAAAAAAAAAAAAAAAAAATAATACAAAAAATACCTTTATATTCACAGTCAACCGCCAACAGCTGGAAAAAGAATGCGCGTGTGAAACATTTTTTTTTTTTTTCATACATCTCAATCGTCATTATTGTGGTTACGGAACATCTGAGAAATATATACATAATAATTATACAGCTTCTCATTTATGAGTTTAAAATTAACATGCGTATTGCTGTACACGAAGAGCTATAAAGTTAAACGGTCCGTTATTATACCGCGCAGCTTGTGTCGATTTTATTTGATTTGTTCCGCGATTAGTTAAACTCTATGTACATAAATTATACAAACAAGTTTACAATGTTTGTTTTTGCTGCATTTTTGAACCTGAAAATCGTATTTTTAAAAAAAAGTTAATTTTTTCTTTGCGGAGCATCTGTAGTATTCGAATTTATTCATCGGATTATTTGAGTAAAATTGTTCGATTCAAACGCGATCACTTCATCCCAGAGTTGTGTATATAAATAAGTACTTGGGAATATTTCACGAGGAGAGAGTATTTTATTCCGGGTCAGCCCCACACCCCACCTCTACTCTATAATATTAAGTATATAAAATGTTCTATAGAATCGTGAACAAACATTAAATATTCGACTAAACATAATATGTATTATGTACCTTTAAAACATGTTTATTTTAGAAAAGTAGAAAAAAAAATTTAAAAAATTAAAACATAACATAAATTCTAATACTCTCTTAATGCTAACTCATTGATTATCTCATTGTCTATGCATATCTCTACGCATAACAAGCACACAACACAAATACCGACCGTGTCGAAAATTATTATTCAAATAAAATAAAACACTAATTCTATGTAAAATTACTTGATTTATTCGAATAAATTATACGGCGTGTTTCGAAGGCAATGTTTTTATTTTTTAGTGTACGATAGTTGCTCAATCTATATAATCATTTTTTTTTTAAAATTTTTGTTTTTATCTAATATTAGTTATATAATAGTAAATACGACAGTAATTAATTGGGTTTATACAAATTTGATAAGGTCTGAAATATTTTTAGTGAAGGGTTGTCAAGGGATGATAGTTGAACATGGAACATTTAACGTTAGTTTTATTTTTAGCCAAAATGAGTGAAATTTTTTTCGAGTTGATTTTTCGTTAAATGTTGTCTGAATGATTTTTTATTTTTCAACTTAATAATATACTTAATCGTGGTAATTATATATTCGATTATTGTACGGTTTATTTCTAAGAAATGTTGTGTCTCGATAAATGGCAAATTAATCCGTGTAAAATGTGATAAATCAATGGTTAATTGTGATAATTCATGTATATATATATATATATATGGCAAGTATTAAAATATCGCGAGAAAAGTGATAAGTCATATCTATCATTATAATATGTGTGCAAGGTGATAAATTCTATACTCAAAAGCCTGAATATTTTTTTCCGTGGCACATATCAGATAAATCAATAAATACTCGCTTAAAGTAACTGTTTTTTAAAAAAAATTACATTAGATGATTAATTTAAATTATTTAGTTAAATTAAGATTGAAAATAAAGGAAACATTTTTTAGATTCTGAGCGGAGCGAGGAATGTATTGATTTATTTTATTATTATTATTATTATTATTATTATTTTTTTTTATGTGAACACTTTTTCTACCAAAGTGCTTATTTTAATTATCAATTGTAGCAATTTTTATAAAAGGAAATGTTCTCTAGGTGATACTTTAGGGAGGTCATTTTTTGAAATTCTCATTAATATTCAAGATAATGAGGAAAATCTGTTTTTTTTTTTTAATGTTAAAAAATATTGAAAGATTAAAAAACGGTTGTCTTTGGTAACCGTTTTTATTTATTTTTTGTTATTATTAGGTTTTTAATATACTTTTTTTTAAATTATTGTTGTTACGGAAACGCACATCATGTAATCATTTTACCATAATATGACATATAATATATTGTTGATAAAGCAATACTATCGACTGAACTCCGCTCAGAATCGTTTTTTCGTTAGCAATAGTTTATCGTTGATATCCGGATATACATCAAATTCTCGTCTGTATCCTACCTTCCCGACTTCCACACCTACGACAGCGGCTGCACCCAAGTGCGAAGTATGTTCGTCCATTTTGTTTTTAAGAAATAAAACGTTTTTATCGTTTCCTAAGAAAAAATTGTTGACACAATAATATTAAAATATTATGTTTCTCTACACAGAAACCGTCCGGCTTATATAAACAAAACTCGCGGGCCAAAATCTGAATTATACAAACGAGCTGCATACACAGTCTGCCAAATTAATAATAATATATAATATCCGTATACCGATCCGGGTGTTGTCGTCCCATTACGCGTACCCATATTCGGGTCGTATTATCATATTATATAGGTGTCGATGCGCGCGGTAGGCGGCGCGCGAGTTTATCAATTAGATAGTAATTTATTCGTGATGATGACCACGACGACGACGACGACGACGATCCGGTATACCGCGCGGGTAGTATAGATACCTATACATTCATACACCTCATGTACGATACAGTATATTATAATATACGACTCCGTGTACAAATCGATCGGCCGGGGAGCCTGTTCGCGCCGCGCCAGACGGCGACGATTAGCATAAAAGATTTACGATCGGGCGAGATAAACCGCGGGGTCGAGATGCGGAGCCCCGAAAGGAAGACGGACGGGCGAGCGGGCGAGCGCACCGACGGAACACCGAACGGGTCTGCTGGCCGGCCGAATTACGTGTAATGTAAATTATTCGGTTTTTTTTTTCTTTTCTGAAAATGCCACGGTTCATTAGTATTCCCAGACGTCTGGTTGACTCGCGGCACACACAGCGCGCGCGCGCGCTCGCGCGTATTGCTACGCGCACATCTCAACCCGCGATATAATACGCACACGCGGGACGAGACTATATAATAACATAATACAAACCTATCCGCGCGAAGGGCTCCCAGCAATGTAGAGAGTGGCGGGGAACCGGAGATTAATGACGTCACAGACGCACCCGAGATTTACAACAATAATAAGTCGTGCAGCGGTATCGCGTTACCGTGACCGCGGTATTCAGCAATACAGTTTACGCGCGTCGCGGTCCATTCAACGGATCACGCGCCGCCACTACTGTTCTCGACGCTGCGGCGGCGGCGGCGGTGGCGGCGCGTCTGCCCGGACGGCGCGAGTCCGTCTCCGGGGAGTCGCGCCGCCGCCGGTGTCTGACGTCTGTCGGATCGTTTTGTTATTGTCTCGCCGGACAATGTCCGCCGGCCGTCCCATTGACGTCGTGACGGTTGCCGCCGCCGCCCCGCGGTATACATCATATACTATCGGAACAGCAGATTTGTTCTTTCTGTATGACAAAAAAAAAAATACTTACAATAGACCGCGAAATTCCCAGAGGACCGCGCCGAGAAAAGGTGTCTTTTTTGTTTGTTCGTTACGTTCGTTCGCGTCCCTGTCCCTGTAAAAACCACGACCGACGGCATGCCGAACGAACGACGGCGTCGCAATATCAAAATACAAAAATAACAAACACGACGTCGACGTATTGCTGGCTCCCCGTAAAAAAAGTGATATTTCTTTCAAACTTTACTTTTTCAAATGTCTTTTTAGGTTTTTATGCTACGCATTTTTTTCTAGGACCACCGTTATCAAGCGAGGTACAGAAAGTCAAAAAGTGCCGTTCCGATCGAAATATATGCACTAAATATTCACGGTAATAATGGCCGAACACAAAAACGTCTGAAGATTATTTTTGTATTTTTTGCCGTATTTGCCTTTGGCCGTTGTATCAAATTTTTTAATCGGACACTTTAAATTCGTTTATTGAGCATTATTATACTAAACATTTTAACACTAAAAACGCTACCACGAACCGATTCATTTTTAACAACACTTGAAGCATTTTTTTTTATCTCGTATACATACGTGTATAAACGAAAAGTATATTTGTCAACAGACCACAAATTAAGATATGCGTGTAAAAAATACTCCAATTTTTCACGCCGTACATTCTAAGATGAGGATTATTCGTCCGGTAATGGTATTTTATTTGAAACATTTTCTGGATTCCGGGCGGGTTTCCTTACAAATGAAAAAGAAAAATCAAACAACAAAATACGATGGGAAAAATACACTTTCAAGTTAGAACCTATTAACGCGGTTTACCGAGATCCGGTCAGAGCGGCGTTTTGACCGCAACGGTTTACCGTTGGTTTCTGCAGAGTGTTCCGAACTGAATCACCCGAATGTCTTACCATAATAACATATCGTATCTTCCGAACCTCTATACAGCAGTTGTCTACCCGTCGTGCGAAGTGCGTCCGGGGATTTTCGTTTTTCACGTTTTGTCGGCCCACTGATGTACATAAATCCGCCGTCGTTTTATAATAATAATAACATCGCACTCGCGTTATTATTACTATTATAACATCGTAACTATACGGCTGTCACGTGTCCGTCGCGGGCGCATCTTGTGAGGTCGCGGCGTTTATCTCGTTACCATCAGCAATAATTCCGACGCCGCGTCGCCCCGGGTACCACGCGCGGCGGTAGTCTGGCCGTTTGGTGGAACGCGCGCGCGCGTTTTTATCGCTGTCAGAATGTCTTTCCGTGTTTCGCCCCGGAGCACCGGCTAATTCGCCCGCCACGCGTCCCGAACGTCCGTTATAAACGGTTTTCCAGCGGTCGTCGCGACGCGATACCGAATCGGTCTCGGCTTGCCGCGGCCCGATCGCAGACGTTGTAAACGGCCAACCGACTTTGTGTTATTGCGGACGTCAACAAAACGACCGATTTTTCTTATCGAAGTGTTTACATTCCGCTTGTCGTTGTAACCGATTCGTTGGGGTTTAACGAAATCCACATTTCAACAGTATACACCCGAATGTCAATTGCTATTTGCAAACGTATTAAAAGCGATTGAGTGGGCGGTAATTAAAATAATGATTTAGTGAAACACGAGCAAATAAATCAATACCGCTAACAGAAACGTTCACACTGCAATTCGGTTAATTCACAACACTTCGTCGATAGGAATACATCTGTACGACATAAACAACATAATGTAAATTATCCACTTATCATTAAACTAAAACGCGGAACTTATTGATAAGAAAAGTAGAAAATTTCGTTCAACATTTTACATTAAAAGACACATAATAGGGAATCGGCTGTCTAGTTATTGAATTATCTGTGGATCGACTGTGTATTATAGTGGCGCGTTTAGATTTTTTATACGGGGGTACACGGTTTTTTTTTTTATTAATGGTCAAAGACCCGCGGGAGGTTGTGGTGTTGACGGAAAACCAATACATATTTTAGTCTTTTTAAGCCATAGGGGGGACGGTGTTGCCCTCACATCTCACGTGAAAGCACGTAATTTAAAAGGGCATTAAGGAAAAAAACACACATAGCGACGAGATAAACAAATCGGATAAGACGCGTTGTTATTACCATTAATTCGGTATAGTTTGGTATAGTTATAGTAACTATATTAATCATCCATCTGTGTATAATGCAGGTACGTAATAGGTTACTACGAAAGCGTGATGTAAAATTACGGGTTTTTTTTTTATCACCTCAGACTTTACCGTTGTAATCGATAATAATTATCTACGATTAATTATTTTTTAATTTACCAGTGGAGCTCGGATGTTATTACGTTAAAAAAAAACTAATAATACGCTCAGTGAAAATATATAGTACCTACTAAATTGTACCGAAAAATGCACTCGAGACATAGTACAGTGTGTTTTAAGATTTTTATTTCGTATGGATGAAATTCGAATAAACTCGTTATTGTAAACGTTTTGCGTTTTTATTTTCTTCTTTCTTTTCTCGTGCACTGTGCACGAGAATTTTCATTAAAACCGTGAAATTACGTGATTAAAAATTGAAATTCGGTAATGATTGTATTATAAAAGTTAATGCGGTTTATTAATATTGCGATAAAATTGAATAATATGCCGAAAATTAAATTACTCGGGTGCACGAAAAAAGTTTGCCTGTGCTACAATAACATCGCTATAACGTTATAAAACGTATCGCGATTAAAAAAAAAAAAAAAAAAAAAACGTTTTACGAGAGATTACAATTTTCAATAGGTTTTTGTATTATTTGTTAGCGTTTTATAAGATAGCGTAAAGTCATCGCGATGATTTAATAAACGATAAATAACAAACACTACGTAATAATGTGTTGTGTGACAAATTACGTTGCTATATAATATTATAATAGATAACAATTACAGTAGGTAGGTAGGTAGGTAGTTTTTTTTTTTTTATAAATGTACACGCGTTTGATATAATGTTTTTTCGTGTCACAATGAAATAACGATTTTTTTTTTCCCGTTCATTTTTATGTTCCGCCATAGAACATACTAATATTTACATAAACCTACTGCTATACCCGCGGAGATACATATAAATATTATTATTACACAGTATTTACGATTGTGTAGAGTGTACAAAAAAATAAAATACCGAATTTTTTATTCTATATAGAATTTCCAGGGCGTCTACGGCATCAAGGCGCGGAAATTATAAATCAATCGACGGCCTCGAATTTTTTTCTCGTTATATATACACACGACAACGTTCGATATTCTAATAATATTGGTGTACGGACACGTTTTTAAATTTTTTTTTCCCCCATAAAAATTGTTAGCGGTTGACAGTTTTTCCAAAAAAATGTAGTTCTACCGAACGCATCTTTTAAGATAGTCGGTCATCCGTTTTTTTTTCTAACACATACATAACATAGCAGTTTAAACCGATAAATCCGATCGATACAGTGAAGTACTATACGAATTCTGAAAACCGATTTGAATTCAAGTTGAAATGTACAAGTACGAAATACGTGACATGTACAATTTCGTACTACACGTACGAAATGTACATGACTGTTGTTTTTACAATATAATTTTATGCAATATTAAATCAAATTCAACGTTCCACTGTGTGAAACAAAATCAGTTTAAATCGTTATGCTGTGTATGTTATACGCGGTAGATAAAGAAAGACGTTTTCGAAGTTGTAGACCACTATTATAGGGGGCTAATTTGGAACATAGTATTTAATTTCATTATAAACTATAAAACCATTTTGAACGGAGTAGTATAGTCTTAGTCATGTTTTATTATAACCAGTAGGTAATCAAGGTAACTCAACAAAAATAAAACCAATGTATCGTTATTTTGTTATAAGTTTTTTAAATTGTATAGAAAAAGTATTGCGAATCTAAGCATATTTTTATGTACTAGATGTCGGGCAGAAATTCCTCATCTTTTGGGGTACTTTGTCAAAAAAATTGGAAGCTTTGTCTAATCAAAAAAGTAAAAACAAAAAATAACATAAAAAGCAATTGTTTGAAAAATGTATTAGCGATTTTGAAGAATCGATCAAATAAATTAATACCTGACAAAAAAATCAGCATTTTTATAAGTATTACGTGAAAAAATCGGAGGATATTTATTTATCGATAATGTTTTTTCTAAGAAAAAAAAAACACTCATCATAGTAAAACTACTCGCTTCTTCGTTGCAATAAGAATTCTAAAATGCTAAAATAATCGGAAAAAAAGGTATATCACGGTAATGAAACGAACAGGTATAAAAAAAATTATGCACATTTTGCCGTTTCTAAAATTTGTCGGTCTGTATAGTATAGGCGTGGAAATCCGATCTTTATCGAAACGCGATGGATTTTCGATGTCACACAGTCGTTAGGTATGTATCATTTGCATTTGTATATTTTGGAGAAGAACTTCCACATCTATACTCGTTATTGCCGATTCAAGTACACCTGCGCTGCACAGTCGGTCGGAGGAGGGTTTATCATCGTCCATCGAAATATTAGCGTGCGTTTTTACACGGACTCGTCGTATAATATATATACTTACGGGTGTTCGACCTCACACGTGGACCGGATTCGATTTCTATCTATTTAGTACACGTGTTATGACATTCTACTATAATATTATTATAATATAGGAGAAGGCGGTGTCTATAACAATATTATAAATGTGTGTGTATGTGTATACGAGCGCGGTGTTAACGGCAGTTGTGTGTATATTATTATTATTATATGTTTAACACGTGAATTTAAACGCTGTTATACCGCGTATACCGCGGCTCGAGTTCAAACCGGTCACGCGGTTCACGAGACGTTTCCCGATGAGGGAAAAGAAATTTGCCGCCCGGACGGACGAACAAAAAACCATCATAACGACGAACGAAATCTCTTAATCCTCCGGACTTTGCGCGTGAAAAAAAAGTATTTATTGTACCGCTTTACACGGTGTCGTCGTGTATAATATACTTTTGCATCATCGTATAGCTTGCGTCTTAAAGAAATAATACGCAAGGTGTCAAGGAGTTTATAAAAGTGCGAAACTGCTTCCGGAAAACTATATAATGTCTTTGCTTTATTTCGGATCGAACCTATTTGTACTTTATTTCGATTAATTGACGGCGGTTGGTGACCATTATTTTCCTAGACTCTTTCGTTCTAATCTAGTGCGTATGCATTTAGTACCTACGGTTTTCGATTTAAAAGTTTCGTTATTGAAGTACATCGAATTTCGTGTCCGGCGTTTAGTGTGTTCTTCGTGTTTACAGTGGTAATAGCCTAATGAAATAAGATAATCATAGGCGGAAAAACATTACAATTTCAAAGAGGGGGCTTATATTAATACATATTTTTTATTAGACGTGTATTGTACATGCAAGTAAAACCAATTCGATCTGTTCTAAAATAAAATTTCTAGGTACCTACATTAAACACTAAGATATTTTTCTCTAATCTATATTCTTTATCTTGATATGTTATGCAAAACCAAGTCTAATTGGGACAAAATAAGAAATTCGAAAAACTAAAAATACGGCTATTAGAGTAAACATGTATTTAAACATATTTATATTTCACAGCTGGTGACCGTGTTTTTAGCTATTCAATTTCGAACTTGGAAGAACTGTTTTAAACTGTTATCGTATATGCGAATTTTTGATATTATTGCAGTTAGTTAATAGATAAATAGGAGCAGGTGCTTTACGAAAAAGTCAATGGAATATCCTCCCTTTGAAATGTTATTATTTTGCCACCTCCCTTCCAAATTAGTGCCCACAAATCGTTATTAATTTGTATTATTACCTCGACGTATACGTATTCGCAAATACACAGAGGTGCAAGTTAAACATATTATAATGTATAATGTATTATTCGTGGCGCAAATTACTATGTTTACATTTTATATGGATACGAATCGACAAGTTTTTAGTCTGATGTAGGTGCAAATTATCGTGTTATGTCGACTTGATAACAGTGCATGTACTTAACCAATCTACTACCGAGGAGAGTTTGGACGCCCGGGAAACCGGTTCACCGGGTACGAGTAGTTTTTTTTTTGTTTTAAGTACCGACTCAGTCGCGTCTGGTCGCGATTCAGTCGTCGTCGGGTTGTACAACCGACTGAAGTTTATAACGATCGATTATTGTTATTCGTATCGACAAGACCGAACGGTTTTCTTATTTTTATTTGTCATCGTAATATTATATGGTCCGAAAAATGAATTAGATAAAGTACAATACTTATAATATGGAATTTGTGTTCAATTTTCAAGTATTTCTGCGCCGACAAAACAATTTATCCTCATGAAATCAAATAAAAACTAAACAAATTCTCGACAATTACAAATGCCTCTAAACAGCTCAAAAATCGGTAGAATGTTTTGAAAAAAAAAATTAAAATCGAAAATAAAGAAACCGTTATTATCGAAAATTTTTTCGTTTCTTATGGTTTATTCAGGTTTTCCCTATTATTAAAAAACCTAAAAGAAATATTAAAAAATATGACCTCATCAAAGTACACCAACTAGAAAATGTCTAACATTTTCTTTCAGAAATATACTACACTTGAAAATCGTAGGAAAATTTCCTATAGAAAAGTTTTAAATAAACATTAAAAGATAAACTTTTTTTTTTTTAACTACATATTTTAATAAAACCAGTCTAAAACACATATTTGTCAAACCGATGCACCAAGATACAATTGTGGTATTTGGAGTTCTGTAACAAAGTATAATGGTTGCAAACACGATAAGGCTGAAAAAAGTTCAGAATTCGACTGCTATAATACAATTTTATGCGCACGCTTGAATTTTTTACGCCAAATGTTTTTTCTTTTGTCGATTATTGATTTCTCTTGGTTAGACGTAAAAAAAAAAAAAAAAAAAAAATTCATTGATAAACAAAAAAAAGGTTTATGTATATATTAACGAATCATTGCAGTTATTGTTGTTTTTATTCAAATTTATGTTTCGTTACTATTTGTTGGTTTTGTATGCTCGATTTCGATGTAGTAACGAAATAGAGTTATGCGACTAAAATAATCACAATCAAGCGTGAACGACTATAATAATGTATAGTTACTTCGAAGAAATATTTATACCGTAAAACTACAAATACATCACTATGTACAGTTTTTGGTTATTATGGCATTTTCATAATTATTTACGTCGTTAAAATGTTTATCGTAAACAAACACAACCAGAAGCTATTTCAAAAGTCGTTTACGCCAGTAAAAAATCTAAATAAACGTCCAAAATGTACGTAATTGGACATATGATTATACAGCTGTACACGCGCGGTTTTCTGTGATCATTTTATAGTCAACGGAGTTTCACATATTTTTACAATGACGACAGTGCAGTTAACTTTTATTTATTGGACTCGGTAAAGTGTTAATCAAAATTCATTTTTTAATGAATAATCATAATATAAATTTAATATTATTGCCGAATGTATATTTCAAGAGATACTTAAACTATGTGTACACGTTTTTCTTTTAGTATTCTCTGGTATACCGTATTATTTTTATCACATAAATGGGCGTGACGTAACTACACTATGGACACGAATTACAGTTTAATGGCGATCGTGTAAGGATTATAATAGTGTGGGTATTCGGGGCGGTTATAAAAATTGAAATACTTGCTCATAAGAAACTTTTTTCAATTCGATCGATTTAGCTGAGGAATTAAAATGTATTGGTGTATTAATAGTAGGTATATATTTGTGTTATTGTAGGATCAATTAGTTTATATACAAATTTCAACGTTCTCCTATTTTTTATATCCTAGTGTTTTTATGTACAGGTTTTCGCATTCAACTGAGAAATTTCAAAATGCATTTCAAAGTGTATAAGAACTGATTCAAAATCAATTTTACTTATAGAGAAAAATACAACACGTTTTCGTGATATCTCGAACTACTTGAAATGTCCGCAATAATAATATTACTTCAGCGATAAAATTCATTAAAAATAGGCTGATACTGCGGATGGACGTTACGCTGTTTTAGGGGGGAAGTTGAAAGGGAGGTTGATTAGTATCTGTACGCAACGGTATATTATTTCTAATGAAAAACAATTCTGAACGGAATATTATTAGTAGAATATTTTCTCTTGTTGCCCGTGGTAATCCAGAAATTATACAAACAATTGCTAGTTTTTTCTACGTATTAAGAAAACCACAAGGCCAATTAAAAAATTGCATCTCCTTAATGCATCAGCTTGATCGGAAATTCTACGAGAAAGTTCCTACAAAGTTTTTGGTTGAAGCAAGATTTCTGGTACAAAAGTTGTTTATAGACACACACACACACAAAATTATAGTGAAACATTATAGTGAAACTAATACAATATTCCTCATTTCGTTCAGAAGCTAAGGTCAATCGAGAGAATACAATATTAATGGTACAAATAAAATGTAAATATTTTTTCGCACTAAATAATATAATAGGTTCTAGATGGTGGTTGAGTTTACAATACAATTTTTGGCGGTGTAATTGATTCGCACTTCAAACACACACTCATGTGATCGACGAGTGCGGCACGTTCGAATGTAGTGAGTTTACTATAAATATGAAAAGCAAATTAGTATATTACTGCCAAAAGCCAAAACCTATACTACTGTATAGAAAACACGTTGTTTGTCAATGTTGTTTTTTTTTCTACTGATATTTTCGAAACAAAATTCGGTAAAATTGTTTGCAATTTCTTTGCTCGATTTTAAATTTACAATACGTATACTATTACTTATATCGCACAAGACACTTTACTACACGTTAATGAATTACATGTGCAAATAATTTTCGTTCACCTTAACAACGAGATAACCTTGCCTATATAAGATTAAGGACTTTTACATCGTTTACAATAATCAGTGTATGTTTAATCATATAATACGTTTATAGTATGCATTAAAATAAAATTGAAACCGAATTACTTCTAATTAAATTTAATCGTATTGGCGAAAATGTTCTTTGATTTATACAATTGTAATTATTGCCCGTTGGTGCGGGACGACGGCGTTTGCCGGAAATATAATTGTTTGAAATAAAGTCAAGGTTAGTATACCAATATCGAAATATACGCGTGGGATATCGAAAACAAATATAATATGTACTTCATATAATAAATTATATAAACGTAGTTTATAATGGTAGGTATACTTGTTTAATGTTGTCAGAATTTTTTTTTCGCTACTCGTTTGAAAATTTGCAATACATTACCGTAATAGGTGACGACACGTTATTGCCCGCGAGAATTTGAATATATTAAAACGTTGTTGTTTTTGTGACACGTGGTAGTATATCAATTGCGCGGTAAAAGAAAATTAATAAATAATAACGTCATGTTCAATATACTCGTTTGTAGGAGAAAAAAAATACTTTATCTACCGTACTTAAGTATTAAAATATAATAACTCGAAAAGCCGAAAAGAGTAAGATTTATTTTGACCGGTTTTGGCAAAAATAAATCGTGCAGAAAATATATCACGTACCGACGACTACTATAATACATCACGTTTTTTTTTTTTTTTTTTTTTTTTTTTTTTTTTTTTTTTTTTTTTTTTTTTTTTTTTATGATAATTATTAAAACACGAAAAAACCCTTAAATCGAAATTGTCGATGCTTTAACATAATATTATTTTCTGACTTTTTCGTTTTTAAATTCTAAAATTGATAAATGTCAAAGGTGTAATGAACAAATATTCGATTCTCGTGATTAAATCAAGTTAAATAAATTAAAGAATCTTCCATTTTAAGTTAAAAAATTATGTTTTTTTTTTGTTTTTACTGTAGTTTTTTCTCGGAAAACACTTTTTCGGTTAAAATAAAAATAGTTCGATGTTTTCATATCGTACCTTAAAAGGCATGTGCATTTCGGTTTGGACAAATTTTATAGATTCCCAAAAGTTTACTAATACTTTATAAGAAAACAGATAACACATGGAATTGGGGTTTTTTTACTGTCGATTTTCGGGTTGTTACAACTGCATAAATATGAGATTGAAAAGTTTTCATGAAATTTGAGTTAGAAATTGTACAGTATCAAAACAGAACAGTTACGTTATAAGCTTAACGTTGTAATGGTGATTTTTACGATAACAATCACTCGACAGTTGCTATTAAGGTTAATTTTGACGACGTAATATAAAAAGTTCAAACACTTGGTGTTATTTTAACCGTCAAATTTTATTATACGTTTGTGTTTAAACTATATGAGAAAGAGGGGAGGGGGAGCTGCCTTGGGGGTGCCAAAATTGTATTTATAATTTGTGTAATTTTTAATAGGTATTTGTACTTTTAATGCAAAATATTATAATAAAATATTATTTTTGAATTTGTGTTGTCAATTAAGGCCACTTTAAAACTGTATGATATGCATTAAGGGAAAAATTTGAAATAAATATATCCTAGGAAAAAATCGACAAGCAATATAGCTAGGACGCAAAACTTGAATCTGTCTCTGGACCCTTAAATCCTTAGTTACGTCACTGATATAAACCTTGTTAACTTATTCTCAAAATTCAACAATACTTAACCTGTTTTTTTTTCTTTTGTGTTGGACAATTTTGATATATTTTGGCCTGACCTAATGAACATGTCTAGTTTCACTTTTAATTTTTTTTATACATTTATGATTTTACACATAGTAATATTACTTATATTTAGAATGTATACGGCAGATATGTATCCTCGTCGTCACCGGGTATAAATGCCTCACACTCGACGACTTTTAATTAATTAAATCGTCGTTAATCATTATTATAGTACAGTAAGAAATCGCGTAACCGCTATATAGGTACGTGATGAAATCTATTCCGGCTATAGCAATGACCGTTTTCAGTCAAGAACAAGACTCTAATAAACACGTACCTATTAGTCAAGTAATCTCCGACTGGAAATCACTGATAATAACCATTTCGTTATTGTGCTTTGAAATAATTGCACGTGGCCTAATTACTTGTGTGTACAAAGTATGCATAATTTTAAAAACATAATACGTACTTTTTTTTTTTAAGAATATCGCTGTTTATAAAATAATAGAATTTCACGACTCATGCATTATATTATATTATTATACATTTATTTACAAGTGTTTTATTGATTTACTGACCTAAGAACAGATATCATTAATTGCCCGTACAAATATCCGACTGTGTGTATAGCGTTACGTGAATACTTACGAACTTATCGGTTATAGTTTTTTTCTTTATTATAAATATAATTTAAAATACTTTTCCGGTCAAATGAGGTGAACGCGCACGTCATAATATATGCATATTGAGAAAATTATAAACACTTAATGTCCCGTAAAAATTGCACGCATAAGGTATAATACTATATAATGTATAATGTACATACTCGTACTCTACTTATAATATATAATTTACAACTTACTGCAGAAATGATAAAAATTGTTTTTAGATTTTTTTTAACGAAATTCTTTTACGTAAATAACTATAACGTTATTGTTATTCTTATAGTGTAATAAAAATTCGTAGGCGTGCGGGTTTTTTTTTTTTTTGTTAAACGACAATAAAAAACAAAAAATATATAGTCGAGATTATGATTAGCGCGTCACGTTGTTATAATTGGAAGCAGTGTAATGGTCAGGTGGGTTAGTGGGTTTTAATTTCCTCCCGTAAAATGTCTTGATAACAGCTGCGGTTCGAAATATCGAGAGGGTAAAACAACCGAAACGAATTTCACATATGATTATCGATATTTACCCAGTAATCGAATCTTATCGAAAGTTTAAAGCGTTTAAAACATATCGAGAGTTAACGACCAACTTCCAGTGGAATATAATTGTCGCCATCGTTGTCGTTTTCTGTGATATATACGACTCTAGAGACGGTGAAGTGCCTGGAAACTATTCGCTCTCGTCGGGTGACAGCATGAATAATTGATTTTCGGTTTCCGACAAGGATTACACCGGTACAATGAACGCATCGAGATCCACGACCATAAACAGAAATCCGACCACTATTATTATGCAGGCTGTTTTCGTCACGGGCCGGTAGGTATACTCGAAAAATTCAAATTATCGAAGACGGTCTCGATTTTTAACGTGTCTCGCGCATTGTTTAAGCGGCGCAAAAAGACGCGTATAATACAACTTGAAAATAATGTGTTTTTCCCCTGTGTTTTCGATGTTATCGACGTGGACAAAATTTCGTTTCCGGTAAATCAGTAGCACCGAAATCCGACGATTATAATAGTAACATGTAGGAAAGTATACTTTTAGAGGTTGGGTTACCTAAACGTTTATCCGTTTAAAATCGTAAATACATTAACTATTTGACATCAATGGGATTTATTACAACTATTTGACATCATGTAATAAATCCCATTACTATAACATAAATAACGCTCGTATTAAGTGCCGTCCACGGGAAATTAGCCGGTAATGGCCTCGAGTGACCATTTAAGACCAATAAAAAATTTAAAAATAAAAAGGTTACACGAAAAATATACCACAAAAGTATTTGTTTTTAAGATTAGTGGTATATAGTTTACACTGGTTTGCACAACGTTTTATGTTTAGTCCACGGGCCAATAATTTACACAATGGTAAACATTTTTTATTTTTATTTTTTTGATGATAAGTCAATATTCTTCTCGAAAATCTATTTGTTTTTTTAAACGATCGATTTTCAGAAGCATATCTCTTGCTTTTTGTAGATTATGAGCTAAGCGAGGAATGTATTGGTATTCTTATATGATGTGATTTTTTTTGTGTTGTAAACAATTTTTGTACCAGAAATCTTGTTACAATCAAAAAAAAAAAAAAAGTAAAAACATACAGGATCCTTCGCCGCATAATTTTCTTAATAAATGTAAGAACTCGAAATTGGTTTGTATAATATTTATCGATTTCTGGGTTACCTGGGCAACAAGGGTAAAAATACAACTAATAATAGTTTAAAATTGTTTTTCGTTAGGAATAATTTATCGTTGTGTACTAATACATTAAACAACTCCATACATTCCCCTTCCAAAAAAACAGTGGCACTTATCAGTACCAGAAGTATCATGTTTTCTTTGATACGTCTATAATTTTAAAACAAAAAGTAATTATTTTGTCAAAAGTTATACGGTTACTTTGAATATTTTTTGTCGTGCTTTAAATGACCATTAGTTCATAGTATAGCCAAAGGCAACAACACTGCCAAAACCAGCTAGGTGGTGAAATTCAAGTATAACTTCGGAGTTTTCTCCATGAAATTAGGTCAGAATTATATCTGTTTTTTTCCTCATTGGCAACATGGGCAATTCATAAAAGTCTGTATCTATCAATACACAATTCAGTGGATATTCTAAATGAATATTAGATAGAAAACCAAAGAAATACGATTTATTATTGTGACATTTTCGCTCAAAAATAAATTATCTACAGATATTCTATGTATAGTGATAGTACTAAATAAAGTTTTATATTTACTTTTTTTTTTAAAAAAAACATGTTTTGTATAATACACGTTCTTATGAAAAAATATTGATCCCCCATGACTAATCCTTAATTACGTCAGTAAGAAATCATTTAGAAACATAAATAAACATACTTTCATTTTCATTACTGTGGGCTAAAAAAAAAAAATTAAAATACTTTGTGGGTTGGACCACACTGATTTAAACAATCGGATGACGATAGGTTTAAAGCGTGTTTAAAAATGTAGTACTTATTTACAATAGTTGTTTCGTGCGTGTTGACTATAGGTATATTTTTTTTTTGTCGTATAACATACTTTATGCGTGTATGCAAATGCAACGTAAATCGTAATATTATTAAAATACACATAATAACACGTATATTACTAACAAATTTAAACAAATGAGGGTCCTACCTGGAAAAAGATCCGGCATTGTCGATTCTTGAATTTTGTTTTTATCTTGTCGGATTATCGTGGTATAATGAAATCAAAATTCCGTGTTATTGAAATAGCGCGAATGAAAGTGATATACAAACAATTTCAACTGTCAAATCAAATTCGCCTACCCTTAACTACGATTCACTGTCAGATCTATAGCCCGCTGTATTTCTGACACATTTCTCCTTAAACACTCCTTTCCGAGTGTCTTTTCTCTGCCAAATCTTCCCGTAACATTTTCCCTTTACGAAATCTTCCTGCAGGTTTTTCCATACACAGCCTGTACGTTCTACCGACTCTTTTTTCTGATGTGTTCCACTATTATATCTAAATCACTATGTCTGGTCTCATTTTTTAGGTCGCGACACGGAGATGCGTGTATTATCGTTTCAAAAACCCTTAGAACGAGACGTATTTATATTTTAATATTATAACACACTATATATTCCCAATATATTGTAAATTATAGACGAAAAGCGTGCGGGTGGCATCATATAGTATAGTGGTTTTTGTGTGCCTACCTATTATTATTATTTTTTCATTTTTTTATTTTTTAGTAATTTCTGCCGTCGCTGTAGCTTCATTACAATATATATTACTTTATTATACCTGATTACCGCGGAGCGCCGAGACGACCGCCATCGACGACAAAACGGCGTCCGCTATCGGTGGTCGCGTGTGTCCGATTGTATAGGTAACTAACCGTCCGGCGTCCGTCCGTCGATCGGGCCGGCGGAACGTTACGCGTCATAAATATCGGTTATTATTATTATTCTTATTATTATTATTATTATTATTGTTGTTGTTATTACACACCGCGGTTGGTCGTGGTTAACCGGGTGGTAACAAACGATTGGTACATTACATAATAATATATAGGTATACCTTAAACGTCATTAATTAATCGATATCCCACTGGCGACGGGTGCTCGCGCGCGACCGGTCGTCGTTTCAACCCCGTGTAACCGCGCGGTATAATCGTCCCGTGTTCGCGTGACGGGAAGAAAAAAAAAATATAAAAAATAGTTATAAAAAACCCAAGTGATATGACGCGTACAATATTATGTAATATTGTAACGCCGGCCATTGTTGTTACGGGCACAATAAAAATATAATATAAATTAATTATCGGCAATTTATTAACACCGGCCCGCCGCAATCACTTTTACTCTCGATTTCTTGGTCTCTCCCGAGTATATAATACCATAATGCGCACGTACCCGTGGACCGCGGTTGGTAAGCACGAGTATTTCAGATATTATACCGGGCGACCGTATCGCGTTAAATAACACGGTAACACGGTCGTAATTTTAATAACAACGGTATGATATATAACATGATAAACGAGACAACCCCATCGCGGGGCGCAATCGTACATAATATTATAATATTATTGTGTAGATTACCGCCCGATATCGCCGGGACGTCGGGTTTTTTTTCTTTATATATAATTATATATATACGATTGCTTGTCGATTTTTGAAAGTGATAATACTATCCTATACCTGTAATTTTCCAGGTCTCTCCGTATCGAAAAATTTGCATAAAAGACATAGTTTGCCCAAATGTTTCTAATCAAAGGTATTCTCAATCACCAGAGTGCATCTTACGTTAATTGTTAGACCGGATCTAACATATTATACGGTCGAAAGGACTAACTGACCGACGAAACGAGAAAAACGGTAATGTTGTTTGAGAAAAAATAATAATGAAAATTATCTGTGATCCACTGTACGACAACAAACTGCTACGTGTAAAAGAAAAAATAGAGAATATCGAACATAAACGGTAGAGGTTGAGTGGAGATCAACTGGCAAAAGACGATGGATGGAAATATATTGGACGAATAGAGTGAAACAAGACCTGGAGAAATTGTGAGGAAAAGAGTACACGATCGCGCGAGAAGTCGAAGGCAGTGTCCGCGCGGACAAAAACTCGTGAAGAGTTTTAATGCCATGGAAGAAGGTTAGTTATTACCAAGGTATAAAGGTTCATTGTAGTTTCCATGTATTAAAATCCGACGGTTTATCGTATCAATTTAGAGCGATTATGTAGCTTTTTATTTTCCTCCGACGCGTACGTTAGATTTTGTTGTAGTTTACCCGTAAAATTAAAAAAAAAAAAAAAACCGCCGAGTAGGCGTGGGCACGAATGAACGGACGGCGTGACAAATTTCTATATAATATCGTTGAAAAATGGGCGTTCTACTCGTATAAAAATTACGTGCGCCGCAGACATTGTCGTGCATATAGCCAGTGACATAATACTATTATTACGACCGTAGTCGAATATCCAACCCGAAATGATTATAATATAACGTGTTATCTTTGATAGTTGAGTATTTGAGTTGGGTTCGCGATGTAGACGAATTGAGTGCTTTGTGTAATAACCACATGCGATGTGTCTCCATTTTTTCAAAACTTTTTAGGAAAAAAGAAAACTATTTAAAAATATTGTGTTCATTACGAAATTAGTTTAAAGATTAATATTTATACTTCCATTAGATCATGACGTAGATAAAACAAAGATAGGGTTTTATTTAATTTAATTGTTATCATTTTCTTCAAGACAATAGCTATATAATAAACATAACCTAAAATATTTCAAGTTATCTTGTTTTTTCATCGGAATTACGTTTAAAACATGTTGTGAAATACGTCTTACATGGTTTTTTGGTTAAAATTGTTTAGAATTTTGTTTAATCACGCGTTGTTACTTCCATACGGATAATCGCGGATTTATCTCGTTGTTGCACAGCAAATATGATTATAGTTTTTTCATTTTTTCAGATAAACAAAACACGAATTTCGCAAAATAGTTGTACAGTCCGCGCACGAAATTCGTCCATTGCGGCCATTTTTAAAAATAGTTCTTAAATACGAGTCCCGATCATTCTGCGAGTAGCAGTGGGCGTTTGATTTTATTTTATAGACCTTGCCTCAGCATTTGTATTATGTGACGTTTTTAGATTTTTATTCGTATTTGAAAGTTTACTATAAGTACTAATTTCATACATTTTTTATTCGAGTGACCGCATTTCAAACATATTTCGAAAAATTTATTTTTAGAATTTTTCATATTTTTATATTAAATTGTAATAATTTATCTATGGAATAATTCAAAAATCTTTAAAAATCAATAATAAGTTTAGTATAACACAGTTTTGTATAAGTCGTATAATTTATAAATTGCATTTATTTATTTTTTTATACATCTAATCGGCTAATATACTTATACATGAATGGCCAATATTTCGGACCACAATTATCGGTGTCGACCTAACCTAAACTATTCTAACCTAATTTAATCGCGTTGCCGTTTTATACGGGAAATTGTTATAGAAATCGAATAAGAGTTAGACATCAAAAAAAAAAAAAGAAAAAAAAGAAAAGAACTCGGTGTCAGAAAACGAAACTTTCGACGCGTTTCGCGTACATTCGTTTCGCTGTAGTTATTATTTCCACGTCAATTTATACATACGTATAACCGAGTATTATGCAGATTAATTAACCGTGTAGAATCTACACTGTAGATTATTCGCGTACCTCGACCGACACAGTTAACGTAATACAATGTTAAACACACACTGTTCAATCACATGAATAATTAATTGTAATAATATGAACTATTTGATCCGTATGATTATATCTCACCGCGTTGCCGATTAGAATAATAATATAACAATAATAATTGGCAAGTATTGATTTACTATAGTAATAAATATATATATTCGTAAATTTCGTAACGGGTTTGCGTGTTATAAAATTTGAAAAATATAATACTTATAAAAAAAAAAAAAAAGATTTTAACGATTTTATCGGACCAATATTATGTATTATCTGCAGCATGTTATTATACTTGTAGTGTAGAAAAACGACGAGTAGAAAACAGTGTTTCCCAAGAGGTACTAGTATACAAGTGTGATGTTATTATAATTAAATGTAAAACAGTATTCACGTTTTACATAGAAAAAAAAATAAATGTAAGCCCTGTAAAACACGTTTTCTTTTCGATCCAATAATGCATTTTATTAATATATTTTTCTGTAATCTAAAGTAGAGACATATTTTATTGACGCTTTCGATATTTTCATCGTACAATATTATTATTATTTGTACTTTAAACGCACGGGACATTAAGATTAGGGTCGTAGAATATATATGGGTACTCTAAAAAACCATCCGCCCTATTCACACGATTTCTGTTAATGAAACACTTTGTACACGACATGGCACTTTCTCCCCCAAAAAACGAAAAAATTATCAGAGGAATTTCAGACGTTCCGACAAACAGTATTATATTATATAGGTGGTAATATCGTTAAAGAGACGTGTAAATAATATTATTGTCCGCGCGAGGACAAGTCGAAATCACCTGTTTATTATGCGTGTGCGTGTTATCATAATGTGTGTGCGGTACTTAACAAAAATAAAAAAAACACACACACATATATTAATTTTAAGTTTAACGACATAATCGTCAGTCTTTTACGGTCCGAAACCCCGAATGAGTGTTAGTATTATAATATGTCTACTTTACGGGTATCATTAGTCATATTTTTTTTTTTTTCTGATCGGATTTCAACGGATTATACGACACTGTGTGTGTACCAGAACCGAGTGAAAAACGTGATAATATTCGTGTTAATTTTAAAATGCACGCAGGTCCATACTCACATAGTATTTACATTATTTTTTTTTACACGTAACGCCGTAGTAATGGCTGATATATATCTTCTGGTGAACGTAAATAGGAAATATTCGAAATTAAATGGGAGTACAGGCCGTAAAAATGGACAATGCGGACGTTTTTAAAGTTTAAACACACACACACACTCACACATGCGCGCGCGCGCACGGCAGAGTATAATGATAATTTGTCGACGGCGTTGTTCGATAAATCTGCGGCGGTCGGTGGAATTGACCGGAAAAAGAAACGCGTAGGGTGGATAAAGACTCATCATAATTTATAATAAATTCCCGAAGACTGTATTATACTCGTATTATATTATACAACTGACGATTTAATTTCAAAAATAACACCTAGTTTTCTAAATCCAATGTTATAATATTTGGTCGTAAAAAGACTGCGTAACAATTATCGACCGAAAAATCTCCTTCATATAGTATTATTATTAGGGTTTGGGACTTGTTGCGCTAACAATCCACAAAAAAGCCATGAAAAAGCAAAAATGGTAGAAGTGTACAATATTCAAACACTACGCGATGATCTTTTAAAGTAAAATTTTATACGTATTTAAAAATAAATTACTTTGTGTTACCTAATCGTATTTTTAGTGTTAGAATATTGTATTTGATAATTGCGGGTCGTTGGAAAGAGGACTTTAAAATCCTTTTACCTTTTTACTTTTTAAATATTTTTTTAAGTGCATTTTACGAATTTTTTTTTACATTTTTAAGCGATTGTTTGTGGATTTTAAGTGTAGGAAATTCTGAATTCTATTTATTGTAATGCCAATATTACGCATATAACTGTATATATGAGTATACAAACCCGGCGTCTTGATGATTTCTTATAAAATTCCTGAATGTTATTCTAGAACCATTCGAGGTGGTGGTCATCGTTTGGTATACGTATACAACACTCGTACAATAAATAATTTTGGTTCGAATTTAGATTGATAGGTAAGTAAGTGCAGTATTTTTTTTTTTTTTTCAAAATTGTATAATTGTACTTTAAATAATTTAAATTCGTTTATCGATAAACCGAATGAGAAATATTATAATAAACTGTACGTCTACATTATAGGGTGGAGAGTTATACGTCCGTTTTACCCTACGTGAACCGGTTTTACCCGGTTACAGGAACATTACGGTACATTATAATAATATAATTATTCAACCGATATGCATTTATAAAACTTAAATTCTAATCGATTTCGAACAGGCGCCTCCTTTTTTTTATGTACCGACAATCGTTATAATTATATTATTATTATTATTTCTTTGATTTGTATGCCTATTACATTGCAACCGCCCCACCCCTTGTATATATTCGTTGAACGAGTCTTAAATATATATAGTAACAATAATGTATTAACAATAATATTATTCGATTTGTTATGGAGAATTATAGATGTCAAAAAAAAGAAAAAAGACCAAGATTAATAATATTCCACTATTACCAATCGTTTCTTTTGAAGATATGAGGCGTGAATTATCGACATAATTATGTCACGTAACTTTTCTATTTTAAAACTCTACTTACCGGGTCATTTTTTAAGGAGATTTACTGTGCCCGCTTATAGACACACCGTTAAGTACAGTGAAAATCCAGTAGAGTAAGATTTTGTTTACAGCGTGTTCACTAGAAAATAAATGGTCAATTATTGAATTGATAGATTATGTAAAAAATTATATTATGTTATTTTATATAGAAATTACTTTCCCTGATAGGCGAAAAAGGTAACTGAGGAAAGGACAAAAGTCAAGGGAAAGGTTTGGTTTATTTGCTTGTGGATCTTTTTTAAGGGAGAATAAGGTAGTGGGAACGTCGTGAGTATTTACTAAAAGCTCTCTGTAATCTATCCAACGAGATATTTTATATTTTTAAATTTTTTATTTCTATATTATACCTGACATGATTTTCATGGACATTAACATCCTCGGAGCGACGTTTGAATATAACGGATTTTTATTTTTGTCTATGTTACTGCAGGCCGTTGTAGTTGCAATATTCCAGAACAATTTGTCTGAAAACTGTATTCTACGCGATTTTTTTCGTAAAATTGTATAATAATAATAATATAAGGAAAATAATATATTTATGGCACGAGATTTTGTTGTTTAATATCCGATTGTTAAACTGTCAAAAGGGCTACTATTATTTACCTATCGTTGGTCCAAACGTTTACGATAGGAGGTAGTCTAAATTATTGTTAAATATGTGTGTTTTTATTTTTAAACTATAAAGCTGGGAAACAAAACAACTATGTATATAGAAAAACGAAAGAAATTCAAGAATTCATCGTTCAATTTTATTACATAAGACGATTTCGAATCTCTTCAAGTTTTTAGCCGATTTTAGTTATTTTATATAATATTTAGATGATATTATTACCCATCATGTTGTTTTAAATTTTTATTATTTTCGGTAGAAACGTATCGTACTATACTCCACAAATCGTTAAATGTATATAGTCACACTATGAGGTAACACAAAAAAAGTTATAAATTCATAATCCGGTAGACCAGGAACGACAAAAACGCCGCATGGCTCAGTAGGTATATGTAATATTTCAATTTTATTATTGCACGTCATTGCACGGGATATTTTCCGAGCTCAGAGACGAAACCTGTACTCTTTGAGTTCGATCGGCGAAACATTTTTTTTCTTCAAATTATACTTTCATCTTTTCGTTTTATATAGTAGGCTTATATTACGAGCGTATATCAAGGCCTATTAATATTATAATTATACGTATATATCTACCGAACGGATGACTGCAGTATTATTAATTTTTCGGCCGTTATCAGCCGTAGGATCTCGTCGGAACAGTAAATAATGCGCGTATATACTCTAATAATTTATCTATTGTTTATATCGTGATATTGTATAGTAGATATATAGATTATCATCTATAGCGATCGATTAAAAAAGGAACGAAAAAAAAAACTCAAATCGATTTACTCGCAATTGGATACCGAATCATTGTGCGCACATGCCCGTACAATATACCCACTCGAATAACTCGAATTCCTCCTTTAAGCATATAAAATAAAACGGATTAAAATTAATATTGGCAGAAAAATTTTACATAATAATATCTACTATTTCTTTGGCGCCACTTTATCTCCACCACCACAATCACCGCCGCTGCAGCCGGCACTGCACTGTGAATTTAGAATTTCCGACCACACACAACAATCGTCGTTATTTTATACGTTTGCAATCGCCGAATTTTTTTTTCCTTTTTTTAATTTCTTACAAAACGTGTCGATATTCTATTACGATTTCGTTATCGAATATTTTATAATATTATATACTTACCTGTTACAAACAACTATATTCGTGCGTATATGCACGTCAATTACCTATATTATATTTTAGCTGTCCTGCACGACTTTGGCCCTCAGAAAAAAAAAATTAAAAAAGATACGGACATACTTCGCACGATAGGTGGAGCCACTATTGTAGGTGAGAAGTTAGCATAATAGAATATAGTGGGGAATTTAATGTATATTTTTACGCAATGGTTAATCTTTGCTAACGAAAAACGATTCTGCGTGGAATTCGGTTATGCGTGTTATGAAATGCCGTAGTACTATTTATAATTTGAAAATAATACATTTCGTACATTTTCCCGTTTTGACTACGTTATTATTACCCTATTCAAATTTCCTTTCAGAAAATGTGCTACACTTGAATATCAGAGCAAAATTGTTCAAAAAAAAAAAAAAAAATCATTACTGTAAAATTAATATATTTCTGTTCCGCTTAAAATCTAAAACTTAAACGTGTCTCTCCATGACTCCTCGATTTTACTTCTGTCCCTATCGCCGTTGATCATTTGTCACCAGGTAATTCATTTTTTTAAAAGGGTTAATGTATACTTGCCCATGATAACCAAATTAAATAATAATAGGCTGATTTTATTGATGGGTGTGCCAAGGTTCCAGGAGGGTTATTGAAAAAGAGAAACTTAATTTATATCTGTACCATTTCTAATGAAAAACGCATTGTATTAGCCATATTTGTTACCTTTGTTGCCAATATAATAACATAGAAATCAAAAAAAATTATCCTAATAATTTCCAGTTTTTCTCATTTATTAACTACAAAGGAAATTAAACTAACCACTTCAATGCACCTATATCAATAATTCTATAAGAAAGTTCCTATAAAGTTTTGTTTAGAACAAGATTTATTTTTAGAAAAGTTGTTTACAAACACAAAAAAACATCATAGTAAAACCAATATATTCCTTGCTCAGCTCAGAATCTGATATATTATAACTGATTTTTTATTAAAATTTTGGAAATGTGGCTCCAAGATCTACCTGGGTTACGTCCATCCTTTATAATCCATAATTTTTTTTTGTTATTAATATGGAAAGATTCTATTATCAGCGAATACATGTATACATTTTTATTTTTAGCTATCCTGCAAAGAACATCGGTGAACATCGGACAATTGAAAATCCAAGGCGTCGCGACTTGCATGTACTTGTGTATGGACGCGTGCGGTTTACTATACGGCTCGGTAAGAAGTATAATAATTATTTCATTTTTTTTTTTTAAATATCTTTTTTTTTGAAATACTTTTTCGTGTACTGTACATAATATAGTATTATACTGCACGTGTAAAAAAAAAAAAAAAAAAAACTGAACGGCTCGCGTACATATTGAAATATTTTTTTTTGCTTTGTATATAATTAAATAACGATGATATAGCGATAATATGCGTGCGGTGATGTAGTATAGAACATCGTCATGTGTGTATTTGTTTTATTATTATTTTTTTTTTTATCACGGCGCGCGGCGCGAGCTTTTACTACGCTATGGCCTGCGACTTGTTGACGAAATGTTCCCTAGTCATCGTTACTGGGCTGTTATTCATCACATTATATCATATTATTCACTTTACTATCATAATAACGTGTGGAAATATTCGATCCGTTCGCATTAAACAGTTATGCCTATGATAATATTATTTATATAGTTGTTGACTTATTGGTGCATTTGCATTATTATTTTATTTTTTTTTTACTTAGATGCATTGTTTTCTTTTATTGGTCGGAAAATACGTAATCAGCGAGTTAAATACTTCCATTACGCGCAGTGTACAAACACTATAAATATGAGGTCCGGACGATTGTATTTTATTTGAAAGATTTTTGTCCAGATTGATTCGTGAAATATATAAAGTTGTAAAATTTTTGTATTGTTTTGCACTATCTCCGCGCTATTTTGCCATTTTTAGAGCATTTATTTATTTTACATAGTGTTTTTGGGCAATTTGAAAAAGTTTTAGTATACCCTAGTTTTTTTAGTGTAAAATTATAGTCAATTCAAAACATTTTTTAGGTATCTCCAGAGACTTTGTGTTCATAGTAATATTAACGGTTATTTCAAAAGTAAAACTTTAATTTTTCGCTGTTTTTCCAATTTTTTTTTTTTCAAGAGATTTTTGTTCTTTCGTGTTTTAGATAAAACAGACATTTTATAACGTAATTTAATGACGGTTTTTCTCGATCATCGAGTTCCCATTGTAGTTATTCTATTAGGCACCTATACATTTTAAACGTCAAATATAAAATAATGATATATAGGTATGTGATTTATTCGAAGGCATTATAGATCTTTACGCCGCTATGCACGTTTTAGATCACCCGATCGATTTTATCTATTTTTTTTCTTTTCTCCTCCGGCGTGTAATTTCACTTTTATTTTTTATCGCGCGCGTAAACTAAACTACAGAACAAGACGCGCGTAGTTTACACGCGTGTTAAATTTCGATTTTATATCCGATAATATATCGACGTTATATTGGGTATGTATTGGTGGGCACCTAATACTTGTAGGTATGTGTTTCGTGTGGGCCTAAAACATAGAATACGTTTGTATAATTATTTAACTAGGACGACGCGTTCGTATTATAATGCGTACCTACTTAATGTGCCGTGTAGCGAAAAAATGTTCTGTGACAGTGATTTAGCCTATACGCCGTGTACAAAATTCGTGTATTTCGTGTGTATGTATATAATACATATATAGGTATCTGGTTTACCTTACGGGACTTCGTTTCGGATGAAAATCATTATAAATCAAACGCAAGATACGACTTGTCCGAAAAAAAATATATATATGTATAATTTGCATTCCGGTTAGATACCTGCGCGCCGTGTAAAAATAAAAGTATAATATTCTTATATATATACACCTCGATGTAGCAGCTATACAGCAGCATCACGCGACTGGTGTAATAATATTATGTAGAGAATGCGGCTATATTTTGACAGATTAAACGTTTAGGTTTTGTACAGATAAAATTTGGAGAAATAGTAAAATATAAACACTTTTAAAAATCACCTGATTATATATGTATAGGTCCCGATCGAAACTACGAGTATATAATATGAACGTTTTTGATTAAATGCTGCGTCGGATGCCCCAGAGCTTATTAAGCTATCGAAATTATTTGTGAACCGGCATGCAATTTAGTCGTCGTTGCTATTTCACAATAGAATTATTTTGTAATTATTGTCGTTTAAATTAAATAATAGTATTGAAATACGAACATCATGCTTTATGAGTAAACGGTATTTTATTAACGAGGTTAGGCTGGAAGTGTGTCGATAGTTATTTGTGTTACCGCGAGAACGTGAAATCACAATCGTCACTTTCGCACTGAAAATAATTGAATTAAAGGTTATTTTTAGAAATCATACTTTTTAGGTTTATTTTGTCGATACAAAATGGTGCCTTCATTTCACCCTGTTTTCGGCTGACTCTTCGTCAGTACTACGGTCGTCCACCACGCCCATCCGATCTTTGATTTCTTACCCTGTCCAACCGTCCATAGGACGTCCTCTTGGCCGTTTAGTATCCGGTTATCGGTCCATTTCATTATGTGTGCAAGTAATCCGTCCGATCTATACGCATGTTCAGCCCATCTTAATCTAGTGATTTTAAGACTCGTATTATTCCTACTTTCCCATATTATTCTTCCTCTTCCTCGTGCATTCTTATCTCTCAATCCCTATCTTTATTTTTCTTCAGTCAAGTATTTCGCTTCATTTCCAGTCCAATACTAACCAATCAACTTGGTTTGCGTGCATATGAAGACGTTGGATTATAAACTATAATAATACTTCTTACGGCATATTTTTGTACTTTCCGGACCGAAGTTCCGATTAAGAAAACTAGTTTAGGCCGTTTCAAAACGGTTTGAATTACGATTTATTTGGTTTTTCGTGCGGAAATTAACCAATACAAGTCGAATATTTTAAAAACGAATAATATTCAAAGGACACCGCTAAAAGATAAATATTTATGAGTACTTACCTATGCACTATACTACTGTTTCAATCGCACTTAGCTTCGGGGTCCTATAGTCCGGTTTTCTCCCAGTCCCGTAGACCATATGTAGCCGCGATATATTTTTGCGGACGAGGTTTCATAACTATTGGTAAATTATTATCATTAAATATTTGTTCTTAACATCGATTGCAGCAACAGCAACAACAGCCAACAAGTCAGTCCGTCGAAATTGGTGTGTCGACCGTGTCCAATATAATTACCGACAAAATAGTCGGTAATAATCGCGAAAAATAACTATATTATTATATTTAATAACTCATTCGACATAATACAGAATAATATTATTCGTTTTACAAATGGCGATGTTATCAGCTGTATTTCAGTCAGTAGATAGTATAGTTGTATACAGTACTGGGCGATGCGCTGAAAAAAAAAAAAAAAACCGAAAATATCTCCGTCGTCGGTTTAAGGAGATTATTATTATAATCGATTGTCCGATTAATCATACAGCAATATAGCCTATTTCGAAATAAACATTAATTTCAAATTTACTTTCTAACGACGACGTATTCTAAAGGCGAAACACCGCGGAGCATAAGAAAAATTGTATAACTATACATTGCATTGTCGACGAAAGTTTTCGGGTTTATTTATTTGTTTTTTTAGACGAAACGGCCTCCGATCCTATCCGTCTCACCTTTCTGTCGTTTGTTTTTTTTTTTTTTTTTGTAATTTTATTATTTTTAACTCGTCTAGCGCGTATAATATACATACGACATCTCGTCGTCGTCGTCATGTGATGATATGTAATCTAATTGGGAACACTAAATCCAAATCGGGTCACAACACAATCAACGCGGGCCGCCGCCTCAGCCGCCGCAGTCCGATCATTGTTATAATTAGTATATGAACGGACGTTGAACTCGGCGAAACGAATCGCATATTTATATACCTAATTTTTGTCGTCTTGGTTTCGTCGGACAGAATCCGTGAAAATGTCCTTCCTGTATACGAAAAAAATTATACTTACGCACACGTAAATTTACGCTCGGGTGGTATAATTTTATTCCTACGCCAGAGTACCTATACATAAAATATTATAAGTATTAAAACCGCGTCGCAAATATTGTGCATCTTTTCAATTTTTTTTATTTTTATCATCTGTTTTTTTTTTTTTACGTTTATTGGCAGAAAATCGTATACGATATAAGATTTGCGATACGATTAAAAAATATAATGTATTACTTATATTTTCGCTGAATAGACACATTTCGTCGCTGTTTGTACATTATATACACAAATATTTGCGTTAATTTAAGTGTGCTATCGAGGAGGAAGGGGAAATTATTGCTTACCAAAAATGTATTATATGAAGAAATATTGTTCAGCAGTAGCGACACTAGGGGTGGTTATAAGTTATAAATATCCTTCCTGAAAAATAATATTTGTTTTACACGTTTTACTAAATAGTCCGTTGATTAGTTTGTATTTCAATTATAAATATTTCCTTGTGATTTTGAATACGTGTTATACATCAAATAACTAAATAGATGAATAATTATTATACATTCATCTATTTAGAAAATTTATTGTCTCGAAAATCTGTTCAGAAATTTGTTTGAAATTCATAACCCCCTCCTACCTCTCGAAAATCATTCTTAGTTATGGCCATTGGAGTGGAGTGTATGAGATTTCCATTTGTCAGATATCTGCCTACCAAAGTAGTCCGCGGTGATACTTCTCTTTCATGTCAAAATCATGGTAGCCCCGATAGGTCATACGCAAAACGAATGCTCAGATAAATGATGAATAAATGAATTCGGTTTTTATTAAAAAAAAAAAAAAAAAAAAAACCGCTATCGCATTTACCATAATATTGTTTTATTTCTCCCTTACGCACTGCGGCCGGCAGACAATAATCCACGTGATTTTTATTTTTCTACTACAGACGTGTGTATGTGTGTGAGCATACATATGTGTCCGCCACCGTTTTTATTTATTATGTGATCGTGTATACGTATTATACGGCTGTGTGCGTTTTAATTAGAAACAAAAATACCAACACCTATATAATACGATCAGAGATCGTAATCCGCAGTAGGTTTGATATGCCTATTGATTTTTAAGTACACCGCTGTTTTATGTTTATATTGTCAAAATAATATGTATACCGATCCCGTTTTACCGTGGCCCGGCGTTCGGTTTTTTCGGTGTAATAATTTGTTAAAGGAAAGATATAGAAAAAAAAAATGTTTTAATTCGAAATAATTTATTACGATAGTTTCGGAAGAAAAAAAAAAAAGAAAAAATACGTTAAAAAACTAGTTTCGTCTAAATTACGTGGGAGGGGAGGAGGGAAAGGATAGGACGTTAACACTTTTTGCTATAATATAGACGCAAGTGTGCTGCGGGTGTCTAAAAAACTCCACATTATAATAAAACGTGCGTGTAATAACGTTATGACGAAGTGTCTATAATCGTAGATTTATAACGAGAGGGGAAACGCGAGCCGTCTAGAAATTTGACACTGCACATAGTAGGCATACTATAGGCGTTGCGCCTACACGGCGGCGTTAGAAAGAATAAAAAATCAATTTGCCGTGAAAAAAAAAAACAACAACAACAAATAGATGAATAGATAAAAAAAAAAATAATAATCATGATAATAACGAGCTAGTTGATCTCATGATCACGTAATTATTCGCCTTATATCGTTTTAATCTTGATCGCACGTCGGTAGTAAAATATACGAATATATTATATGGTTATGTTCCGCCGAGCGTACGATGTCAATTTCTCACGTCTTTATAGTTTTTTATAATATACACAAGAACTATAAAAAAAAAAAAAAAAAATATTCGGCTATCGCCGTCGTCGTGGCCGTGTGGAAATATTTAACGTCTCCGACTGTCCAATTAGTACGGTTACAACTATATTACGCGCAGTTCAAATTCATTATTTCCGTAGTAATATAACGCCTTTTTTATTATTATTATTTTACGTGAATCCCGTACAAAAAAAAAAAAAAACAGTTACAGTGACTTTGCGCGTATGGGTACTATTTTTTGCAATTACTTTTTGTCGGCACTGTTTCTTTGGTGCGCGAATGTCTCCCGCACAGTCGACATTATTATATTCAAACACAAAGCCTGTGGGTATACAGATTTTCGTAATTATTTTTTTCTTTTCTATGGTAGCTAGGTATACATTTGTTTGAATATTTTATTAAATGATACGGCGATGGGTACGATAATTTTAAACACCGTTAAAACGACAATGAGAACAGTCTGTTCTTCCCCCGAAACGCATGATAAATAATAATAAAAAAAAATCATAAAAATTATACATAAATTCAAATATTACAATATTGTTTCGTCCGGGATCTTGGGTCTCTACGTCGTTCTAGAGACTGACATGTCGGAACCCTCGATTTGTTATGCCAAACGACATCGTGTATATAGGTCAGAGAGAATACACGTTCTCATTTTTTCATAGATTTTCGCTCTCTTTGTATTCACAGCGGAAGAACTGTGCCTTTAACATTGTTAACATCACCGTTAACATGTTTAAATATTAGTATAATATCGCGTCGTGTGATTTTATAAATCGATTTGGAGAAACAAAATCATGCGGGATAAGATATTATCAAATAAGTGCGTCGGGAACAATATAACAATGTGCAGTATTGCGTTTACTACTACCTATATATGAAAGAAGATTTTGAGAGTAGATTACGAACTATAATTGGTTTTAAATTCTAGCCACTGCAGTATTTAATAAACGATGCCAATTGAATTACACAAGTGTATTTCCAAAGTACATTAATGCGGCACCTACCTGTTGAGAACAAGACTAATTATATTATAATTATTATTTTGAACGCTGAGCCATATAGTATACGTTGTTATACTTTTGTCATACTACTAATCTCGAGTTCAAAATAGATTATTGTCTATAAGCATTCTGCGATTTTGGTGTTTGATTTTCATAATTTAGAACAATTTCCTGATTTTTATTATAAAAATACACGCTGATTCACGCAGTCTTGAACGTATATTTTCCTATGGATTAGGTGTGTAAAACTTGTAGACCGAATTGTAAGCGACCAAAATCAAGAGATTATTATTATAAAGGTGATAATTTGGATGAGGCATGTGGAGTAGATAAATGATGATGGATATAGGGGCATGCAGTGGTGGGTGAGTACCCATACGAATATATCGCTGACACCGTTTGAACAAGCTAAAGAGTATGAAGAGGAGGAAGTAGGTTAGTTATTTTATTCATAATAATCGCCGTAACTGGTGGCGTTAGTAGAATTTTTTAAATATTACACTCCTGTGTATTTTTTCTATATGATATAAAATTATCATAATGATATAAAAAAAAAAAACAAAACAAAGTATTAGTGTGTGTTGAAATTAATGTACCTGTACAACTATACTGCAATGTTGAATTATTATTATTTAATTTCGGCACGTAACGTTTTAGTACTTTTACGTGTGCATACATACCTATACATAAAAAACAATTCAAATTTAAGTGAAGCACGTGTAATACTATTATTATGACGCAAGTTCAGTTGGTATTCCCGTAAAAATCGTCTACCTATTAGGACAATAGTTATAATATCGGGTATAGATAACAGAACAGGTTATAGGACATCAGGTTTCACCTGAAAATTATTAAGCGATAACGTTTTCGATTCGAAATATCGGGTTCTGTATCATTGATAACACAATTTAAAAATCAGTAAATTAGAAATCGTAGTTTCAAAATTGTAACAATAATATAAAAATTTTTTTACTAAAAAAAGGTACTCAATATCTTCTAATTCTCTCGTAAAAAATGTATGTTCTCTCTTCAAAAAAACAGCGTGTATCTATACGATTTTGGAAAACGTTAATTATATTATTTCGGAGACGATTTTTTTAACGACCATTTGGATTCAAATCGGACATATTTATGCTGTGGATTTTTTCTTTTATATTTCTTGTTATAATAACATGTACGTACGTCAATACCGTTCCCAAGATAGTCGATCGCAGTGCTCAGGGTGGGCGGGCGGATCCGATCAAAGGCATCGTGTGCACGATGAGGATATCATCGTATGGTAGGCCTAAATTAAAACGTTCGAAAATTCTGTCAGCCCGTTTTTTTTTATCCTCTCATTGGAATATACCGCCCTCAGCTCCCCCTCCCTCTACCTCTCCAAACCCTTATTCCACAAATCGTGTGCTCTCGGACGCGTGTGTGTAGCGCCTAATTGAGAGACATCGAGTATATTCGGAGTGTACGCGCAGTATTTATTGCCACCTACAAATACCGATTGAGTATAAAAGCGTACGGCCAACTATAATTTTTACTACTTTGACATTTATGGGGTGTGCCGACCAAATTAACCGGTATCGTATATATATGTGCATGTGCGTTCGATATGTCCAACAGAGTGTTGTTTACGGTTTTTTTTTTGGTTCTTCTCTTTTCTCCTGACTACAGGAACGATGGAAAAAATTATAATATACAAGACCAAAAAAAAAAGCCACCAAAATGTAAGTATAATATGCATATTGTCCGGAGGGTTATTTTTTTATTATTATTTATTTATTTATATTTTCGTGGTAAACAAACAGAGTCTTTCACACCAATTTATTACCGCAACAATAAAAAGGAACGACTACTCCGCCGCCGCCGCGGTGGTCGGCGTTTCGTGTTTTGTATACTTTATATGTACTTTATCATCGTTTTCATCCCCCAGTGATAATATATTATATTTTCAGGGAGTTAAAAGTAATTTTTTATGTCGACATAATATTAAATTATTGTTATAAAGGAACGGCGACAGGGTATGCTGCGGTTAAAACAACGTCCGCGATAAATTATCGACGAACAGAGTTAGTATTAATAGAACACTTATATTATATCGTGACGCCGTTTCTATACGATTTCCGATGTCCGATATCGTCGGAAAAGTTTATCAGTTTGGTAACAACAGATAAAATTTGAACCTTAAAAGCATAGGTGTACAAGATAATTTGTTTTGGTTAAATACTACTCTACCCTACCTAAACTTAAAAATGAATTAGTACAAAAAATAAAACAGAAAATAATAAAATCGTTACTGTCGTAAATTTGTTCATGTTTCCTACATTTTTTCTCAATTTTTCCTCATTATTGGGAAAACTACAAAAAAAATCAATAATGTTAACTTAATCAAATAAATGGATTTTTTTTTTTTATAAAAAAGATTCTTTGTTGTGCTATAAAAACATGAATAAAAAAACATATTCACTAATATATTTGGCGTAAAAATTTTTTTACAATATTTGGAGCATTTGTATTAACTGAACAACCGTTTTACGATAAAAAAAATACGCATTTTATTATAAAAAAAAAAAAAAAAAAAAAGTATACCACAACAAATTTAAACCACAATAATATCATAATATGGCTTTTAGTAGTTTTTTTTAGACTCGATATCGAGGAATTTAATTCAAATCTCGTGGAAAGTATTCAAATGACTCTTTCTATAAATATATATTATTATAACGAACATTTTGTGCCTGTTAAACGGTTTAAAAGTCATGTTTTTCGTTTTGATAAGATAATTTTGTCATTTTCTACGAAAAAGAATTCATGTACATGCGTTTTGTTTTAAAAATATATATTTTAGATAATAATAATTTAATTATGCCGTTGTTTAAAATAATTTATGTATATATATATATATGTATACATAAAAGGTAGGTATATTCGTATTTTAGTATAGGAGGTTATTTCAATAATGCCCGAAAAAAAGAATCATAACTAAATAATCAAATATTTTGTAACATTATGCATATTTATACGTACACAATAACATGAATAGGTAACGATTCAGAAAAAAAAAACGGTAAATTCAATAAATTATATAATTTGTTTCATACGTATACACAACTGATTTACTATAATGGACCCGATGTCTGCTTAACCTATAACTACACGTATTTACATTTTGTCAGGCCGCAGCCGCCGTAACAAAAAATAAAAATATTTTACTGTTTTCGTTACACTTTATTAAGATTCATACTAATATTTTTTTTGTATGGCATTATTATAATGATATTATTGTGGTTAATGTACGAATTACCATAAAACGAATATAAAACAGTATGATGACATAGCGTAATATTTATCACTTCAGATCTCTGCGTATAGATATATTTGGTAAGGTACCTACACTCCGTTTGGGTAGAACAATTATTTTTTCTGTATGACCTTTTTTTAAATTTGTTATCAGCTATATTACACGAGAAATTTCACCCTTTATTGAAACCGTTTTAGCCGTTGCTCCGTGTGAAGAAGTAACATATTGTTTTCAGTGTTCAAATTAAGTAAACGCAGGACATTCTTTAGTGAATATCCATTGCGTATCCACTACCCTTTCATTAAAAAAACTTCATGAACACCAAAACTTCTTCTCAACTTTTGAATTTTACTTAGTCACCGCTCCACCAATATGTCCACTCGTATTTCCCTTATAAAATATAATATATTGTTACAAAATCAACTTATTCAATAATTTATTATTTGTTTGTTAGTGGAAACACAGTAAGTAAGGATCTTGCTCCAATGCGTGTGCAATGGACTTTACTGTATTTTTATTTGGGCACAGGAAACTTTAAAGAGTTTCCCGCAGGATCGCTTTCGTGGGAAACGTCAGTCGACGGTAATTTGTTAATTATTATTATTGTTGTCCTAATTTAAAATCAGGCCGATCTTTGTAGGTTTTTGGAACTGAAACCGGGTTTTTCCAAATTTATATGTCAGAGATCAACCTAAAATTCAATAATTATATTCAAAATTCTAAATGTTTACATTCCGAGTGTAATGAGCGTTGGTTAGACTATGTAGCGTGATATTTTTGTCATTTTATATTTTCAATTGTGAAATGAATTATTTTGTATGCAATTAGTGTCTAGGAAAAGTCTCCTTCGCGGTTATAGGGCTATTCATTTTTTTGTGTTATCGAATATATGGTTTCTAAACTAGCGTGCGTCTTCATTTTTTCTGCCGACTGAAGCAATAAAGTAGTGATGAGCCGATATCCGATATTCAAATATTTGCTATCGATAATCGATCCGATATTGAGATTAATAGATATATGAAAAAACCGATACCCGATTTTTACGAACAATGTTCGTATTCATTTTTTTAAACTATATATTATTTACAATCATTCTTTGATTTACAATATTAATGTGAAAAAACTGTTCCGAAAATATTGGTTTTGAAGAAAAACCGATATCTGATATTCAGATATACTCAATATCAACAGATATACGATATCGGTTTATGCCGATACTCACCTCTAGAAAAAAGCACCAATTGTTTTTAAGTTTAGGAATACTAGTCATGAGTGCCATCAAATAAAAATTCACTATACTTAGCGTACAATTTTTTCAATCAGTTTTTTCGGTACACGTATAAATATAACATCGTTTACTGCAGTATTATAAAACTTGTAAGTGATATAAGCAAAAAAAAAAAATAAAATAAATATATATAAATAAATATCGCGATAATCTAAATTTTGGCAGTATTGACGTATGTACCTACGCACTCAGAATTGGAAACTAAATTTTTAATAGCTGCCAAATGCATATGTTCTTTCGTTATCAGATATATATATATATATACATATATATATATATATATATATATATACGTTTTCATATTTTCGCGGTTTTAACCTGAAAATAAAAAAACCAAATACTTACGTTTTTATCGAACTGGTATTACGTGGCCGGTGTTATAATTTTCACGACAGTAAATTTTCCACAGACGGTGCTGCGGGTATTATGTCATCTCCGGTATATTATACAATAATAATAATATGGCAAAATCGGAAAATACACGAGACCCGTCGAGGAACGACGATGACGACGACGGAGGCCGACAGTCGAAAATAATATGTTTAAGTATATTATATACGAGTGGTAAAACTGGAAACTATATTATTATTTTAACGTTTTTTAGAATATAAACGTTGCGATAATAGTTTTATAACGCACACTATTTTTTTTTTTATTTTTTAATAGCGCGCCATAATTTATTAAGTATTTGACAGTCTACATGAAATATTCTCGGCGCGTTTCGGCCGAAATATTATATTATACGAGAATAGAGTAATAAAAACGCGACCGATTCGAATAATTTACATAATAATATTATTATTACTATAAAAATATACGCCTATAGCAGCCGTCATAGTTCTTCCGGAACGTCTCGATTGCGATTTTCCGATCTACGAGTGATGTATAACGATAATTTTGTCGACCGGAAACATTGCAAATGTAACAACTGATATTTCGCAAAGGGTCGTTGACGATCGCGTTAAGTGGTACACGCACGTACTGTTACAGTCACATAGCAAAAATATAACTAAAAATCGCTTGATTTTAGTTTTAGAGCAAATATTATGAAACTCAAAGCACATGGTATTCAGAAGGGCGCCACGCTGCGTTTTTTTTAAATTTTAAATTCATTTTTTTTGAAAAATTATAGCCGTTTTAAAATATTGAAATTGTCGTATTTCCTAACGATTTACTGAGCGTTACATTCGAAATTGTAAAAATGCGCAGCGTGGTGCTTTTCTGAATGTCGTTTAAATTAATTTTTGTAACAGATGCTTTTCAAACCAAAATCAAGTGAGTTTTACTCAGTCTGCATAAGCATATTTTTGCTGTGCTGCCCGTTAGTGGACCGAGATCGTAAATGCGGATACGACGGCCTCTTAATACTGTATTTCGGTCTCGTTCGCGTTATTTTTGTTTTTTATGTGCGCATATACATGGTGATTATATTTTTAATTTTTATCATCACGCGAACATTTCGAGTATTTGATATGTGGTAGTATTTCATATAACATTGGTAATTGATTTTTATTTCAACGAATTTGCGTACGTAAAGAACATTTTTTAAAAATTCAGACACTGTAGCGAATTATGTTAATTGATAATTAATATAAATAAATACATAGTTATAAAATGAGTTGTAAGGTTGTTAAGTAACTTAAAGTAAAATTCGATAAAATCTAGAGCCGCATCAACAGTTTCATTGTCCACATCATTTCATCAGTCGCGGCACTATACACAACCTCGAAATGCTTCCGAACTTAATGTTTGGGCACGTTTCAATGATATGCCGAATTTTTTGTTCGGTTCCACTTGAGCAAAAGGAATAATCTTACGTTTCCCATTTGTGCAGAAAGCTATTGTTTCTGTTCAGGTCCGTTCTGGTTCTATTAAAAGTCAACTGCACGGTCCACGGAAAGTTGGAGCCGGAAACTTTTGAAAGACAAAGGGTCTTCATCAATGTCACATTTCGTACCTTTCACTCTATCCAACGAGTTTTCCACGTCTCGAAAGTCGATTGTCGGGAATTCTAAATATCATATACTGGGTGATTGTTTTTATTATGAACTAGCAATTTTTTTGGAGGATTTTAAGTGAATTTGATTTTTTTTTAATCATTCTGGAATCGGCTAAGGTTTATTTTAAAGTAATTTTTAATTTTTAATCCCTATTCAGTATACCTGAAATAAATATATATTTATGTTTTTCAAAAACCACCCTAGGAACCTCTTTTTTTGAACACAGATTTGAATAGAGAATATTTTTCTTAAAATTGTATTATGCATAACACTAATATAAAATGTACAGTTTATGAGTTATAACAGTTTAAAGTTTAGACTGGAGGAGTAGGGAAGGGTAATATGTTGCATATCTATTTTTGAATGATCAAATGATAACTCTTCCCTACTCTACCGGTCTAAACTTTAAATGGTTATAAATCATAAAACGGTAAATTTGATATAAGTGTTATGGATACCAAAATTTCTAAAAAATTATTCTCTATTTGACCCTGCGTTCAAAAAGGGAGGGTCCTAATTGAAAATCAAAAATATTTACTTATTTAAGGTATATTGAAGAAGGATAAAAAATTTAAAAAGTTTTTAAAATAAAGTTTAAACGATTCTACAACGATTAAAAAAAAAAAAAAAATTCAAATTCACTTAAAATCCTCCAAGATAATTACTGGTTCATATCACTGTAGAGTACTATGATTTTAGAGTTTTTGTGAGTGTCATGTTTTTATATATAAGGAAATTAGAATAATTCAATAACTTCCTTGTTATTGATAATGCACTATCGCATAATTGCTGAATAGATATTATGTACGGCTTAGGTACATCATTTATCAATATAATTAATTTGGAGTTCTTAACAAATAGATATGTCTAAGTTAAAACAAGTTACCTAAATTGCTTAATATTTAAAATGTATGTAAATAAATTCAGTTTACTTAGGGAGCAGCTATACACCCTGTTCTCTCATTTGCGTGCTTACGATCGGTAATATTATTACGGATAAATTTAATTGTTTTTTTCGCCGCCTTTCTTTTACTCGAGTAGTATTTTTCCAAAAACGGCTACGGGGTAAAAAAAAAACCACGAGAAACAACGAATTACGCAATTCCATATTGTAATGCTCGTACAATATGTTTTATTAACGTGTCTCGCTATCAATTGTTATTTTCCTACGATATTATTAATAACATAATACGATGGCGTGTGTGTGTGCAGGATCGTATAAATCATAAAACTATCCGTTTACTACGGCGGCGGCAGTTTTTTTTTCCTTTACTAGGAGAGCAATATTCAGTTTACATTATTTTTTTTTTTTTGAAACTCGAGTTTAACCGTGGGTTATAATGCCATACTATAATCTATTGTACTCCGTTGAATTTATATAATATTATAATATTTGTGATAGGTAATCTAATGTCGTTCGTATGCCGCACGAAACTAAATCACATATAATATATTTTATCTTAATACGCGTGTTCCGGTATACATATTATAGGTTTCCATATTAAATATGCGCAATATATCAATTTTATTTCGAATGGTTGCTCTGCAAAAAAAAAAAAAAAAAAAAAAAAAAAAAAAAAAAAAAAAAAAAAAAAACAAATAAATAAAAATGAGAAGGGAAAAGATTAAATCTATTAGATTATAGTACAATACATAGTATATTATTTTCGTCGTCCGACGTTTTTCGACAAAGTAATATTCTATTATTATTATTGCAACGATATATTATTATCTACACTGTGCAGTGTGTGTGTGTGTGTGTGTGTGTAGTGTAAAGTACACACTGCTGCAGTCATGTTCGGAAAGCAATAAAAAAAAAAAATCACCAAACTATTCTTAAACACACAAAACCGCGTTAAAACGTACCTATACCACGGTAAACATATACGTATCTATAATAATGGCGCTTAATTTATTATTATTGTACCCGACGCCTTTGTATTTGGGATATTCGAAAAACCGTACTTAAACATCATACATGATGTCTGTTCAAGGGTTTTACAACAAAGACTAGCGATCTTCACGAGCACTTAACAAAAAAAAAGTGAAAGTGTACACAAGCGGAACGCGAGTGTTTACATATTTTCGATGCTGGTCGGGAACATTTGCGATAATCTCGCGGGTTGATTTGAAAAAATAAAAATGCCCAACACGTTATCTAGACTCAAAATGGTTATCTTTTAGTCAATTTTCTTTTGATTTTAGTAGGTAATTGTTATTTATTATTTCGGTACCTATACAAATAATGTTTAGTAGGACTTTTCACTCGTATATACGCACGATGGTGTCTAAAGTAAATGTGACATAAATCCGGATTCTCCGGAAACACAACAATTTCGATTTCAAATTTTACAATATTCGGGTTCCTGAATACAAAAACTGAAACATCTGATAATCTGTTTTTTGGTTTTTCTATTTTTATATTTAAACCAAACACATTTTTATTGCGATTAGATTTTGTAAAAATAATATTTGATTTATAAAATGTAAGCACTTGATTTTAAGCACTAAACTTAGGCGGGTTGGATAAATAACGCGAAACGGAGACCGGCAAATACTAAACGGCCAAAATGATCGGGCGGAATAAGGAAAGAATGAAGATCGCCGTGCGAGGTGGACCGGGAAAAGTGAGACGGAGGCTTAAATGGTCTCTAAAAAAAAGCCTTAAGAACACGCGAAATACAATTTTAGTTATGATAATGATTTCATTGTAAATAATAACAAAAAAAATCTGAAATTCGGATTTACAATATCAATTATTCCGGAACTTCGAACTTGGGCCAGACCGTGTTTTTCCCATCACTACGGCCAGTGCACAACAATAATATAAACGCAGAGTTCGGTACACCAGAGTTTGGTATAACGTCGCGTCTGAACATCACTGGCCGTACGAAAACACAAAAATCACGAGAAAACCGTGTCGTTTCGTGCACATAAATTTATCGAAATTGCTGTTTGGCGGTACCTATATGTATATTATCGCAGTGGAATCGCGTCGATGATATACATTATACGTGTAAATTTGTGTGTTATAATAAACGACGTCGTTAAATTATTATTATTTCCTCGCGGTCGCCGTCGAATTCGGGACGCGGACCGCACGAAAACCACGAGCGTCCGTTTCCCAGAACGTAATAATAAAATAATAGTCAAAGTCAATTGAACCGTCGTCGTCGTAGTCGATTTATAGACCATCGTGGCGCGGTGTTGGCAGTAAAAAAAAAAAAAAGTAGTCGAAAAAAGGGGAAAATTTATATTTGCGGCACGCCGTTTAACATATGTGGCGCCCGATAAATTTCACGAGAAGTCCTCGCCGCGGTGTCTCCTGCGTTATAAACCGAAACAACCGCCGGTTCGGAATAATAAATTCTCGTATCTCGCGATGCGTATACGCGGGTTAATAACGCAATATAATTTTATACGACCCGCGGCGCGCCGCGCAATACCCGCGCGAACGGCACGGGAATCGTTCGAACGCGCAATAATATTTACAGGAGAGAGACTGTACAACGATGATGCTGATGATGATAATAATAGTAGAGACGCCGAAGGACGTCACAATTTGCGGGCGATAAATTTACGACCGGCCGCGAGATCGGGACGAATAATAACGCCGCGGACCCGTTATGTACTTATACGAGTGTTCGCGAGGCTAGGCGAGCGAACGCAATCACTCGTTATTGACTCGGTTAGGTATTAATCGATAGAAAAAAACAAAAAAAATTAGTTTAATATTATATTTCACGACACGGGTAGCCGTGGCCACTGCGGTCGTAGGCGGGATGGTTTGCAAGGCATACGGTATGCAAGACTATTTTTTAGTTTGTACGCTGTATACGCGATTAATTTGCTGTTGGTATTCGTATGCAGTTCACTTCGAAAATCGGGACGGCCGATTCGAAAGTTCAACAAAATTATCCCGCCACTCATTGAGTAAATGTTTAAAAATCAAAAAAAAAAAAAAACACGTACCGAAATCAAAAGTTAAAATTAAATTATATTTCGACTTTACAACTCGTTAATAACGTTTCCCGGTCAAAATACAAAATATCTTGGAATAATACGCAATCTCAAAGAAAGTTATAATCTAAACATTAGTGTATATATAATATTTTAACATTTAATTAGGCGTCCGCGGTGTACGAAATCATTTTATTAAAAATATAATTATTTGCGCGCACAAATATTGACATAATATTATGTATTCAGTAAAAATGTACTGAAACGCAATAATAACAATAATATAAATATAAATCCTAGAGAATTTTTTTTTTTTTATTTTTACAGAAGACATTTCAGAGACATTTCGTCGTGGATGTTCCCGCGGGAGATATTTTAATTATCCAATAATCGCCGCGTTCGGCGTATGTAATAATAAAACGCTTAATGTTAAAAAATATCACCGGTTTAATATTATTACGCGCGTTTTATCGATAAAATCGACTCGAGCGGACCGCGTCAACATATTATTATTATTATTCACATCCCGCACGCACGTCGCGCGGTAATCTCGTTATAAAATCGCGTATTGGTAAATCGAACTCGTCGAATTCGATTTGGATTGATAATGTTATATTTTATTCCATAATCATAGGCCGTAAAAATTTTTTTAATGACGATCGGCGTAAAGATTTCCCGTGTATGACGAAACACACTCGCATAATAACATAATATTATTATTACCGAGTGGTTCAAAAGTCTTCGCGGCTTTGATCTCAATCTTTCGTATTTATTTTGAACAAATGAATACACACGTATTTTTCCCGGAGAAAATTTAAAAAAAAAAAAAAACCTCGTGTCACATTCGTCTCGAGTCGAGGCTGCGAAAAAGATTTAATTCATGTAATAACCGTACCGTCTCGGTGTCTTAGCAGACACTGCGAATTACGGTGACGATCAAAAAGTAAGCAATTGCCGTCGAAATTCTATTACGGTCTAAATGTATCGATATTTTCCTCGTGGTACACCGGCGATATTTCTGGTTAACATTCGCAAAGGAGTCTTTGAGGGATTTTAATTGGGCATATTGAGCCGAATATTTCGGAAAATGACAATTTTAACACTTAGAGTGTACCACATTCGTCTATCACATTGTGATTTGTTAGGATTTCTACTATCCAGACCAGAATTTTTGAACATAAAGTGGTACACAAGATGATAAAAACACGATCAGCAACGTTTGGGAATAATTTGACAGAGCTTGGACAAGTTAACCAATTCGTTTGAACTAGTTTAAGTTAAGTTACTTAGAAAAATAATAATTATATTTAGGCACTTCGTTAAAATTTTACAATATGAATGCTATTGAATAACTAAATTACACTCAATAATATTTACTGAAGTTAAAACTTTAAAATTACCCTTAACTATGCACTCGTAAACGTATTTTGTACTTTAATATATTTTATATTTCTATAGACTTTCTACCTATACAAGACATGCGTGGGTATCCTATGTATGTTCTTCTTGTTATACCATTACGATATTCCGTAAAAATACATAATATTTTTAGCGAAATATGTATACAAAAAACTTAGAAACACAGTTTCTAAGTTTCTATGCAAACATTTATTCGTAAGTAACTTTAATTTCAACAGATACAACCGAGTCAAGTAAAAATGATTTATTAAACAAAATCTCCGAGTAATTTTAATTAACATTCTTTTCGGTTTTTTTTTTCAACTGTTTGAGTTATAGAGGTTGTTTTTTTTTTAGGGAACTATTATAAATTAACATTTAAACTTTCCGTTATTGTTTTGAAATTCACCGCGCACTCTGGCGCATTATCGTTCGTTTTTAAGAAAGGATTTTTCTTCTCTATCGGACGCGTAGACTTTTGAACCACCCTGTATTTTACAAACAAAACGCCGCCGTGGCGTGCAGGTAATTTATATCGTTTCTCATCACACGTTTCTCCGTCGTCGCTTCGCCGTCGATTAAAACCCCGACGGTGCAGCGGACGTGGTCGGACTTTTAGGTAGGCGTGCGGCGTTTTCGAGCCCGGTCCCTCCTGAGCACGCGTATCTCACCGGTAAATCTCTGTATAATAATGATAATATTATTATATACGAATCCGGAGCCGACTACCGAGCCACGGCGGATGCTGTGCGCGTGTGTATATACTCACATTTCGTTTCGTTTTTTTTTTGTGTTTTTAAATTTTATTTCGTTCTACCGGTTTGACGTTTATGATGTACGACGGGAGAGACCGCACGAGTCGTGTTTTGCCTCGGAGACGACGACTGTTATTCGCATTTTGTCGTATTATATCGTGCTGCAGTTGCTGCAAACTCTTGTAGACGGTTTTTTTTTTATTATTATTATTATTATTATTATTACTATTCGGAAAGGATTTTTTTTTTTTTTTTACAGTTTCACGACGCTCAGCCACAACCACCGTAACAATTTATGTTTCGTCGCGGTCCTTTCCCATCCGTTCGTATTATACACTAAATAATATTATCGCGATATTTTCGGTCGGTTTCCTCGTAAAGCGGACTGCGACTCGCGAAAAAAAAACTAATTGTAAATTATAATATTTGCGGGGGCTGACGAAATTTCCCCTCTCCTCGCCCTGCAACATTTTATTACATACACACACACACACATGCTTGTCAAAATATTTTCGAAATAAATTGAATGGCAATTCGAAGGAGAGGGGGGGGTGGGGAGTTCTATACTTCTGTCTAGCTGCAGTTGTCGGTTTCATAATATTTCTTATATCATATGCTTCAGTATATTACAATATTACTCGTTTTCGTTCTTTACCACGTGGCTACGCGTCACTTTTGTTTTCTGCACTTTTTTTTTCTTTTCTCATTGTTCGTATCCTCCGAGTTTATTGGACGGCTCACGTACTTGGCCTACAACTATTATAATAGACACACGCGAATACGATTAACGTCGAACAGCTCTATAATATTATTAGAAAAACCAAACGACAAGCAGCGGAGACGTGTATCGTATTGTCTTAATAATAACATATTGCGGTGTATTCCGACGATTCGGTTTCTTGTCTATACCAATTGACTGATGCGGTTGGCGCTTTGAATGGAATTACAGAGAGTTCTATACAGTAAACGTTATAATAATAAATTGTCGTGCCACGATGTCGAGACGATATAGAAACGAGAAATGTATAAATCCCGGACGATGTTTCGGCTGCGCGGGGGCTTATGCATACACTTTCTGTTTTATTTGCGACTATTATGTTTCATCATCGTCGTGACAAACGAATACTCGAACGGAAACTTTACTCGCACGAGTCACTCGCATGTGCGCGAGTTGTGATTGGTACTAGATGACGATGATGGGTCAGATTGTGAAAACGCTAAAAACCAAGCGATAACATAAAACAATAATTAAAATATACGATAGCAGACAAATATGTTTGTTCAAAAAAAAAAAAAAACGTATACATATATTTAAAGTAGAACGTGTAACCCTCCTTAGTAAAGCTATGAGTTATGTACTTTTGTTGGATTAGCGAAAGACGGACATTAACAATATATCAGTTAAAAAGTTAATTCTTTGACTTTTCGTCTTAACTATAATTAATTATTTTTTCTTTTATACAATGCACATCGCTAGTTACAGTTAATGGTTTCAACTGCCGATTTTCATAAATATCTAATTACGTTAACGCGTTGAAGACGAATTAAACCTGTTTTTTGTTATTTTAATTTGTTTGTATAGATTTGTATATTTTTTTGTATACATTAACATTTAATTGGCTGTACCGCGGTAACGTAATAATATGTCATACTAGAAGATACAATTTAATAAATTGCATACAAATAATATTCAATATAAATACAAAATTAAGTTTACATTAAATTTACGTTAACCGCCCTAACCCAACACAACCTAACCTCTTACTTTCGGCGTCTAAATGTACAAATTCCACATGTCGCACACCCGCAGACGTAACGCTACGGTGCGATACTCGCCGTGCAAAATATTTCGCTCGGTTATTTTTATTATTAAACGCAAATAACTTTTGCTCGAGTATGTTATTCGATCTCTATGTAGATTTGTTGACCGCAAAAATTCAAAATTTACACTGAAACGTGATCTACACGATACCTGCGCAGTATAATATTATGTAAACTATATATATATATATATTATAGTCGATCCGTGATGTTCAGATGGCTTAAAATCAACTAGTAGATCGAGAACGCTATAATGTAATATATACATTTATTTTGTCTTTTTTTTTTTTTTTAAATAGACAGACCGGAATTTATGTTTTTTAATCGAAATAATTTATAGTCGCCATCTATGAAATATTATCCGTTTGCTGTTTTTTTTTATTTTGACTAGATATAGTCTCGTAAATATTTCAGTACATCAAATAATGCGGAATTTCTGCCCGCTGGTATTTCATTTGAAACATCGAACAAATTCAGCAGTCCGTCCACTGTGTCCTTTTTTGTCGTTGTTTGAATTTTGTTAATTTGTTCAAAATCGGTTTTTCCTTCGATTATCCCCTCGGATCCGTCTCTGTCTCGTTACGGTCAAATAACTCGAATAGTTATTAATTATTACATGATAACATTGTGTTTTTGTTATTGTTTTTAGTTAACGTCCCTTAAAAAAAAAAAAAAACACCGTTTAAAGGTCGAATTCGTTACATTAACATAACACGTTTTCGTCGTAATAATATGTTATTACAAAACTATATATTATGTAGTAAAAGTGGATCGAAAAACTCGTATCGAATATTAACGAAGGACGCTTCCATCTTTTTTTCGTATCATCATCGAGATTTTATTGGCTGACGATTTTTAGATTCTGAGCACAGCGAAGATTGGCTCTACTAATGACGTGTGGATTTTTTCCCCCTATCTGTAAACAACTTTTTTCTACCAGGAAAGGTCCACAGAATATACTAATTATTATAGTAGCCTTTAAAAAATGTTCTGAAACGTTCTGGCGATTTTTGAACTATTTATAGGTATTTGCAAGGCATAGTTTTTACATGTTGTTTTCTGTGGATATAATTGTTTTGGTCAAACATAAATGCTTGAAAATTTAACACTAAGTTTATTATAAGTTTAGTCATAAAATAAAAAAAGTCGAGTCTAATGTGCGGTTTTTTTTTGTAATCGTTTTAATTCCAATTTTGACGAAAATCGTAAAAAAAATCAAGTAATTCGAATTCGTGTTAACGGAATTTTGTTCAAAAATTTTTTTTTTTGACTACCGATTGTGATGCTGATAATATTGTGTTATACCGGATTTTAGTATAATATAGAAAATGACGAACAGGGTTGTTTTGTGCACGCGTTCTATAATTAAACACCGTTCACATCTGATGAACTAACAAACATAGCCAGACACTTGAGGTTAGCTTGCCAATATTTCAACACGTATTTTTTCCCCGATTTTATTTTGTTTTTATTTTTGACGCTCGGCCATTGATACCTATACGAAACGGTTTTTTTTTTTTTTTTTTTTTTTAAATATATATAGGTATTGAAGGAGATACCGTCCGATCGTTCGATTGCAACGGAGACGGTTTAAATCTATTACGATCCGGCGTTAAATGAAGACGTACCTAAAACGATAAAAAAAAAAAAAAAAAAAAAAAAAAAAAAATATAAATAAATTATCAAACGGGCACGCGGTGCAGTAATATTTAACGAGAAGAACATATTATAATAATATAGTTTCGAAATATTTTCTCTATAGGTTTTTTATGGTAAATCTTTAGGTGCCTAAAAACATAGAAATACTTTTTTTTTTGTATATACCTATATGTATAATAGGTACAATTTATTCGAATATTTTAAAACGTTCGCATTATAATTACCATATTATCTATATAATATTTCGTATTATATTATATACTAATCGCCGGTGGTTTAAAACCCTATAATGTAAAAAAATACGTCAATATAATAGGGAATACATTAAACGTACTTAAAGAAAGAAAACAACGTTGATGGCTCGTAAAATTCGTAGATTATTGCGAAAACGACTTAAGAGGATGTCACGGTAGCGCATATTATATACTTATGTCGTCTCTGAATTTCCAACGGGCAATATAGCAAATATAACGTGTTTTCAGAGTTTTGATAGTACTCGGATTCTATACAGTGTGTCCCACGTATATATACCGATTAGGTACGATATAAATAACATGAACGTATTGGAAATTATTAACTTTAATTGGATTATTATTTTTGGACAATTTGAGAAATGAGTAGCTCTTAAATATGAAATTGCAATCTTTTTTGGTCACCCTTATATTTTTGAAGGCGTAACGACTACTCACTAACCTACCTTTGGTTTTCAAATGGCAGCCTATACGGAATGATTTATATTAAGCGTGCCCACCTCATTATTTTGGTTAAATTTCGTATATGTTCAAAATTGGATTTTTGGAATTTTCAAGTCGACATTTTCGAATACTTAGATATTTCACAAAATTTGAGTTTTCCGTGGCGATGTCAACTTTGGTTTTTCAAATAAGAACTTATATTAAAAATTCCATAAATAGATATAAAGTATTTATTAGTTTAAATAAATGTCAGTGTTAACATTTTTTGATTTCCGTCAACCCGTTGACGATAGATATTCCACTTTTAAGTTTGGGTAGGGGGTAGTAGTGGAGCTATTTAAATTCCGTGCGCTATGCCGCCACTAAAATTATACTTGTTTCTTATAATTGCCAAAAACTAAAGTTAATATATTTTCGTTTTCGAAATATCGGAATGGGTATATCATCGTAAGACACCTTGTATAAATATTCAATAGACTTGTAACCAGTACCGTCGTTACCACGGATATTCGGGTGTCATAACACTCATAATCCTAGAACCGATTTAAAAGACTTGCATGAACACATTTTTGTTAGACCTACTGTTTAAAATACAGATACGTATTTTGTACGTCCTATACCGAGATAGCGTCCACTTAAGATGATATTACCGCACGGATATTATTGATGTGTGGCGCGCTACATAGTATACGATATTTTCAGCGCGTTTTTTTTTTTTTTTTTTTCTATTCCGAGCGTAGGAAATTTTTAAACACCTTCTAAAAATATATAATATATGTGGCCCGATTATTTTTTACGCGCGTAACATAAACAATCGTTCGGAAATTCGTACGCAAGCTGCTGTTATATACATTTTGAAATTTCAATTATTCTCGCCCGCGCAAAAAAACCGGGAAAAAAGTGTTCTGTTTTGTATATGCACGCGTAAGTGTATAAATAGTTTCTCCCCCCCCCAGCTATAATACAGTATCGCGTTATTGTTAATTTCGTGCGTAAGCGTTACGAGTCGAGAACCACGGAAAAAAAAAAAAACTACGCAAAATTCTTGTTACGTATTATTATTATTATTATTATTATTATTATTATTATTGTTATTATTATTACAGTGACGTATATAATAGTTTCCCGGCGTTGAAAGAAATAATATGCGCGGCCGATACATTCCCGCGGTATCCGAACACCCCGCGCGATTTCGAAATTAAAACGCGGGCGCCACACTATCTATCGGATAAACAAATACCTATGTTAGATATTACATAATTTATTCTATTTTCGATTCCGCGTCGATTCGAATACGACTCGGCGATAAAACTCTCGATACGGCGATTATGTCCGTTGCACTGTACGCATACTGTTGCGTGCTGCGGCCGCGGGGGCTCGTCATCCGTTAGTCGTGTAATTTTAGATTTTTAAGTGGCGATATATTACTGCGAAGAGGCTATATTGTTCGTGGTCCGACGAAAACCGTATTAGCTGATATATGTTTTAAACGCCATTGTTATTCCGGATAATTATAATGGGATAGTATGCCTGTATCAATATATATATATATATAGCTGACTAGCGACGTGGCGAGCGGTTTAACGAGGATTTTTTTTCAGGCTCCGAGTGCAGCGAAGAAAACGTATTAGTTTCAACGAGACGTGTGTGTGTGTGTTTTTTTTTCTCTTGGTCCATAAAAACACTGATCATCACAAAAAAAGCGCATTTACGAATTTGGCGACCTTTTTTTTTTTTTTACTCATAGGCGCCGATAGATGTGTTTAACCCCAAACAAAATCTTTTAAGCCCCTCTTAATTAAGAAAGTGCACATTTTCTTGTCGTTAAAATGATACCTCAATGCGTAAATGTTTTTCTCTTAGTATTATTATGATATTATGTATGACAAATCAACGATTTTCGTTAGGGAAGGAGCGGGGGGGGGGAGTGAAAACACGAAACGTGTCTTTTTTTTTATTTCCATATACCTACACGTTTTCGCTCATCAGATTTTGTCCGATTTGTGGGTGTATTTCAGTATAGTTAGTATAGATTCATGCATGTTAATTTGGAGTCATGAAATTTCGGGTATGCCGGGTACTTGAGAGCCCTGCATGCAGAAGTACCTGTTTAATTTCGGGAGGTGACCATAGTATTGACGTGGTTGTTTTTTAGTATATGATTGGTACCGAAGACGAATGCACAATCGTTACTATAAAGTAGGTGATGCAGACATTTTTCGTTCATATACGATGATAACCGCAGGAATGGCATTAAAACTGTACGCGTTGGTAATGCGACATTTACCGAAACCCGTTTCGAGTTTGAGACGACATACCTACGTACCTACCTATACCTATCTGCCCGTCTAAACGGTTTAAATAGAAAAATGTCACGCAGTAGCTGGTAGCCTAATTTTTCACGTACGCCCTGAGTATGCGCAGAATTTTTTTTTCATATTTGTTTTGTCGGTACAATAGCGTAATAAACGGTCCGAAAAAAAGCGCAGATAACATTTTACTGTTACGGATGTAAATAGTAGCGATCGTTTAAATATATTTTTTTTTTTTTTATCATTTGTACAGTATAGTTGTTTATTTACGTAACAATGACGAAACATAAAATGTTCTGGTAAATAATTTGTTTTGTTTTTTTTTTATCTATACGACTAGCTACTAGCTGTTGTACACGCTTTCGGCTTTTTAAAATATTTTATTGCTGATTAAAAGTGTATTTTTATGTTTCTTTTACACATGCGAAACAAACTACCTATTTATAATTATAAACGCTATTTATTCTTTTTACCTTTATTGTTTATTTTAAATTTGTCGATAGCTTTAAACATAAATGATCACGTATACGTTACACCGTGTCTCGTTTTTGGATTTTGGGTTTTCTATTATCCTCGCCATTTCGCACGTCATCAGTTCGTATTTGATTGACGTGTCTAATCGAAAGGTCGTAATGGTCGTAGGCATCTAAAATTTGTAATTGTAAAATATATCAAACAAAGACAGGAAACCCCCCCCCCAAAAAAAAAAACAGTGTAACATTTCACGTTATATGATCGTATGTCCGTGTACAGTGTTCGATACTGCGCAGCTCGTGTATTTGACGATCGTAGTGGAAATACCGCGTCGGCTCTAGTAATCGGAATTGTAATTCACTTCGTTTATGGCGACCCTGTTTGACTTGTGCGTCAATCCTGATCGTTCAAATAAAAGATGTGCCTACATTACCATAATACGATTGTGGTTAAAAGGAACATAAACGTGATGGTTAAACACTCGACGATGTCGTTTGTTAAACGGTAATCGAAAACAACTATGACGAAAGATCCAAAACGTTTGGGCAAACAAAACGGTGATTTTTTTTTTTTTTTCGGCGTTTCGTATACGTTCACCGGCATTTCAATTGTGTTCGAATTTTTCTCCAATAACCGTCAAAGTTTGTTTAACAGTTTCCGCCGATGCGGGCAGTAAATAATAACGATACAAAAAAAAAAAACCTCTGATTTATTGTTACATCACGCGGATCAAATAAAAGTCCCATTATTTTTGTAACGGCGGAAAGTTTGACCGTGACATTTTTTACGAAAAGTTTTGCGAAATAGCCGTGTTCTAACGCGTCTAACTCGGTCTCCTTGTGTCTGGCGCTACTTACCGGAAAAGTGAAATGGACGAAATACCGATTACGGACGAGATAAAAAGAAATGTAATAAATTTCGACGATTTGAGATTGGATATCTGTCGAGAAAGTTTTTGAAAACTTAAACGTCTCCGTTCCGAATTAAACCGTTCAGATTTTGTTTTGTTTCTTTTTGAAATCTCCCATCTCGATTCGAGATTTTAACGGAAAATCATTCTCCTCGAAAACTCGGCGGATATGTTGAGTTTATTGTTTTGGGTATTTTTTACTGCACGGTTTTAGGAATTTAACACCCTACGGCCCAGCAAGCAGTTAAATTCAAATTATGTATAGTCGTGCTCTTATTTTGACGGTTTTTTTTTTTTTTTTTTTGTTTTGTCTGTTGCAGAAAAATTTCGAAGAGGAATGCGTTTTCAACGAGATGATCGAACAACACCACTACAACACGTATTCGTCGGCCAAGTACACCAACGACCGGCGGACCCTGTACCTGGCCCTCAACAAGCGGGGCATGCCGCGCAAGGTGCAGGTGAAAGCCAACGCGCCGCTGGGCAAGCTGTCCACGTACACGCGCGTGCTGACGCAGTCCGTGTCGGCAGAACGGGTGGAACAGTTGCTGGCCTCCCGACAGCCGCCCGCGTCGGGCGAGTGGCCGGCGTCGGTGCCGCACGGCCATCGGCACCATCACGTGTGTCCGCCTCACGTGGGACCGCCGCACCCGTCCACCAAACGCCGCAAGTGCCCGGGCACCAAGGGCGGCGGTCGGAAGAAGAACAAGGACGCGGACAGCGCAAGCCTGAAAGGGGATGGTGGCGGCAACGTGGGAAGTAGAGAGGACGAAGACTGCGGAGGCGGCAACAAGAAGAACCGTTGCGCCGCCGGCGACGAGACCAGTCACCGGAAAGCGGACGCGGCGGGCCGGAAAAAAAAGCCGAAGAAAACGGCCGCCGGTAGGGGCGACGGAAAAGGGCACGGCCGGAAGCACGGCAAGCCGTCGAAAAAATCGGAACTCGACGTCCCGCCACCCGAGCCCGCGGTCCTATTCGTCGCAGTTACCACTGTCGTGCCGCCGTCCCAATTCGCCGACGACGCGGCCCACGCGGACGACGACGACGACGACGACGACGACGGAGTGCCGCCGCCGGCCACCGCGGCGGTTCCGACAGTCTAGTTCCTAGATGATGATGATGATGACTACGGTGCGTTACGATGCGATCGGTCCGGTAATAATAATACAACTGCGCGCGCCGCGTATATCACTATTATTATTGCCGTTATTTTTATATCATATACTCGTAAACACTGTACTGCTTTTCTAATATTATTATTATTATTATTATTATTATTATTTGTATTTGTATTTGTATTTGTATTTGTATTATTATTATACGCGATCGCGTCGCCGCCTCCGATGCCGCCGCCGCAGCCGCTGCCGGAAAATTGGCAAATTTTCCGACCGGTTCCCACCTATATACTTATATAAATATTACTGTATTATAAATTATCGTTTTAACAACATTACGCTCACCAGTCACCACCGTTTCGGGCCAACTTGCAGTCCGTCGTCGTCGTCGGGGCCACGAGGTTAGGTTAGGTTCGGCCGGGTCGGAGTGATTGCCGCCCGACCAAACCTAACCTCTGGGCCGGAGGTCCTCCTCCTCTCCCAGATTTGCCTTTCTCCGAAACCCAATCGCTCGTCGTAAATTCTCCCGACCTTGGCCCGGCCGAACCGCGCTTTTAGATAGACGTCATCCGTTACCCGACCTAACCTAATCTGTACGCCAAACTCTTTTTACCCTCGAAATTCATCCGCTCTCGGTCCAGGCCTCACCACCCAACCAATCGCGTCCGTCCGACGTCGGGCCGCTAATCGGTATCCAGTGAACTCATTCAGTATTCTTCCGTACATGTAATGCCTAATATTATCGTAGACGACAATAATATTAAATCTAATTTAGCCACCGGTCGATTTTCGTTATCGGTATACTCGCACGGTGTGCCGCGCGATTTTTCTATACTTTCTCGGATTCCGGACGATATTATTCAATACAGAAACACAACGCGAATTATAATATATTAGTTTACATTCCAAATTTAAAACGTTCGCGACGTCGGTCTGTAAAAAATAAAATAAAAATATATATATATATAAAGAAAAACCGTTTTTGCGTCGCGGCCTTCGTGTTATTAGTATTTATATTTAATACCTTAACGATAAGATTAACACGAATTTATTGTTCCGTTAAAGTTTCTTCCCACGTCGGATTAAAAAATAGAAAAAACTAACAATAAAAAAAAAAACTCGCGAATACTTGAGCGCTCAAAAATAACCGTCTTGTAATAAAAGAAAAATTGATTCTTTTTATATTATAATACCAAATAAGCTTTTTTTTTTTTTTTTCTAGTTTTCCTACGTTGTACAAATTTATACTTAATAATTATTAAAGTGTCCTTTTTTTTTTTTTTTTTTTTTTTTTCAATTTGTAATAATTTTTAAACGTGCCTGACTAGTTTAATACGTAACGCTTAATTATATTTATGTTTATATATCATTATTATTATTATTATTATTATTATTATTATTTATTACTATATTTTGCCGCGACCGTACGTGTAGAGTATGATTTGACATTTATCCAATAAAACTTTTGTTGACGGCAGCGATCGCTGTTCCGACCGTTTCGGGCGACTCGTACGGGACACACCAAGATGGAATACCGGACCGGATCGGTATCCTATCAGCTATCCGGCGACCGTCAAATTGTTTTCGAACCGCCGGGGAATATGCCAGTATAATACGTACAGCGTAATATATCGTGTAAGCTACAAGAAGTTTTGTCGTCAGGCGAGCTTTTAACCGCTCCCCCGACCACGTCGATACCGGTCCAGTGTGATATCTCGGTCCGTTCGACCGGACGGAAAAGTCCGAACCGAACGCGCCCGGTGTGTTCGCCCCTCTGTGACGCGTTTTCGACCACATCGAATATCCGTCAGAAACATTGTTGGATATGGTGGCGCAGCGATTTTCCTACATAAAACAATTTCATTTTGTATTTCGAATTCAACGATGTCCAAACGCAACGCACAAAAACAAAACAAAACGCCTAGTCAATAATCGCGTTCGTGTGTAGACGAGAACGTTGTAGGGAGAGATGTGTGTTATTATTACACGGGTATCAGGTTTTTGAAATACGGACGAAACTGTCGATTTTAATGCGGTTTTTTTCTTTTATTTTTTTCTAGTATTTTTTGAAAACGATTTTTGTAACCGATTTATATATTATAATTACAATTATTTTATCGCGTATATTAAACTGCGTACGGATCTTTCTCGTGCAATCGCGGAGAGAACTATAGCGCGTGTTTATTCGGTATATTACATTATATACTCTCAAGTATTAACTCTGAACGTGGCTCGTGTTGTATTTTTGTCGTATTATTATATTTATTATTAAAAATATGTAATACCTATATGTTATGTCACACCATAATTATTAATATATATTATAATAGTCCACCGCTGTTTGTACTACTACCATTTATATGTTCCCAAAAAATGATTTTATTAGTTTTATATTATTATTTTATTATTATATAATTTTAACCATTGTATAACATGTGTTGTGACCGAAAAAAAAAAAAATCGAAAATTCAAACCGTGTAAATACCTAATATTATACTATTATTACTATAATAACATTTTTTTTTTTTTCATGTAAATAAACATCTGCAGTATTTATAAACGTGGTAGTGATTAATTTTTGAAATTATCGTAGCCTTTTAATCTTTACAAAAAAAAAAAAAAAAATTCTCCCGGTAAAAATATCCTATTTATAATAAAATCTTGCACCGGGTTCAACTATTGTTAAACTATATTACCATAGGGTGTTCTTGCACCTGATAAAAGTCCACCAAGGGAGCTAATAAAATACAACTATATTTTTAACGTGGAAAGGGGTGAGGGGTAGTAAATATATTTTGAGGGTAAAAGAAATCTATTACAGGCACGTTCCTCCAAAGGGTAAATCACTGATTAATATTGTGTATACCACACTCCTGAACACCATGGCTTTTCTCGACGATGACCAAGAATTGACCCTACACAATTTCCCGTAAGGATCAACTATTTCCATGGTTCACAACCATTTGTGCACTGGTTCGTGTTAGTGATTTACGCTTTGCGTTCATCAATATTACGAAGTTTCTTTCCCGTAGGCCTTTCGGTGACCTTAATACAGCGAACGCGACACTTCCATAACTACCGACATCGATTTTCGTTTCGAAAACCGTTGTACTGCAAAAATGATCATAGAAAAAAGTAATACAAATTATCAAAATCCTTTAGGGTCCAGCAACAAAATTTTGAATGTATCCAAATAAGGACTACCCTAATATATTATGTTTTTTTTTTTTTGATTTTCCAATATCATTCACCAACGATATCCAAAATGCAACAAAAAAGATATCGCTTGTCGTTTTTGATGAAACGAAATTTCTGATAGAAAATATAAATTTACGAAAATTAAAATATTAAAATCGGTAACACCGTGGTTCACCGTAAGTGTATATCCTAACAAAAACCATCCGTTAACTACGTGTAAAAACCTCGCTAAGAAAAAAAACTCAAGTTAGAAAAGATATCAAAAATAAGGCGCTAATTAATTTTGTAAATTCATTAGTATAGAAATTGTTTATAATTATTTATGTTTGATGAAGTGCAATCATTTTTACTCAGGCTGTAACCATCCGATCAATTTGAAATTTATAAAAATACCATCTATTTAACATACTGATCAACCTGTGTAAATTTCGAAAAAATCAGTTCATTAGTTTAGGGTACAAAGAGGTCAGACCATTTCTCGTAAAATTACGCAGGTTAAATAGGAGTTGGCCGTCTCGTGTAATATATTACCGTCAACACACGGTTTATTTTTCTTTTTTTCCTGCAATTTTTTTCCAATTTTCCCCGATTATTTTGAAAACCCATTGGAAAATCAAAAAATTACCTTCTAGTAGAAAAGTTATTTACAAATACGAAAAAGTACAAAAATAAATACACGCATCAAAGTAAAACCAATATATTCTCAGTTTCGTCCGGAATCTAAAAAATAACAACAATTGGAGATGAATGTTGCCAATATAATAATAACGAATTTTCTTCGTAATGTTACACGTAAAACGTCGAAAAACAACAACAGCGACAGAGTCAACACGCCCTGAAACACTCCGTGTACGCATCAGTCGTAATAATTATTATAACGAGGACTGGACAACTGCGGCGACGATGACGACAAAATAAGCGCCAAAAATTTATCACGTCCGAGCAGATTGCTCTGCGGGTTTTGGCGTGCGCGATGACGACTCGCGTCTATACTTATAACATTTTTTATCTGAGGTGACGGCGGCACAGACGGTTTTTTTTAAAAAACTTTTTTCTCTCTCTCTCTCTCTCTCTCTCTCTCTCGTTCACGGTTGTTAAATTCAGAACTACTTGTCTTAAAAACCGGACAATTAGCGCTCAGTTTTTCCGACTATAACTGCTGGGCCGCTTTTTTTTTTATACAGCGTATACCGAGGTTTCTCTCCTCCCTCCCCCCTCTCGACACTGACGGATCCCTTTCACACCGCCACTGCGTTTCGGTCCTATTAATAATGTCCACCAGCCCGTTTAGAAAACGTTTTAATCGTCTCGTGCGGAGCAAACGGAACTATTCCGTCATCGATCGTCAAACGTAGTACATTTACATACAGGTAATATTCGGAGCCGCGTCAAGCCATTCGGCGCCCAGGCAACTTTTAAACTCTTTCTCTTGTTTTCTTACTCGGGGTTGATTTCGGGGGTCTATGCCCCCTCCGGATTCGTGAGTTTTTACACCGAACAATATCGTTCCGTACGCTTACGTTTTTTTTTTCCAAGTACTGACATATATGGCGGTTTTTGTAAAAAAATTAATTTGATTCAAATATAAATATTCGTAATCCTCATCCCCAGCTGTGAGTAATATATATATATAAAAAAAAAACAGAATTCGATTTTCTTTATTGTCTTCGGAAATATTCACGGGGTATATATTCGCGGGACGGCCTGTACAGGTTTTACTAACGCTCGTTAAATTACCAAACAATATTACTCTAAGTAAACCGTTTGGAAATAATACAAATAACGAGTGACACAATGGGTTAAGATATTATTAATTTTATTAAAAGTTTTATAATGAGTCGGAAGCTCCGCGGTCTAACGCCCCTATTGCCACCCCCCCCTCCCACATTACCGTGGCCTCATGTGTACTTATATATACTGTTGTAAATGTCAACTTATTTTCGCCGTCGTTCGATAGTTTATCAAAAAGGGCATTTTTTAAACACCGAAAAATTCGGAATTGACCCGTCTATAATATATCGGGTATTGCAATAGTATAATATAATATTATTATTATTATTATTATTTTTTTTTATTTGTGCGCAACTTTTTTACTAGAAGACTTGCTCAGATTTCTACGTATAGCACTTTTTCTGAAAGAAAATTTGCGTGGTGAGGTGCTTTAAGGAAGTCATTTTTTGATTTGTGGAAAAGTTATTAGTTAAAATATATTACACGAACGACGTTATTTACTAGAAAAAATGATTTAATCGAAAAATCACAAGATATATTTTTATTGCTTTTTTATTTTACTTTCTTACGGTAGCATCATCAAAACTTTTGAGCCATTTTTGAACTTTTAAGAAATTTTAATTTTTGGTAGTTTTTTTGCTGTAATTCACTTATAAATACACGTAGAGACTTGCAACTTGGTAATAGTACTCATATTGGACTTACCTAGATGTGGTAAAATTTCTAAAATAATCGTACGACTTTTTTTTTTTTTTAATAAACGTTTTGAAATCAAATTGAAAAGAAAACGAAAAAAAAACTATGGCTCTTCAAATTATGTATTTCCGAACTGTGGTCGCAATCGTCTTTCGTCAAGCAATGCTTACAGATATAAATAAAATAAACTTATGTATCCTACCTTCCCAACTTCTCATCTACAACAGTGCCCACTCCCATCCCCAGTATCAGCTCTCTTTTTTTTTTTTTTTTATATTCAGTTGCGTTTTACATATTGAATGTGATATACCCGATGTTGAATTTTTTTATTAAAAACCAATCGTATAATACATTTATCATAATACTCTAGGCGACGCATTCATTATTTTATTTATTATTTTTTTATTTTTATATTTATTTATAATAATAATCATCGTCACTTGAAAACGAAAATAGTGTTTATCGAAAACGGTGACGTCGTATATTTAATAATATATGTGCATGTTTCTTAAAAAAAAAAAAAAAAAAAGTAACAAGAAATAAAAGATTTAATTTTTTGAAGATTTAAGTTTATTTTTAAGGTGTCCGTGTTCTCTTTGTTGTTGGCAAATTATTGTTTTAATTAAAACACTATTTATTATTTACTCAGATGGCCATTTTTATGATAACTACTGGTATTTTTTCGAAAACGATTTTCGAGGAAAAATTCGACGGTCGGGCCATTATTAGTAATAGTAATTGTGTTTAATACGGACACACACAAACATCAATAAAACCGATACAAACCGAAAACGAAATGTTAAAGCACCATACAGCGTAGGCTCATAGTTTGCGCCGATTGAATTGAAAATGAATGGGGGGAGAGAGGGGGGTGACGGGCCCTAAACAGAGCCTAACTAACCGCGTTCTGAAAGTCGCAACCGTACGAGTGATAAGCTACTTAAGCTACAGCAATCGGCGCGAATATTAGTGTAGCACATATTATTGTTACACATTTATAAATCAACAAGAATAATAAATAATATAATACTACAAAAAGTAGTTACAGCAATTGACCAATACGTCCGCATTAATTGTTATTGATTAACGCAACGGAAAAATGCAAACAATAAGTATTGAGCATTTTATTATAAATAATATTGTTGTACTCTTATAAAAGGCGAGATGCATCTGTCTGTCTGCGGCGTTTCTTCTCTTATGTATTTAATACTTGTAAACTCTTATATACTCTTTTATACTTCGAACGCGAAATGTGGCGTTTATGTTTTGAATTGGAGTTTGAATATCAAAATACTCGAATAAGAGAATATTTCCTCGTGTTTTCGTTGTTTTTTTTTCTTAAAAATCGTATCATATATATAACATGTATGGCACGGTGAACACATTGTAAACCTTATACAGGATTGGGAAGTCAATCCGATTTGTTGATCATAGATTGTCAACGCCGGCTTATAGGTAAAATACGAAGGCTCTAGTAAACATTACAATAATATTAAAACACACAAATCATTTGTAAAAAATAAAAAAATAATTGTATCCCCCTCTTATTTAATTATTAATAGTGTGCAATAAAATGCAACTGAAAATGCACAAAGCACTAAACTTTCACAATGTACAGGCTCTGTTGATCGTTCGACCTAATATGGTTTTTTAGCTTAGGTGTACACTATTAAAAATCTTAATGATTCCACCAAAGCAAATGGATTATTTTCTTTTAATTTTACGGTGATGCGCGTGTGCGATTTTCTCTCTCGAATATTATTCGAGACATTAAAAATTCCGCTCGTAAAAAGCCACACCCTATAAAAATAGACGGACGGTGGCGGCAAACGTCTGTATTCTCATAGTGATCGTATATATTTTTTTTAATTTCTCTACACGATACTCTGAATAACCTTAAAACAACAAATAAAAAATGAAATTTAAGAAATGGCGATTTGTCGTTACTGTTTAATAATGGAACAACTGTAGCGGAGTTACAACGTTTCCCGTAACAATCGAAATAGTTCGTAAAAATTTAGAGAAAATCCGTTTGCACTCTAGGCTAGAGGTTTCCAAAATTCATCGCAGTGCGGGACCTTAGGAAAATCGTTGGGAATTCCGCCGAGGAACTGCTGGTTTCTGTCGTAGGAGCGTATGGTACCAAAAAGGGCAAATCGTGTGATTATTTAGATAGGCCAAAAGCGTAAAATTGATTTTCACTTATTCGTATTGACCCCAACTCCCATGGGATTTGTATGCAAATTAAACTTTGTAATTAATAATCGAAACCCCTTCATAATATACCGATTTCATGTACATATACGTACACCGCTTTTCCGGTAG